TGACGGTCGGCTTAACCATGTCGCTCAGCGACGGAACAGCAGCACTCATAAATGTGATAATGCAGAATTTGATGGTCACTTGATGAGGGATCTCGAGAAATGTGGTGCTTACATAAGCAAAGGTAGATCGTAAAGTTTGCAGGAATTGGAATGAGATAGGGTTTCGATGAGTTTGTGGACAATCGAGTGCGTGCATATGGCTGCAGGACAGCCGAGGTAAAGGGAAGGTGGAATATGGTGAGATGCAATTGGAGAAGGAGGCAATTTTTCAACTGACTTTTATTAAAAGTTACTGTTTCTGGAAACTTTAGGTGCATGGCATTTCGGTTTGGTGGCTTGCTAGGCATTACCGCGCAGCAGTTTGTGGCATATTTGTGCGGTATCGGTGTCGCATTTTATTTTTGTGGGGGCAGCATAAACCGATGGATGTACTGCAGAATAGCTGTGCCAATTTCGCAGCTACCCCGGTTCTTCGGATTGGGTATCCGCGGAAACCGAGCCACAAAACCGGGCCACAAGAAACATGTAAAAAGCCGGAAAAAAACGTCCAGAAAGTAATATATTGTCAAGGTGACCACTCGTGCAATTGTGGACCCCAAGTGTATCCCCAATTGCTTTCCGTGACCCCAATGGGGTCCACAGCGTGTTGGTCGTCTGCGCACGTGACATGTACCTCGGCCTCAATCACAGGCCGACCCCGCAAGTCACAGTATATAAAGGTAGGTGAAAATTGCACCCTTAGTGAATTTCGGGAATATAGCATGTCGGAAATATCATTTAAAGATAAGGTGGTCATTGTCACCGGTGCTGGTGGTGGACTCGGTAAATACTACTGTCTTGAGTATGCCAAACGTGGTGCCAAAGTGGTTGTAAATGACCTCGGTGGATCGCTTTCCGGTCAAGGAGGTGACTCCAAAGCTGCCGATGTTGTGGTAGACGAGATCAAGAAGGCTGGAGGAATTGCCGTGGCCGACTACAACAACGTTTTGGATGGAGACAAGATTGTTGAGACTGCCGTCAAGAACTTTGGTACTGTCCATGTGATCATCAATAACGCTGGTATTTTGCGTGATGCTTCGTTCAAGAAGATGCAAGAAAAGGATTTCAAGTTGGTTTTGGACGTTCACTTGAACGGTGCCTTCAAGGTGACCCAGGCCGCTTGGCCTCACTTCCGTAAGCAGAAGTATGGTCGTATTATCAATACTGCTTCTCCTGCTGGTTTGTACGGAAACTTTGGTCAAACCAACTACTCTGCCGCCAAGATGGGTCTTGTTGGTTTTGCTGAGACCTTGGCCAAGGAGGGTGACAAGTACAACATTAAGGCTAATGTAATTGCTCCATTGGCAAGATCCAGAATGACCGAGAGTGTGTTGCCTCCTCAAATCTTGGAGCAATTGTCTCCAGAAAAAATTGCCCCATTGGTCTTGTACTTGACCAGTGACAGCGCTGAGATCTCTGGACAGATATTTGAGGTTGCTGCTGGTTTCTTTGCTCAGATCCGTTGGGAACGTTCTGGTGGTGTTCTCTTTAAGCCAGATGAGTCCTTCACTGCTGAATCTGTGGCCAAGAAGTTTGACGAAATTCTCGACTTTGAGAATGGAAGCAGACCTGAATACTTGCAAACTCAACACCCATTCATGCCCAATGATTTCAGAACCTTGACCCAGGAGGCCAACAAGTTGCCAGCTAATGACAACTCTGGTGCTTCTGTGACCTTGAAGGACAAGGTTGTGTTGATCACTGGTGCTGGTGCCGGTTTGGGCCGTGACTACGCCAAGTTCTTTGCCAAGTATGGTGCTAAGGTGGTTGTCAATGATTTCAAGGATGCCTCTGCTGTGGTTGACGAAATCAAGAAGGCTGGTGGTGAGGCTCATGCCGATGTCCACGATGTCGCCAAGGACGCCCAAGCCATCATTGACAACGTCATTGGCAAATACGGCACCATTGACATCTTGGTTAACAATGCCGGTATTTTGCGTGACAAATCCTTCCTCAAAATGTCTCAACAGGAATGGGATCAAGTTCAACAAGTCCATCTTTTAGGTACTTACAACTTGACCCGTTTGGCATGGCCACATTTCCTGGAAAAGAAGTTTGGTAGAGTCATCAATGTTACCTCCACTTCTGGTATCTACGGTAACTTTGGTCAAGCCAACTACGCTTCCGCCAAGGCTGCTATTATTGGGTTGTCAAGAACTATTGCCATTGAGGGGGCTCGTAGTAACATCAAGGTTAACGTTATTGCCCCACATGCTGCAACTGCCATGACCGCAGACATCTTCCCTGAAGATGACCTTAAACTTTGGAGTCCGGACCAAGTTGCTCCATTGATGGTTTTCCTTGCTTCTGAGGATGTTCCAGTAACTGGAGAGTTGTTTGAAGTCGGTGGTGGCTGGATTGGTAACACCAGATGGCAAAGAGCCAAGGGTGCTGTCTGTAAAGACGCTAAGGTTACCCCAGAGTTCGTTAGAGACCACTTTGAGGAAGTTACAGACTTCTCCAAGGGTACCGCTAACCCCAAATCCACTACTGAATCTTCTATGGCTATTTTGAGCGCTGTCGAAGGAGACGAGGATGAAGAAGAAGAAGAGGAAGAAGACGATGACAGTGACGATGATGAAGAAGACCCTGTTTACACTTACGGTGACAAGGAGGTTATTCTTTACAACATTGCTCTCGGTGCTACCACCAAGGAACTTCATTACGTTTACGAGAACAATAGTGATTTCCAAGTTATCCCAACCTTCGGACACATTCCAACGTTCAACTCTACGAAGTCTCAGCTTTCTTTCGCCAAGTTGTTGAAGAACTTCAACCCCATGTTGTTGTTGCACGGTGAGCACTACATCAAGATTGAACAATGGCCCGTTCCAACCGAAGCTTCCATTAAGACTTCTTTCAACCCATTGGCTGTGACTCAAAAGGGAACCAACACCATCGTTGTTCATGGTTCTCAATCCATCGATGTCGACACTGGCGCTCCAGTTTTCAGTAATGAAGCTACTTACTTCATCAGAAACTGTAAGGGTGAAACCAAGACATACGGTGAGAGAAAGAGTTTTGCTACCGCTCAATTCACTGCACCAAAGTCTGAGCCTGACTTTACCCAAGATATCAAAATCTCGGAAGACCAAGCCGCTTTGTACAGATTGACCGGTGACAGAAACCCATTGCACATTGACCCAGAATTTGCAAAGGGTGCCAAGTTTGACAAGCCAATCTTGCACGGAATGTGCAGTTACGGTTTGTCCGCGAAGGTCTTGTTGGACAAGTTTGGTCCATTCGGCGAGATTAAGGCTAGATTTACTGGCATTGTCTTCCCTGGTGAAACTTTGAGAGTTTTTGCATGGAAGCAAGGTGATACAGTTATCTTCCAATCTCACGTTGTTGAAAGAGGTACTATTGCAATCAACAACGCTGCTATCAAGTTGCTCGGCGACAAGGCAAAGATCTAGTTGTATTTATTATTTCTTTAATGAATAACGTGTTGTTAGAATAGAAGGTTATTATCAAGTTATTATCATCAAGTTATTATTATCAATTTATTGTTGTGGAAAATTTATGCTATTCATTATATGACTTTTCATCGATGATATCCGTCACGGTTGTGTCGTTGCCATCATGCTCCTCATCTACCTCATCTATATCTAAGGTTACAAACTTGTGTAAACCTCCGTCAGTTGAAAGGCGCCTGAGGTAACTTCCCTTGTAGTTCGTCACTGGAACCGAGAAATCCACGGGTGATTCATTAATGGGATCAATTATGTGAGTAGGCGAAGTCAAGTTGTGATGTGTTGACATAGGCGTGAAAGTGGATAAAGGCGAGCTTATTAATGGCGAGGATGTAACCGCAGGTTGCGGGTTCTTTGTCACCAGTATGCGATTGAGGCTCTGCGGTTTGACTTGCTTTGGTGCCTTCTGAGCTGGAAATGTAAAACTAGTCAGAGGTAAGTTGGAAGGATTGTGGTTGATCAATGTGCCAAAGGGAAGTTCTGGGGAAGTTACTGGAACATTTGGAATAGTAGGTAAGGGACAAGAAGGCTTCTTGGTGGTCGATCTTAATACCGAATGCTTGCTACCAGAAGACTTGTTGAAAGGAGACAGTGAACTTGTCTCGAAGAAGCTGCTTGCTTCGAGAAGTGGAGATGTAAATGTGTCAGACAATGAGTCTGTGGATGAAAAAGCAGAAACATGTTCGGAAGAAATGGACGAATTGGATGAATTAATGGAGGAACATGAAAGGGAGTAGTTTGAGCCAGTTGACTGCCTCTGTGAGCTAACTTTGAACAGTGCAGTAGGTGGTTGCAAATCTTCGTCCACTATGTTGTTAAACACCGTCAACACGGGACTGGTTGTTGGTGATGAATTGAATACAGAAGCTGCGTGAGAAAAGGTGGAAGCCCTCGAAAGTTTGAGATCCAAGCTACCCGATCTGGTGGGTTTGTTCATTATTGATGAAGATCTGTGACGCTTCAATACTTTCAAGTTTTCAGCATGGGAAGTAACGGTAGTATATGACTTCGATCTCGAGTGTTTTGGCAGCGAAGCCTTTGCACCAAATTGATGAAATGATTTAGCTCGAGGGAGCTTTGTCGACTTGCGGACCTTATTCATTTCCTCTTCGCAAGTATGCTGATAATTGATATCTTTCATTTCCACGTAGGCTTGAGGGATGCAATGACTAATATGCTTGGAGAAAAACTTCTCGTAGCCACCTTCAAGTATAACGATGTCTGGGTAAGACAAATGAGGATAGGAATCGCTGTTTGCGATACGATCTAATTTACGCAAATGGCCAGCCATTGTTGGACCTCTGAAAACACTAAACTCGCAGTGAAACACGCACAAGCGTTTGGCTTTACTACCAAGACGCTTTTCAGTCATAAAGTAGTTTTCAAGGTCTTCTTGCGTCATGAGATTTACCGCCCCATCAATGTGGCCTCCATTGAATTCGTACTCGAACCTACAATCGACAATAACCACTTCATCAAAAGTGTTTTCGTAGTCGCCGGCGAGTACTTTCTTGAGTTCGTCGGCTTCGATTCGAGGAAATAGATCATTGTCGACTTTGAAATAAGAAATATTAGTTTTCTGCAAATGAGAATTACTCTCCATAGAGCAGGTTTCCTTCTCACGAGATGTCTGGCACATCGAATGGATGCGACGGATATTGGCGGGAGGCGCTTGCAAAACCGCAATGGGGGGTCTAGCTGGTTTTCTAGGCTGTTGCACTGGTGATTTAACTGCCGACAGATGCTGCTCCACCAGAGTCGACGACCTGGTTAAAAAGGGCATTGTGGCACTCATGAGTTTGGAGCGGACCGAAGTTTCAAAGCTATTGACCAAGTTGGTGATATTCTTGAATGGTTTCCGGCGACGCACTGGTGATGCGAAGAGTTCTTCATCTTCAACCTCATCAACTTCAGCAATTTCTGGGTTTCCCTTACTTGGAGAACGGGGAATAAATGATTGTTCACTCCATTTCTGAGTGGCAGGAGATTCGAAGCAGCTACTCAAAGGGCGATCTCGTTTGTTGGAAGGTCTTTTGAGGTCCATACTTGCAAAAGGTTGCAAGATGCGTTTGTGTCAAATATAAAAAGTTCGGAGCCACAAATGTAATTGATATGCAGCTCAGATGCTGCACGAATTTTGGCTGTGCAAAGTAGATGAGCCTGCAGTCTTTGTCGTGTTGCCCCGTCCTGAAATGCGAAACAAGTGGTGTAATTCAGGAATCAGGAAAGCCTGTAGGACAATGGGCGGATCAACTGTGTAGACGACTGAAGGCAAAATGCAAAAGGTAAACGAATGTGATGGGTAAAGCTGCTAATAACGTATTAGTGGTATCGGGGATTGTCGGTTTTCCAGGGATAGTCAAGGAGAATCGTCAATACCTGTCAACTAGTCAAGGACCAATAAACCAAGCAATGACACCTTTAGTGACACCAACGAAACGAGTGGAAGGTGACCAAGGTGAGTGAACGAAATATAGCACGTTGGGAATCCAGGGTAAAATTTAGGTTATATGTAACCTTGTCCCGTTTCCCATTGTGGGTTCCGGTTGCTGTCCCGCACGCATCGTAGATGTAATTTCGCGTTTTTGTGCGCGGTGTTTATTTACATTGCGGATCAAACAGGAAGGCATCAGCTGCGACAGAAGAAACGTGAAACGATTAACAATAAGAGGAGAAGGAAAGGGAAGATGTAGACGCCGGATCGGTATGCACGACCCCATTTGGTGACCCGAGCCGTATGTGTGGATGATGGTTTGGGGTTATTTTTTACGCACTTTTTGCACCCTCACTTCAACGGAACCGTATTTAACAAGCCAATTGAAAACTTGGCAGGTTTCAACGAGGCGCATTCCACGGCATGAATTAAATTGCGGTGGGTGCATATACCTGAATTAGGTAACCGCGGCCATGTCACCGAACATAATCGATGACAATGTCACGCACGGCACCTAAAACACAATCACGATATCCGCTCGTCAATTCAAATCGCCCATTGTGTCATGTTCGGCCCTTGCAGCACAATATCACCTGAGCATACAACAACTGTGGTGCGTGCCATCGCGCGGCGGGGGTGCTGGAAAAGGCAGGATGCGAACTATTGTTGTACGCTCTGGGAAGTATTACCGGCTACAGTAGTATTTGTCATTGCATGTGTCTGAAGTTGGGAATGAGGATGCAAATAATTGTAGAATGCCGGGAATGTAAATGACTCTTACATTTAGCGATGCTATAACTGTGTAATTAGAGGGTATCGCAATTAGTGCTGTTCTGGGCATCGTAAACATGTTTCATATTTTGTGCTCGCCTAACCGGACGACTCAGCTTATGCTCTCTATATACTCTCTACAAGTGATCTCCCATGCTCTAATTGCTGATGCCTCCATCAAGCAGGTCCAAGTACCGGCTCATGTCGAAATGACGACCCACCTCAGGCAAACGATCTTCATAGGTGAGAGTATCATCGGGGTTGCTCATGGTGTCGTCCGCTCCGCTTATACTATTTCTGCTAGCCCCACTATCTCTGCTTGCTCTGCTTCCACCACTGGATGTGTGTAGTGACAAGGTGTCGTCAGTTAAGTACATGTTCAAATTTAACGACGAATTGGAGCTGGTGATTCGACTCAAGCCTCCTCCTGACCGCTGTGAAATCATTGAGTTTTTGCGAGAACACGAAGACGACAGATTGTTCGATCCAAATACTGCGGGAGGTTCCATAGTATAGTTGTCGGAAGTAGGACTCGAGAGTGAACTGATGGTGGGTTGGGGAGGTTCAGCTTTTTTGCTTTTTTGTCGTCTTGAGAAAAACCTCTTTGAAGGACTGAAAAGTGACAGCTGCGAAGAAGGTGATGCTGCACCCACGGTGACTGGACTAGAAGCAAAAGAGTTGCTCAGGCTTGAACTTCTGTTGCTTCTCAGACCTGACCCAGATTCACCAAGTGTAGAAGGCGGTATGAGCTCCAAAGGTGGAGGCAGCTTTCTGATCGATTCAACCTGTTCACCTTCTTCTTCATACTCACTTTCCGACGACGAATCTAAATAAGAATCCAAAAGCTCGTCAACAGGTTCGAGATTCTCCAGTGCTAGGTATGATTCGGTTTTTTCAGCTTTTGGCGGAGCCTTGCCCACGAACAATTTCCGAATCTTATTCGTAAGTCCTTCATGTGTCTTCTTGACGGTGCTTCTATTAAAGTTTTTGAACTCTTCAACCTGCTGGGGGTTCAAGTCGTACAATATAAAGGGGTGCAGTTTGATCTCATCTATCGTGATTCTTTGGTTTGGATCTTTCATCAATAATTTCGTTATCAAGTCTTTGAGGTAGTCTAGTTCTTTAACATCCTCGTCGGTAGTCCGCTTCACGTGCTTCGTGGGAGGAAACGTGAGTGTCTTGTTAACTATGTTTTTGAACAATCCGTACTCGTTGAAACCATTGAATGGTAGTTCATGAAACTCAAGACAATATAACACAACACCCAAGGACCAAATATCTATTCGCAGATCTATTCGAGTTTTGGACTTGCTGATATCTTCAATCATCGAGAGTCTATTATTGACAAATTGACAGAGTTCAGGTGCATAGAACGCCGGCGTCCCCATGGTCTTACCTAACTCTTTTTGGTCATTTGCGTTGTTCTCCAAAATCAAACTAACCCCAAAATCAGAGATCTTGATGGTTCGGTCTCTACTGATAAGTAGATTGGACGGCTTGAGGTCTCTGTGTATAATGCGTTTGTAATTGTGAAGGTAATCCAATCCATTGACTACATCACGTAGTATGCGGTTCAATGTGAGTCCATCTTCTTTGAAGTATTTTTCATTATAATGGTTATATCGCTTCCAGTCAATCTCCCCGTATTGGCAATATTCAAGTACAAGAAGAATTTTATCGTATTTCAAATCATCAATCACAGAAAAGAGTTTCACCACGTTGGGATGTGAGCATTCTTTCATGATCTGTATCTCGCGTTTGATTTTTGTCGCCTGATTGAGGTAGGTCTTGGTGATAAGCTTCTTTTTGTCTATTCGATTAATAGTTTTGATAGCTACATCCTCCTTATTGGTGGTGTCTAATGCTAAGAGCACCTTTCCAAATTGGCCCTCTCCAACTTTGCGGACTATCCGATATCTATTGTTAATAGTTTTCTTGTGGGTGACAGGATCATCTTCAATGGAAAGCTTGGACACGTCCATATAGTGGTGACAATGACAAATATATTTCTAGCCGTCAAATGGCTAACAATAGTTCATCAAACCCGATATAGTTACAGCGTTGCTTATGTAAGTGATATGGTACAGCTAGAATACATGGCCCATGAAGGGCTTTACCCAATTATTCTCTTAGTTCGCCCACCCTGGCTTCATCTTTTGTGTTTTGTGTTTCCCTGGTTCCGTCTTGTTCTTCATTGAGCTCTTTTATTATTTGGTCTTCGTCCTCAGTTAGTCCGGTGATGTCTGGTGGAATCTCTTGCATTTGTACACTTGGGGCATAAGCCAAGTAGCGTAGTTGCTCTAGGATATCTTGTTTCACACTCTCGAGATATTTTTTGGAGTTTTTGTTGTCTATTCGGCCGTCAAGTTGTGGATGGAGTGAAAAGTCAGGGCCAAACCAATCGTAGGATGGAAGATAATTGGGGATTTTATGGTTCAATGTTACATCTGTGAGCACAGACGTCTCGTAACACCAAAGACGAGAAACGTTACGAGGAGTGTATCCTCCTCCACCTAGAACAAGCATTGGAATTTCGAACGACTTGATAAATTTGACACACTCACCATGTGCCTTGATATTCAAATTGAAGCAGCCCAATCGGTCATAGCCCAAGGAATCTGCTCCGCATTGTTGCACGATACATGTGGGTTGGAACTTGGTGATCAAAGGTTCCATGATCAGCTTAAATAATCGCACATAACTCTCATCATCAATACCATCCTTCAATGGCACATTAATGGCGAAATTCTTGCCCTTGTCCATTCCTCGTTCGTCTATGGACCCTGTCCCTGGAAAGAATTCCCCATTATATTTGTGAAACGATACCGTCATCACTCTATCTGTAGCATAAAACGCTTCTTGTACACCATCACCATGATGTAAATCTATATCTATGTACATCACTCGGGGATGTACACGCAAAAGATTGATGATACTGAGAACGATATCGTTCACATAACAAAACCCACTAGGTTCGTACTTTTTGGCATGGTGAAGTCCTCCCGACCAATTTATCGCAATATCTGACATGCCACTAATAAGCTTACGCAGAGCATCTAGGGTCGCCCCGGCGTATATGGTCGAGTAGTCGTACATGCCGTCGAAAACAGGACAATCGTCTCCTATATTAAAGTGTGCAAGTGTTGATTCTGGTAATTTGGTTACGGTTTCTGGTGTGACTTTGGCCAAAAAGTCAATGTAATCGTCAGAATGGAACTCCAATAGTTCTTCCTTAGTCGCTCGGCGGGGGGTATACAAGTCCATCTTCTCGTACAACTTGTAGGAAATTACCAAGTGGTCTGTAAGCATAAGACGAAACGGCTTCATAGGATGGTAAGGTCCAAAATGGTACTGAGATACCTCTGGATTAAAATGATAAGAAACATTCAGCTGTTTACATATGGAGTCATAAAATGGAGTATTTTCAGCCGTCTTTTTATCCGGCAGAAACGTATCCGTTTCACTGACCGGAACCGACATGAAGATGGCACTGCTGGTTTGCAAGACACAAAAATTGTAGATGTTCGCGCACGTGACCTGGAGGTGGATAGTTTGGATTGAACGCTCAAGTGGCGTCAATCACCATGTCTGGTAAGTACAGAATTAGAGAAACTTTCAATTATTATGGCTATCCAAGTGGCTTTTTTGGTTTTTGGTCAATTATACTAACTCAGGATCTGCTGGTTTTGACAGACACATCACTATTTTCTCTCCTGAGGGAAGATTGTACCAGGTGGAATATGCGTTCAAAGCGATCAATTCGGCCAACATCACCTGTTTAGGAATCACCGGCAAGGACAGTGCCGTTCTCATTTCACAGAAAAAGATTCCTGACAAGTTATTGGACCCCAAAACTGTTTCTTACATGTTCAAAATTACCCCATCCATTGGGTTGGTAGCCACCGGATCCATAGCTGATGCCCGGGCTCAGGCGCTTCGTGCCCGTTCTGAGGCAGCTGAGTTCCGTTACCAGTACGGATATGAGATGCCCGTGGAAAGTTTAGCCAAGAGAATGGCCAACTTGTCGCAGTTATATACCCAGAGAGCATATATGAGACCGTTGGGTGTGGCCCTTACATTTTGTCAAGTTGACGTGGAAGACGACGATAAGGGACCCAAGTTGTTCAAATGTGATCCTGCTGGATACTATACTGGGGTCAAGGCAGTGGCCACTGGACCAAAGCAACAAGAAGCTACGACATATTTGGAGAAGAAGTTCAAAAAGACCGACCATGTAAAGGGAGATTGGAAAGAAACGGTTGAGTTTGCTATTATTTCATTGAGCTCCATCTTGGGAACTGATTTCCGCAAGAATGACATCGAAATTGGAGTAGCTACTGCTGAAGGATTCAGAATTTTATCTGCCGACGAGATCGATGAACGATTGGTGTCAATTGCAGAGCAAGACTAGATTCTAAATAAACGTCAAACATGAATAACTTTTACTGCAGCAAAGAGCTTTAAAAACCTTCTACTAGTAGGTCTTGTAGTCACTTACCACACATAAGGAATGAACATATAAGGGCATGCCTCCACGTATCTATCCCAGTCTTTTCCGTATTTCTTTTGACACTTGGCAGTATCACGGTATCCTCTATGAACCAATACGATGAAAAAGAACACAGGGAAGAACCATGGGAATGGTGAGTTGAAGCCACAAATCAAGCCCCAGGTTAATGCTTGGGTATAATCAGCAGTGTAATGCATCTTACGAGCATACACATACCAGCCATCGGTCAACAAATAAGAACCATTTTCGGTCTTGATGTACTTTGGGTTTTCCAAATCAGAGTAGGGCAAGTATGGGAAGGTTTTGCGCACGGAAGTGTTTCCTGCCATTATTCTTCTGAAACTGTTCTTTTGACGGTTACCGGTGTCAAAGAAGTAGTAAGCGATAAGCAAAATCACGAATAACGTGGTGTTGTATAACGTGGACCATTGGTACTCTTCTGGTTCGTGGAAAGCCAAGTAGAGTGTACAGTGGCAGTAGGTGAAAGGAACACCAGCAATGTTCCAGAATAACAACATGAAGCCAAATTTCTCGTATGCCATATCCCAGGTGGGCACAATGAGCTCCTCACCCTTAGCACAAGCGTTGGCATAGAGCCAATGTGCCAATAAGACGAACAGAGCCTGAGGAGTTACTCTTCCGTATTCATCGATTTGCTTGACAACAAGAGCCAACGACAAGAGGAACAAGATGAACCAAGGGATTCTGACCTCGAAGAACATCTTGAGGTCCAAGTACTTACCGATTCTTGGGTTCAATGGAGCACCCATGAAAATATCGTAGATGTGATTACCGGTCATTCTGTGGTAGTCGTGAAATTTGGTAAGACACAAGACGTACAACACCACGGGCAATATGAGACCATAAACGATGGCAGTGACCATGATCTCTCCAAAGTGGTCCAAAAGATAAGTCAACTTGAAAAGACCAGTGTAATGGAGAATGAGTGCAATAGCCACGGTAGTGTAAAAGGACCACACGGCGTTACAGTAGTAAGGCAATTGCTTGTTGTTCATGTGTGCCAATGGCTGGCCCTTGGTCCAGAATCCTGGTAAAGTCAAGTAAAAGAAACCTTGGACCAACATGAAAGTGGTGAACACAAACCACGAGGTGAATGATGGAATTCCATGATTAACAAAGTATCCCCAGAAATCATTACACAAGAAATCCAGCCAAGCTTGACCTTCAGATGGCCATGCTGGGTATCCACCATAGAATTGAGCGCTAATCCACATATAAATCATCAAGAGTGGAAACCCAGTCATCATTCCAAAGGCTCCTAAAGGACCACCAAATTCCCATTCGATTTGGTCTGGGGCAAGATAGCCTGGTTTGGGTTCAGATTTGTTGACATTTGAGCTGTCATTATCCACCAAAGGAGTTTGCTCCGACATAGCAAATATAGAATGTTTTTCAGTCGGATCTCGTGTACTATATACGCGGCTCGTGTATGAACCGTAAACATACACTAAAATAGGAGTCGTATAGGCTATACGAGTATATGCAGTTATGAGGAGGTTACATTCGGAATTGTTGCACCATATTGTGTTGCAATTTCTATTTTTATATTCATGAAAATGGAAGTGTTTCCACCTCAGGATCGTGGTAGGAAATATCTTCAAATTTTAATTGCTGCAAATTAATGCGATGCTTTCGTACTCTTTCGCAGGCTGCTGCTGCACTACCAGTTCCTAGCTCGACAAGGCCATGGAAATACAAACTTGCCTTTTCTAGGTCGTCAAGGTTATCTATCAACTCAATGCATTGGACAATAGGCGATTGAATCATCATGGCCCTACTGTCAAATATGTTGCGATCGAGATAGAATGAGCCATCGGAACTTCGTTTCTTCACCATTACTAGACTTTCAATTAGAGTTGATACCAACTCTCTGACTAGATGGTGGGTTTTGGGAAGGTTCATCATGCCAGGGGTTATTAGCATCTTGAGATAAAGATGATTGGTGTGCACTTGTTGGGCAAGATCAAACCATGATACTCGCTTTCCTTCTGAAATTGCAAGAGAAGCAGGTATATCTACCTGAACTGTATCCAGTACTTCGAATGTCTTGAGATTTACGCCGGGAATGACTGTAGCCTGAAGAGATTGGTAAATCAATGAAGTAATCTTTGCAATTTGGTTTGTCGATAATCGGTTGTTGGGATGTTCCCTAAGAAAAATTATCCCTCGTACTAGCTCTTCGGCGGCTCTCACATACTCAATGGTGTATCCTAGAAATAGGTTGAATGGGTGAGCACCAGTGGTCACAAGTTGTGACTGGACCAATATTCGATAGTATTCCGGATTGCTGTGTTCATCAAAGAAGCCAGTATCCAAGAACAATAGTTCATCTTCTTGGGCTTGTTCGACTGTTTCTCTATTTTCTGATTTGATCTGTGGTTTGTCCAGTTTTCTGACCTTGCTCAAGGTACCTCCAAGGGGAGAGTTCAAGCCGGCTGTCATCTCGATAGCAAAGTACCAAAGCTTTGCAAGTGCTAGACCAGGTGAAATATTTCGTCGCTTGTAGTTGAGGATGTAATTGAGAAGCAAGTCCTTGGCACCACGAAGATGGGTTCTCCATGAGTGCAAGATGCCCACTTTGTTCACCTTGTAACTTGCTGCAAAATTGGTGGTGAGCACCAAGACAGTAAGAAGAAGACCTTCAATGTCATTCCAAATGCTCTTGTTGACATTTTCACTAAGCTCTGGAGAAAATGCTGCGCTGAGTAGCTTCAAACAGGTGGAAATATGAGTTCTGGAGATAACATCACAGTGTTCATTTCCAAGATTGAATTGAAAGGTTGCAGAGATTGCAAGAAGAGAGTATAGAAGATATGGGCAAGACTTCAGGTGCTGGAGTAGAACTGTCATTACCTGGTTGGACTCAACCGACGATGCAAATGGGAATATTAAATAGGACTTGGGACCGAGACATACGCTTGTCAAAAGCTCTTTGTCTGCGTCTTGTAAATCATATTTTTCAATCACCTCGTTTGCGAGTTTCCTGTTATTCACAGTTCCCAAAATGGCTTCTGGTGCCAAGCTCTCGGGTGACAAGTGCGGCATATCTGCTATCTCTGGGATTATTATATCATCTAATGTCAATTCATGTGTAGCGAGATCATGGATATTAGTAACGAGCGAGTTTGCGTCGTCCAAGAGATCTTTTGCAACTTGTAGATCGAGACTTCCAATTGACTCATTGAAGTCCATCTCCGGTAGCAGAAGAGGTGTGAGCAGATTGGGTATTGGTACAGAAGAAACATGTTTCGAGGACATTTTTGTAGGAGTCTGGCCCGTTAACTTGCTACCCGTGTCATTTCTGTTTCCTCGATTGTGTTCCGTCTCTTGCACTGCAAGAATATACCCCAGATTTTCAAACCTAATTGGTCTTTCAAGATCGTAAATGCATACTTTATGCAATCTTGTGCATTGATGGCATGCTGGTTTTCCCTCATCGCATTTCTGTTTGCGTCGCTTACATTCCTTACACCCATTTCTGCTATATTTCCTTTTCTTTGTCTTTGGTTTGCCGTTTTCCATTGATTGTTGCAGAATTGCAAAATGATATCAAACTTGTACATCTCCACAATCAGTCACTATATACACTCCCGTATACCTACAAGTAAAGTATTCAAATCACACATGATTTATATATACAACTTCCCAGAAGGCAGATAATGTACAATCTAAAATACAAATGTCGAGTCCAAAATGTCCCTTTATGCAATGCTCTGAATTTTGGACATAATTCTTCTTCCGTGGGGGGTGTTTTTGATGCTGGGCAATAATGGCTGAAGCACATCTGAAAGCTTCCGAAGGTCTCCAACGCTAGCTACGTCAAGACTGGTCTGAAGGACATAATTTCCATATGCATCGTTGAGCATGTCTGCGAATCTGGCCTGGTTTGCTAATAAAACTTCAATGAGGGTGTCAGTCAACGTACTGATCCTAAGCGATTTTTCAATGACATTCGAACCAAATTTGTGAAGTGACAACGTGACAATATTGTTACGGATATGGCTGAGGACAATCTCGATCGATTTCGCATCTCCCCTTGTCAAAACGTATTGAACAACGTAATTACCAAATGGGTCGAACGAAAGGTTGGTTGCGTTTTGTGCAACTTTTAATGACAATTGTGCTCTCTGGGCCATGGTTCCATGGTCTAAACACCGTTGTAAAACGCAACATCCATGTCTATGGGTAGCAATCTCGTTACAATGGAAGGCAGCAGTATCGAAAATGAACTGATTGTTGGCAGCGGAAAGTCTTTGAAGACACTTTTGGACAACATGGTTACCGTTCAAGTCTCTTGACAATGCAACAACATGAGGCGAAAGCGACTTGATGAGAAGTTGCGATTCCTCTTCAGTGGAAATACATTCAACGAGCTTTTGAAGAGCTCTAGTGCCATGAGAGTCAAGTGCTATTCTCATGAATTCTGGTGCAGCATTCTTGACCAATATGACTCGTTGGTCTGTAGAAACATGTTCAAACAACTTTTGAATCAAGTAATTGCCAAAAGGGTCCACCATCAAATCCACTATTTTAAGGTAGATTTCATTAAATATCATAGTCGCAACCACGCTACTCTGCTCTTTACCATGTCCATTATTCTCCTTACCGCCCAGGTCAAGTTGCCTTTGAAGAAATCGGCATCCATGCTGGTCTTTGCAGAGGTTATAGATTTCTCCACTGAAATCACTCAACTTGGCATTGGCATATTTCGCAGCATCGTCTCCTCTTCTTCTGCTCATTTTCCGGTGAACATTCATTCCCTCATACATATTTCTGCGGTTGTTACCCGAGTTGAACCGCCCATTAAAGCCTTGATGACGTTCTCCGCTGTTTCTTGTGTAGCCTGAATGGTGTGGCTGATGCTGTGATTGTACATGTTGAAGAGGTTGTTGGTGGGGCCAGGAACCACTCAATTGAGCCATGGGAACCTGCATTTGTTGCATCATTGATCCAACAATTGGCAATTCAGAGTAATGAGGCATCCCGGCTTCGGCATAAGGAGCCTTTTGATCAAATGGCTGGAATTCGTGGATCGAGCCTGGAGTACCACCAGGAGTACCGCTGGTGGAAAACGATCTTGAAACTGAATGTTGTCCAGAAGTGACTCTTTCAGCCAGTGATCCATCGGCATCACTCTCTGAAGAGCTACCCTCGGTCTTAAAGCTGTCCAATTGGTCTCCAACTCTCAAAGGATCACCTATTCTGAAGGACTCCAATGTTCCACCAAATGGTGCACCACCAAGTTGAAGTTGCGGTGGAGGAGTTGAAAATGGCATATTTAATGACGAACCTTTGTTGTCTCCGGTTTTGGTCTGACCTTGGCTTTCTTCTGGAAGCTCAAAAGGTTTGACAGACATCAAATCGGCATTGACATTTTGTGAGAGTGGAAGCTGAGGAGCCGAGGCAGGAACAAAATTGCTCCATGTTCCGCTAGGAGTGTTCCCATAAGCGGACCCAAAGGTTCCTATGGACTGGGCGTTAGGAGTGAGGGATCCAGCTTGGGGGTATGCATAAAGCTGGTTCTGAAATTGTTCATAAAATTGAGATTGAAATGGAGTGGATGCATTGGTGGCAGCATGGATGCCACTGGTTGACGAGTCTGTTGGCTTGGAAAGCTCGAAATCAAGATCAAGGCTGTTCAATGCTCCCACAATATCGATTTCTCCATTAGCAGAAGCAACTCTTGAAGCTGGTTGGTTTCCATGTGACTCGGCGTTGCCAAGTCCGCCACTTCCGCCAGCTTCTCTGGTGAAAAAATTGGACCCGTGTGAAACCGAACGAGCTGAAGGTCCCTGATTGTTACTCTTTCCTTGAGTATTCCCGACATCAGCCTTTGGGGTGGAAATCGAGGCAGACCGAGCAGACATCACCAACGTGTAAAAATGCAAGTAGGAGATACCGTGACGAGAACCGTAACAGTTGGTTCAACAAAGCGGTAATGGCTTCCAAAAACCCAACTAATAGGCCACAACCGGTGGTAAAATGGTCAAAAATTGGTATGGAAAAGTCACCTCGTCGTAATGACTCTAATGAAGGCGTAAGACAGATTTGTGCAACGTTGACAAGGTAAAACAAGTCTCAAATTCGCCCTAATACTTGTGACAGTCGTGTGAACGATTTGGCCAGTTTCTGTACACTAATCTCTCCAACAACGTCTTCTGAGGTTGCGGATCTGACTTTTGCACTCAACAAATGAGGTCGTTTTTGATCCCGGATGGGAAAATTTGTTGTGCAGGACACGAGGGTGTCGTCCGAGCATAATGCAGCAAAATCTGAGGTGTTGCACTTTACTAAAAAACGGCTTTTGAATTCTACATTACTTTTCTACAACTACGTTCATGATTTAAGTGACCATCAGCTTCACTGAATTGGAGCACCTTTTTCATCAAGGCCTGCACACAACCCCGATTTTGGTCTTTTCGCGCTTAAACCTGTAGGGTTGAGACCGGGCTGCGAAATCCCATTGTGAGAAGGTTCTGGTTGTTCTTGATGATGATCGGCATTTGAAGTTGGTGGTGGTGCATACAGCTAAAGTTTGAAGAATTGCGAAATTTGTGGATTCAGAGTAAAGATGTTGAAGTAAGGGATAATTGGCATATATTGCGTAAATTGCAACTATGAGTTTGCAGATTGAGCAGAAATTAGTAATTTGCAATTGTTGCAAAAAAGTTGGAAGTCCATTACAAGTCGGTTTCGTGCCACTGGTCCACAAATTACACCAGTATCCAAGTAATCCTAACCAAAGCACCCTATTGAACAATTTCTTTATTCTCTTTACTTCCATTTCCCATCGAATCATCGGCTGCAATGAAGATCATCTATGATTTCATCTGTGATAGTCATACTTGAACAATTCAGCAATCACGTTCTGTGGGTCTGTATCGTCGACCGTCCTAATTAGATACCTGAATTGTTGAGCCTCCACTGATGAAGTTATCTCGATATTCGGTATTAACAATGTATCAGGCAAAGTATCCGAGAGTAGTACAGTCACCTTTAGCTGTAGGGACCTTTCGATCAGGATTTTCGATCACAAAACTCTGGAGCATTATCTTCGTTGGAATATTTCATGTTAGTAAAATATTCCACATCATTAACGATGTTTGCTGACGAGCTTGAGCTAGGAATAGTACTTTTCGCCAAACCATGACTAGCGTCCACAATTTCTCCAATCAACTTTCTCGTCAACCTTATAAACTCGTCAATGGTGGTTTAGGAGTTCATCTTTTCCCCCCGATTTCCTCTTGTGAACCATTAAGATCTTGCTCTTCACCTTTTTGTTTCGAGTCAAGGTTCTTGTCAAAAGAATGACTTTGTGCCTGTTTATACTTCCGCAATTTAGAATCTGCGACGTAATCTATGACTTTGATTGCAATGATCAAGTACACAAGAAATCCAATCACGAATAAGAATACCATTGAGGATTCATGAGCTCCTGCGATTTTAAGTGCAATGGCTACGAACATAAGCAGTACAATTGGAGGTACGAGCATTATTAAAAAAATTCTTATCGGTTTGTCTCTGCCTGGCTATCCTTTGTATCTCTTGATCGTCGTCCAACATTGTAATTATTATACAGATTATTTTCCGCTCATTCTACTGTCCTAGTCTTTAGATATTTGGGGCAATATGCAGTACGTGTGTGTTGATACTAAAAGGCTTTTGTGTGGGCCACTATGAATTTGGTGACTCTGCAATACTCACAACGCCCCACTCGGATGTTAGTACATGTGGCAGTCAGCTTGAACTTTAGTTGCAAAGAAATAGCTTCTTGGTCCGACTGCTACCATAATTCGTGATTCTGCATATAGTCCTATCTCCTGCATATTCAAACAGATCAACAGGTGCCGAATTCAATCTAAACTACAATGGACAATCTGGAATTGTCGTATAAAAAGCCATCTAAACAGGGCAAGGGAGAGGATGTGGGCTCAGAGCCTCTAGCAGAATCACTGAGAGTCCCTTCACGAAAGGTATCTTCACGAAGACGAGCCTTACAAGATTTCTACAAAATTTCAGAAGATGACCAAAAACAAAAGTCAGAAAAGTCGCCGGAAATTGGAGCGAATGAGCCTGAACAGACAAGCCACCACCTAAGGGAGACTGAAAGTACAGGAGAAACGGATTCTGTCGCATCTGTAGACTTTGAAGATGCCGAATCCATCAAGCAATTTTTGCAACTGGCGTCTATAAATGATTTACTTAAAGTGCGTAATGGAGTCAGTGGCAAACTTCTATCACAAGAACTGACAAAGAAGTCGATCATATACGACAACTACTACGAATTGATAAAGTTGCGTCAGATTCTTGATGGAGTATCAAAGTCGAGCATAGTCAACACTACCCAGTCCACCCAAAGTCCTTTGGATGATCTCACCAATTTAAGCTCACGCAAAGAAGCTTCAGAAAGCGTGAAATCTGTAGAGCAGATACTTGGTGATTTGAAGAATTTCATCAACAAAGAATCAAAAACTTTTCATGCCGATTTCAACTCGGTAGTTTCGAATATCACCAGTGAACATCATCGTCTGGACTCGACCGCTAGCATAGTTGCCATCCCTGAAAAGGAGGGAACACCAGATTTCGACTCGGCTCAATTAACAGCGGAGATATCTGGTATACTAAATCCTGCTCATGCCAAGAATAAAGATTATATCAAATCTTTGATTGAAAGTGTCAACCCCGACAATGTACTACTTCAGCAGGATATTAAGGATCTCGAGTAGTACTATGCTATATCAAATCATTAACCTTGTGATTTTTGAACTTGCGTGCAGCTCGATCAGGCGATCTGAATTCAAACCTAGTTCCCGCTATGGTAAAACCCAAACATTCTTCCTCGTTATCCTTGGGTATTAGCACATCGAAGCCGAACAAGCTTCCCTTCTTGGCAATAGCTCGGAGTCCACCAACTTGCTCTGTAGGCGAAAATGAAGTTTTGTGATCGTTACCATCTTTGGCATCTTCATTTTGCGGAACCACTAGTATGAAAGTATGCTGTGTGTCCAAAACAACTATTCCCCGGACTCCTTTCAAGAGTTTATTGCTAGAATCAATCACCGTCAAGAGACATCCGTGGTAATCAGCAGTAGCTAATTTGGGGAGCATAGTGCCAATTCCCGGAAGAGTGCTGGAATCTGGGTTCGGAAAGAGTAAAGTTTGAATGTAGTCCTGCCACATATTGTTCATAGCGACAAAGTCGGAATATTGGGGAATTGAGTACTTTTCAATCATCTTTTTAATCGGAAACGTCTTCCTCTTTGCTTCATCAACGTTCTTATATCGACGATTGTGTGCTTGTATTTTCTTCACTAGTTTCTTTTGGTTGTTAAGTGTAGTTTTGACATAGTCTCTGACGACATATCGTGTCTTTTGCTTACGAATGGCATCCATAGACCTTGTTTTCAGTCTCGTATTCAACGATGGCCGATTTGAGTCTGATGCCATTCCAGTAGGAAGCAAGACTAGCGAAGGCTTCTGATCGCCAGAAACAGAGTATCTGGATGATAAGAGCTCCTGGATTCTGGACTCGGAGTCATAGCACCTGGTGAGCAAATGTCGTTCCAAGGGATCTTTTCTGTTCATTATCAACGGTTATCGATGGTAATTTTCGCGATGAGAGTCTGCGATGAAAAGTTGAAATATGATTCGGTTTGCAACACAATATCGTGCGGTGAGGCCGAGCCTTCGTAGAACCTTCATAACTCCTCCATTTGAAAGCGACTTGACGGAGGTGGATGCAGATGACTTCAATTTGGCTGATTTCCAACATATTGATCCCACAAAGATAAAGCCAACCGAACAAAACACAGATGGCTTTCATAGTTCATTGAGTCAGGTGGCAGAGGTCAAGAAACCGTTGGTAATTGTATCAAAACTCAACGACCCGTATATAAACTTGGCATTGGAAGACTACATTTTCACAAAAATGCCATTACCAAACCACAAACTGCATAACTATAACCGTCTCATGTTCTACACAAACACACCTTGCGTTGTCATCGGAAAGAATCAGAATCCATGGAAGGAAGCCAATCTTCCTTTACTCAATTCATTGCATATTCCATTAGTAAGGCGAAATTCCGGTGGTGGAACCGTCGTTCATGATATGGGTAATGTGAACTTTTCCTACATGACTACCAAGGAGGCTTTCGACAGGCTAAAATTTGCAAATATTGTCGTAGAAGCCGTCAACAAGCATGCAAGTTCACCGGTACAATTAGAGGTGAACGAAAGAGGAGATATAGTCACCAAAAGCATCGATGGCATAAATTATAAAGTCAGCGGTTCGGCCTACAAATTGACAAAAGGAAGGTCGTATCACCATGGGACCATGCTCTTGAATCTGAGACTCGATATTCTCGGTCAATTGCTTTCACGAGACGAATCCAAGTTGGGCAAAGTTGACGCCATGTCTTCCATTCCATCGGTGAAATCAAAGGTGAAAAATGTAGAGATACCGAGTGATGTCTTCCGCCAGGTGGTCACAAACGCATTCAAAAGCTATTCTGGTGAAGAACCAGAGGTTTTCGAGATAACTAAAGGAACCGAGTTACCATCTGAAGTGTCAGAGCTTGCAACGCATTTAACAACTAGAGAGTGGGTTTACGGTAATACTCCCAAATTTACCCATGAATTACGCTCAGAAGAATATGGATTTACCGTGAAGTTTGAAATGGATCGAAAGACGGTTGTCTCCTCGGTTATCTTGCAATTTGATGCCGCAGTCAGCGAAACCGAAGAAAAGGTTATACGTGATTCGTTTCAATATTTGGCATTGATGGCGAAGAAAGGTGTTCTCAAGTACTCCGGGAGCGAGGTTGCCGGTTTCGTTACCCATGATGAGATCAGTGACTGGTTAGGAATGGCAATTGACGGTACCACATAATCAGTAACCGCACGTGAGAACCGGTTCTCGAGTTCATTGTTACTATAAGCTTAAATGGCTACAATGGAACTTTTCCTGCGGACTCGGAGGTATCCAAGCTATTCCGTAAAAGTGCCTTTTACGGCGCCAATAGCACAGGAAGGAGCTCGATTTCCGCGCATCGGTTCATCCACGGCTACTCGGAAAAGAAGTGGAGTTCGCAGAAAATCTGGGGTACACTTATATAAGCTGGGGTTTCCCCACCCCACCAGAATTCCAGTTTCGAACAATAATGAAAGCAGTCAGGCAACTCTCAACTTCGTCTCGGATTCTTGCCAACTATGGATTCATTGGTCTTGGTCAGATGGGCCAGCATATGGCCAGACACATCTATAATCAATTGGAGCCTAATGATTCACTCTACGTTCACGATGTTCTGCGGGATGCCACCGAGACTTTTGTTAACACGGTGACCAGTGCTTCTCCCGACAGAAAAGACTGTCTCAAAGCATTGTACAATATTTCAGATTTTGTCACTGGAGTCAATGCTCAGTTAGATTACATTATCACCATGGTACCTGAGGGAAGACATGTCAAGGGAGTTGTACAACAGCTCATTGAAACTTACCAACAGGGTGCTCCTTCCACCACCAAGACCACTATTCTTGACTCGTCCACCATTGACATTCCTACATCAATTGAAGTACACAATTATGTCAAACAACAGATTCCTGAATTTGACTTCATTGACACTCCGGTTTCGGGAGGTGTTGCCGGAGCAAGAAAAGGAACGCTTTCGTTCATGCTCTCTCGTCCTACTGACGAGTCTATTTCTCCTAGTTTGAACACTCTTCTTAAAAAAATGGGTAAGAATATCTTCCCTTGTGGAGCCAATCATGGTGCTGGTTTAGCTGCAAAATTGTCAAATAATTATCTTCTCGCAGTTACAAACTTGGCGGTTGCGGATTCGTTTCGCTTGGCTCACTCCTTTGGTCTTGACTTGGTCAAGTATTCCAAATTGGTGGCAGTTTCCACTGGTAAATGCTGGGCCGCCGTCGATAATTGTCCTATTCCTGGAGTGTACCCTGCAGAATACCGCTTGCCAGTAGATGATGGTTATAACGGTGGGTTTATCACCAAGTTGACCAAAAAGGATTTGGTGTTGGCTACTGATGCTGCCAAGTTCAACGACCGTTTCTTGTTCATGGGAGACGTTAGTAGACACTGGTACGAAAAGGCTTGCGAAAGAGAAGACATAGCCAGCCGTGATTTGGCTGTCTTATATGAATGGTTGGGAGACATGGAGCAGCAGGCAGACGGTACCATTGTCGATAAAAAAGATGTCTAAGTAGCAGTATATATTGCAAAAAGACTACATTTTATAAATAAGGTGTAGACTACATAATGTAATCGACATTGAATCCGGGAACCTCTTTTCCCTCGATGATACGCTCAGGTAAGAAAGTATTGTCGTTGGTGCTTCGACGAGATCCACTATCGGTGGAATTGGAGCTTTGAGACGAGTTATCTCCATTCAAAGCATCTACGATTCCAAAGCTTTTCTGTCTTGCTTTATCTGGAACGACTGGCGTCTTCAGCTCTTCTTGATAATGCTTTTTGAGACGGGGGTTTCGAAGCAGCGACAAGTTACCTGATTTGTATAAATCGTCGATGAAGTTACCATTCATAAACTCGGTGATTCGTTGGGCACCAAAGGCATTACTTGTCCGGCGATCATGGAATGAAGTGATGGACGAATTTCTGCTCTCAATCGGCACATTGTCCAAAGAGGTAGTTGACTCGCTGAGCAATGGAAGCGTTTGCTCAACCGGTGGATCCAGGGTTGTAGAGCCCTCTGAACTGAACGACGATTGCCTCGACTTGGACGTACTTTGATTTTCATGGTTAAGATTTTCCTGGTCATGGACAGGCACAGTATCTTCTACCTTCAGATTGATCGATTGTTGGGAATCAGTAACGTCAGTCTCATTATGCCCGGTTGTTAACGACGATCCGCTGGATTGAGTACCCTTGGACGAACGAGATCTGTTATCAGAATCGCCTGCCAGGTGATAGTCTGAACCCAAATGCTGTCTAAGCATCTCTTTGATAGGAGTCTCGGACCCTACAATCAGTGGGAATGGACTAGCTCCAGCAATTGTCGAGCCATGGGTAGCTTTTTGACTGTCGTTTATGCGGAGCGGTGACAAGGAAAGAGACTGAGAAGCCTCGTATGCTGGAGGTGGCCCTGCCTCGAGAGGTGGTCCGCCTGACAAGAGAGGTGAAGTAGCTGCTTCAAATGTTGGAGGATTGAAAGATGGTCTCCGGACCACATGGATTGGACGTTGCATTGGTGAGTTCAATGGCAGTATAGTTGTGTCTGGCTTTGCCTGTGATGCACTGAGATTGTGATCGATGGAGTCAGCATTTGGTTGATACAAATTGGCTTCCAAGTGCATATTGGCATCACGCTCAATTGGCTCTCCTTCACTCATGGGAGAGCTGATTCTATAGGGCGAGCCCAGCCTGTCCACGGGAAGAGTATATCCTCGAGCAAGCAAATCATTCGGATCATGATCACTAGATAAAGCTGTCACATCTGGAGATAATGGGGGAGACGACATTGCTTGAGGAGCATTTAGGTCCATTTCATTTTCGTACGCTGGCAATAAAGTATTGCCGTGAGCAGCTTGAGGAGATAAGACATGAATGGGTGAATCAATTGAAATTTCATAATGCTTCCGTTTGCCTGCACTCTCGTCATTTCTTGAAAGACGAAGACATATTTTTATCCAATGATGAGCTTGAATATTTGTGAATGAAGTATCTGGATGTAACATGTGATTGTGGTACCTGTTGAGCACTTGTGGAACGTATACTTGGAATTCCAATTCTCTTGGTAAGATTTCGACATCTTCCTCAGAATCAACAGCGCTGTCTGAAAGCAACGAATGACCCTTGGGAGCTTTGTGTTCAAGCAAGAGGTATTTTTTCTCGGGTTCCATTCTATGAACCTTTTTGTTGAGGCAGTAGTATTCGAGATGTTCGGTGAAATAAACTCGAATTCGATGAAGCGCTACTTTTCCGAACAATGGAACAAACCTGAATGCAAGTGGAAGGTAAGTATTCAAAATGACAGATTTAGCACCAACCACGATATCATACTGGATCTGGTCGTCCCAGGTTCGTGTGATGACAATTGGCTCGTTCTCCTCGAGATTTTCCTCTGATGGAGTTCGTATAATTTCGACGGGAATTTTCCCTGTCAACGTGGGTTTAAACGTACCATATCGAGCCACCGTGACTTCCAAATGATAAAACACCGACCCGAACGTCACGGACGTCGTTTCAGGAAGCAGCGGGTGGATCGGGTGCTCAAAATTATAGATATAGTCACCGGGCACAAAACTCCCTGCTTTGGATGAATCGTCGTTGACCGAACTCATAGGAGAAAGGTCAGCTAATGAAGTGAAAGATGAGCCAGCATCTATCGTTGCCCGCTTCACAAGTCTTACAGGCGAGAGACCGCTGTTTAAAAACCCTGACGACGAAACATCTGGAGCGGGCGATGTGCCTCTTGAGATGGTCTCAGCAAGGTTGAGACTAGATACATCGTGGTCTCCATGTCTAGGTAGTTCTCTGTAGAAGTCAGCACCGTTATTGGGCGTGATTGCTGTGTTACCCAGCTGAAAAAACGGCCAAGTGTGAGAGATAATGTCATTAATCTCAACAGTTTGATTTCGTTTTGGCGGGATTCCTTCGGGCCAATCGGTGCGTTCCGCTCCTTTAAATTGCAAAGTAAGCGAGCGTATCCTCGTCGGTTTGAGGACCCTCAACCAGAGGCATCCCCTCAACAAAGTAGGAGGCCTTTCAGCATACTCATTGGAGTCGAACCCTTGCAAAAAGAGACGATCTTCGGCTGGAATAACGTACACTTGCAACGTTGAAGTCAGACAAACAGGTTTGTCCGGAAGCTGAGGAAGCAACACCTGGTTTCTGGACTCCATGTCTGTATCTCCAGCGAGTGTTAATCGCTGGGGCGGGAATATCGGAGACCTTGGTGCTTGCATTGGGGATTAAAAATCGGCTCCGTAATAATTGATATGAGTCGTGCTTGTCTGCAGGACGATAACGTGAAGAAGCAATTTATATTACGTATGAGATGGTGACGGCCTGAACAGTAGATTTGGGAGTTGCAAGTAGCTGGTTGTTCCTCCGCTAATTCTTCAAGTATTAAGTTTGCTTGCTGAGCACCAGTGCCTGGAATGGTCCATGCGCGGCACTATTTCAGTGCGGCTCACTGAAAATTGACGGATCGGTCCGAATTGACCGAAAAATTCGACGCCAAAAAATTTGATGGAAAATGGTATATTTTAGCTCAGATTTGTTAGCGTCGTTTCGGCGATCACGTTGGTACTGCAATTGACCCCGTTGGTATCTTCAATTTGTGTTCTACTCTCATTACCCTAGCACACCCATACACCACTGAATTGATTTTGGCTGCGATAAAATGCTTTCGGATTATGTTACTTGGTAGGTGCCCCCAAACTAGATCCTTTTGCCAGACACATTTGAGGTCAATATGGCGAAAACCTCAAGATCATTATGCCATAAACTGTAAATATGGCTGGTTTTTTATTCCAAAAACTCATTTTGCTCCTCGTTGGACGGTGAAAGCCATCAATCAAGTCATCGAAGACAACATCGTAGAAGATCCTAAAATGGCGGAAGACTTGGAATCTCTTCAAAAGTTGGTAGATGTGTGGGCAAAAACTGTAGATATAAAGGAAAAGCCAAATGTTGAAAAAAAGACGAGAGCGGATGTCAAACGCCAAAAGGAACAAGCGCTCTATCGAACCCAGTTAAGAGAAGATATTGTAAAGCAAGCAGATCCCTCTGTCAAATCTAAACCCACTCCTCGTGTGAAGCTACTGGCTGCAAACACAGTCTCGTTTACTCATGCGTGGAATTACTATTTCGCAACTCATCATAAGGTGTATCTGCATTTGGGCTCAAAAGAAGCACGAAAAGCAGTTGCCAGCGATTGGAATCTTTTATCAGTCGATGACAAGGAACATTATAGACAAGAATATGCGGCTCTACTCGAGCAAGGCAAAGACGTATACAAGGGTGAGATTGTAACGAAGGAAGAAAAGCTTAAACGCACCGGAAAAAGAACGAAAAAGTAGATCACTCTGTCACTATATATGCATTACAGAACTTCATTCAGTACAATTTTTTATTACTGTGATTTCACACGATGACCGGCATGTCTTCGTCATTTTCGTCGTAGTCTTCCAAGTTGAACACTTCAAAGTTTTCTTCATCCACCAAGCGCTTCAACTGTTTCAAATCTATACCAAACTTCTTATTTGTAGCCACAATGTTGTGCCATATGTTCTGCAAATTACCTTTAAGCTTCATTTTTCCACAGCAATTTCCGCTCATTGCGTCAAAGATGTCGCTAAAGTTTTCCATCACTTCCACATAAATTTTGATGTTTAGCTGATTATGGAGGTTGAGCTCATCTACCAAAAGCTCGGAAGGAAGCTTTATGAGCTGTAGGTGAAAAGTGCATAGAAACTGAAAGAAGAAATTTTTGTTTCGATCCAAAAATGATTTGCTAGTCAGGACCAATTTGGCCAAACTTAGCCATTGCATTCCAGAGCAAAAACTACCGACCGCCACAAAATTGACAAATGCCAATTGCAACTCGGCAATGAGCAACTCGTTATCATGGCCGTAAAGCTCTTGTAGATACCACGACTTGTCGAAATGATCATCCGTCAACTCTTGTCCCGTTCTGTCTTCTCTGTGTTTTTCGTGCTGAATTATTGTATAGTTGATTTCCTCTTCATCTTCTTTGACAGGTGGAGTTTTGTCGGATGTCTGGTTACGATTTAGAATCTCGGTGAGTGCAATTCTTTCCTCCCTGGACGGCATGATCGTGCTGACAGCTCCAGACCCGTTTTTTGTGGGTAAATACTCTTCTATTATCTCAAAGTCAATCATGTTCGTCAACTTGGTCCATTCTTCTGCATCTCCAGGATAATTGACCATATACTTGTAGTCATCTCCAAGGTGTGCCATACCCTTTGAGTAGTCCAACAGGTTCTCTTCAACCATAACGAGTTGATGCAATTCCTCATCCCAGAAGAAGATGTGAACAAAACCCTCTTTGCATTCAATCCAATGGCCGTATCTGAGACTAGAAAGTGCGTTTTGTTTGTCTGAAGTATCTGGTTCTGTCAGTGCTTCTGAATAATGCAAAAGATGAACCCCATCAGGAATCAGCTTAATACCTTTAAAAACCTGCTTCAAGTTGAAGAATTGAAAATCTATTCCCATAAGCCACGAAGAGCTTTGAACAGGGAGATTGAGGAATACTAGGGTCGTTTTGGGCGGCCGTGACATTACTCCATTTTATCAAATGTTCGATTTTTGTGCGCTGCAAAAAAAAGTCTATCTTATATGTCTTATGTAACCAACTCAAAGCTGTGTCTATCTCTAACAACGTCATCAACTTCATACTCTGAGTAGTCGTACAAGCCAGTAAACTCTCGCTGGATCAACTCCGCCAATATATATCTGTCGATAAAACCTCGTAAAATTCTATGATCATCCTGACTGGAAACGACCAATAAGTAGTTCAAGTGTAGTTTTTCAAACATATCCAATACTTGAACCAACCGGCAACTTTCGTTGACAATGACGTTTGGAACATCAGGAGCTATGTCTAGCTTTACGCATTGACCAAGGGATCTCTCGTAGTGTAGTTGTTGTGATAAAGCGATATCTGGTAACCCTGATACCTGCAAACTGATAACCATATCCTGGGGTAAAAAATATTCAACGGTCAGAATGGCAGCTCTTAAATCCACCTTGGTGATGTAACCCAAGCTGACAGGCTCGCGGGTGCTCAAGAGAAGAGGGTAGCCTTCATGGTTGTCGCCGTTGACAAGATCGAGAATCAGAGAAATGGTATAGTCGGTATCAGGCACAATGTATAGCAGTTTAGGTTGAACCATAACCGATAAGAGAGGTACATCAGGAAGTTTTTGTTTCACTCTTGATGTTGCATTGGTGAAATCACACATTCCGTCACCTTTTCCCTCATTGACTGGGCCCATGTAGTCCATTCCTCTGTTGAAGGTGGATTTCAACCACGAATCATAGATGTTGTAGTTGCTCAACAGGTCGTTGACAAACTTCAGAACCATTACCGCACACATGATTGGTAATACGTAAGTGAGAGCGCCAGTCAATTCGAACATTATCACCACGATACTCATGGTGAACTTGGTGATTCCCGCACCAAATGCTGCAGCACCCACAACCGCATACGATGAAGGAGAAACTATGCAAGAGTTCTTAGTGCAAGTTGCCAAAGAATCCAAACTAAGAGCCAGTTGGAGAAGTTGGGATATGATTCCTAGTAAACGTCCAGTGGTGGCACCAAGAACTAAAGACGGCGTGAGTACTCCACCTGGTAAATATACGCCATAAGTATATGCTGCAAGTAAGGAACCTTGAGCAACAATGAACAAAAGTTTCCCTATGGTCACGCCCGAGGATGCCAGGCACATGAAGTTGGAGGAGTTTTGGGTTAGGTCGTCAGAGTCAGGACACTCTAAAAAGAGCGCCTTGAGGTATGCGTTCAAGGGAAGTTTTGAAATTTGTAACGGAAAATTTGCAATGCTGGTGATTATTGCAATCAAGATAATCTCAATATAATTGCCGTACTTTGATTCTGAAATCCTGCAAATGGATAAAAGTTTTGAGTGGACCCTGCTCTTGAAGTCAACTGACGAGAAAGCACGGTTCAATTTCACAAAATAGTGGCCGTGCACTCCGCCTATGGCTCCGAGCAAAACGAATGGAATGGTTTCCATGAAAAGCCAACTAAAATTTCCAAACTCAACCAGAAACAAATCTTGTTCGTCGAAATTCTGGCCTTCTGTAAACACTTTGGATCCTGTAAGCACAACCACGGCCACTGTTGTGGCCACAAACGAGTTCCACATGATCCTGGTGGGCATAAAGTAAGTGGGCATGCACTCGAGAACAAAAAGAACTCCTCCAATTGGCGCGTTGAACGCAGCAGCTATTCCAGTGGCTGCGGCTGCACTTAACAATTCACGGCGGAGTCCTTCGCTTCTATCGGAAGACGTTACCAATAGCTCGTAAAGAACGTTGACTACGCAACATGAAACATGTACCAAAGGTCCTTCCTTACCAAGCCAGACACCCGAGCCCACAACCAATGTCAAACCAAGAGTTTTGTACAAGAAAGCTGGTAAACCCAAGTAGGAGTCAATTTTGTACTCGAAACCAGATATGATGATCTTGATTTCTGAGATACCTGAATGTCTGATAACAGGAAGGCGCTCGATGGTTATATATGCTGCTCCACCAACCAAGAGCACGGCGAGGACGAGGAAAATGGGAAAGTTGACAAAAATTGCTGAAACCAGGCCATTACTTCCAAATATTATCTCAGACCAATTGTGCCATTCATCAACAGGACATGTCAGATACGGATTAAGGAGCGACCATTGATCTCGCTTACTGTAACAGATTCCTTTTTTCAAATCATTGAGCCACGCAGAAGCCAAATCAAGAACGGTGGTGACATAACCGACGATAATTCCTGTCAAGACGATTATGATCCACTTGCGAGAGGTGATACTAGGAGTTGATGTATATGATTCTCGGCTCCAGTCGATAAAGCTATTATCTTGGATATGTCGGTGTTCCTTATTTCGCTGTAATTTGGCCGGTTTCAAGCGGTTTGTACTCTCAATTATGGGTATATTACTATCGGTATATCGAAATCGTACCAGTGTAGGTTGTGAAAATGCCATTATGAAGGTCTAAGTGAAAAATATACTGTTCCGAATGGTGTTCTAGATGGTGCTAAAGAGAGGTTGGAAGACGAATATGCTCAAAAAAGTCCTCAAAGTCTATAATAATAGTGTATGCTAGCAATGATATGCCAGGATTCGCATCCAAAATCACCACCGCGGTCACGTGCAGGTATATTCACTGATGAGAAAAACACAGAGTTGACGCTTCATGTCTTATTTAGGTACATCTTCTGGACCCACCACGGCCACCGCGGCCACAGGAAAGGAGCTACTCAATGATGTGACTGTGAACAATCCACCAGAGGATTCTGTGAGCGATTTATCTTTTTCTCCTACACAAGATATGTTGGCAGTTGCAAGTTGGGACAAGAAGGTTCGAATTTACGACATTGATCCCTATAGTGGAAATAATCAAGGAAAAGCAATGTTTGAGCATGAAGCTCCAGTATTTTCCGCGCAGTGGTCAATTGATGGAACCAGAGTCATAAGTGGTGGTGCTGATAAGCAGGTGAAACTCTTTGATTTGGCCAGTCAACAAGCCCAGCAAATAGGTGTTCATGATGCTCCAGTTAGCTCCGTAAGGTACGTCGAGTGTGGGCCAACTAACGCACAGGTTGTGGTGAGTGGCTCGTGGGATAAGACTTTGAAATACTGGGATATGAGAGCTCCTCAGCCGGTGTCCACCATCACTCTTCCTGAGAGAGTATACTCGATGGATACTACGCAAAAACTCTTGGTAGCAGGCTGCGCAGACCGTCACATCTGTATTGTTGACCTTAATAATCCACAGCAGCTTTTCAAGACGTATCCATCTCCATTGAAATGGCAGACCAGAATTATCAAGTGCTTTCCACAAGCTGATGGTTTTGCCATTGGTTCGCTCGAAGGAAGGTGTGCCATCCAATACATAGACGAGGCCAAACAAAAGGAGCTTGGATTCGTATTCAAGTGTCAAAGAAAAGTTACCAACCCGCCCGGAACCCTTGGGCTGCGCACCAACAGTAACAGTGAATCCGATATCTATGCTGTCAACGCCGTTCAGTTCCATCCTATTTATGGTACATTTTCTACAGCCGGAAGCGATGGTACTTTCAGTTTCTGGGACAAAGATGCCCACCAAAAATTGAAATCATTCCCCAATGTGAACGGTACCATTTCATGCACCGGGTTTAACCGAAACGGCTCAATCTTTGCTTATGCTGTGAGTTACGACTGGTCCCAGGGACATATGGGAAACCGTCCGGATTACCCTATTACAATTAAATTACATCCAGTCAAGGACGAAGAGATCAAGCAAAAGAAGAAGAAGTAGCATAGCATAGAAGTACGATACGAAAAAAATACTGTATGATACACGTATAGAAGCTAATTTTTTATTGTAATCATCTTCGCGTTATCGAGCCGTTCTATAACAAGGGTCCAATGGACCTGTCATTATTGCAGATACGATCCTACAATGAGCCAGCCTCACGTGAGCTTATCTCACGTACAGCCGTCCGGACCGGTTTCCCAATGCGCCGGTCACGTGACTGAACTGGGGGGTTACCCCATATAGGGTAAAGAAATCCGCTCAATCCCAAACATTTTGGTGTATCAAGGACAAATTCACTTATGAGCTTCCCTATATTTCCCCATCCACTTCTTTCCATTCCAAATTCTCTCCATAATTCTCAAGTCCACACCGATAATTTTTTACACACCGTCGGCTGCTTAGGTAAGCCACATTTGCCCCGAGCCACGCCCAGCGAAAAGGGTACCAAGCACCGGAGTGTCTGTGAAAGGATTAGCACTTATATTGTCCAGTAGCCCCCAGAGAGAACATTAAGCAAGTTTGTGATTGCCTGGTGTGTGAAGATACTTTCTGTCGACCACATAGTGTTTGAAAGGTTGTTTTGAAAACGAAAATAAATCATTTATTACCTCCTCGAGGCTGGAGAAAACACCCCGTTTAAGTTTTTAGTACGAGACTTACGACGGATAGGTTGAAGAATTACCCCATAGGGCAGGCTAAGGACACTATAACAAGGGCCAGATCCCAGTTTTGTATCATATTTGTTGATAATCGTGGTTTGACATTTCATTGGCGCTGGAATTAATAACAGTTGTGAGACACAAACTTGAAACATTCCATGAGTCACTCCGGAACGCCTAAATCTGGCAAGATGTCCAGTCCTCGATTGGATTCGTCTTCGTCTATTCTGGATGCTCATGCTACAAATTCCAAGCAGCTTCTAAATGCTTATATCTACGATTTTTTAATCAAGAGCCGGTTACCTCAAACTGCACGCATATTTGTCAACGAGGCAGATGTGCCCACATCTCAGAATTCTTCGTCGTCGTCGAACTCTCCTGGTGATGGACAGGCTCCCCATATCCAGTTTCAAAAGGACAATAATCTACCTCAACTCTCAATGGCGATGGATGCCCCGCAGGGATTTTTGTTCGAATGGTGGCTGGTTTTCTGGGACGTTTTCCAAGCCAAGAACAATCGAGGCTCGTCGCAAATGGCGATGCAATACTATCAACTTCAAATGATGAAACAAAGACAACAACAAGAGTTGGCGGGAATGAACGGCCATCCCAACATGTATGGAGTAGGAGGTCAGGCTCAAGCTCAGACACAGGCACAAGCTCAGGCTCAGGCTCAGGGTCAACCACAGGGCCAACCCCAACAGCTAGATCCACAACAACAACAGCGCATGATGATGCAAATGATGATGAAGCAACAGAATATGCCAGTGATGCTGGACCAACAATTACAAATGCTTGGCCCACAACTCCAGCAGCAGATGTTCCTTCAAAAGCAACAACAACAGCAACAGCAGCAGGGTCTGTTACCGGGACAGCAACAACTGGCGCAGCATTCTCAACCGGGACAATATCCCCAGATGCCTGGTTCTCAGTCGCAGTTCCAGCCGCAGCCACAGAATCGTATCCAACAGCACGCACAAACCCAGATGAACAATCTTCGTCACCAAGCAGCGGTGGCAGCCCAACAACAATATCAACCTGGAGAGGCTGGGTCTCCAGCTACTATGAACCGCTTGAGCCAAGGCACCCCTCAAGTTCCGCATGGTCAGCAACCCATGAATGCAATTCTGCCATTTCAACAACATATGGCTCAGCCTGTGAATTCGCAACCTGGACCCAAAACGAATGATGCTCATCCAAATGGTGCTCAGGGCCCACCGATGCCTAACGGAACAGCTGGTGGGGAAATGCTCAATGGGGCGACCAGCGCTGGTCCCAATAGGAATATCAATGCCCTCCAGGACTACCAGATGCAATTAATGCTTCTTGAGAAACAAAACAAAAAGCGGTTGGATATTGCACGTAATAACGGCACAACGGACTTTTCGTTGGTTTCCATGTCCAACAATGTCAATAACATGAACATGCTACCACCCAATACTGGCAATTCCGGTCCCCAGCAAAAACCATCACCTGGAATATCAGGCGGGTCTGGATCACCTTCAATCACCAAAGCCCCATCTCCCGGTAGTAACGGAGCAAAGAAGAAAAAGGAGCGGCCAGTCAAACGAGGTCGTAAGCCCAGTACTTTTGGTGCGTCCCAAGATGCTGCTCTGGGACCGAATCTGTCGACAAACCTCAAGAAAGAATACACCACACCACTTACTCCATCATCTGAAGCACCTAATGAGCCAGCAACAAAGAAGAAGAAGAAGGCAGCCGATTCTCCAAAGAAACAACCGGCAGCGTCTACGAATGCCAAAGGGGACAAGAAGGACAAAGAATCGGGAACGTTCAATGGCTCTCAACAACCCAATTTTGAAGGTGGTTCGAATGATCAAATGTTCCCAATTTTGGGTGGTAGTAGTAATAACGACAACCAAATGTTTGGAGCCGGATCTAATGGAGGCGGCCTTGACGACATAGATTTCGATTTCAACCTGTTCTTGGATGGCGGTGCCGATGCAAACATGCATGATGGAATAGGAGGGTTCAACTGGGGTAATGTGGATGCCATTGAAGGCTCGGAGCTGTAGATTGATAGAACATACCAGTGGATCTGGCCCGAAAAGTACAGCTCATCCGATGACTTGAGGTTTCTTAATTGAACACTATTTACCAGATATGAACCTGCAACCAGACATGTTCACTTCGTGATTCTCTGCCCATTGAGGCATATGTATAATAATACACAGGCTAAGACCCATACCAATTTTCACCACGATGCCATACTGTGGCCAAAGTAAACGACAAGATAGTTACCAATATTGCTGAACTTTGAATGGTCGATGGAAACGTAAGCCAGCACCATTCATGAACGGCCCACATTGCACCACTAATAATGGGACCCCAGCCAGTCGAATATAATAAGAATGGCATATGCCAACAATACCAAGAGAGAAACTGGTAATGAAGACTGCGGGAGAGAAGTACTCCAATTGTGTTCGTAGTTGCAAATGTGAGCAAAATGAGCTTAGGACCTTGTTTCTTGTTCACATAAAGATTTGTGGAAGCTATGGTGTTGAAAGGTTTAAAGCCGTCTTTGACCAAGGTTACCAAGCTCTTTCCAGTGATTTTAGAACTAAAGAATCTAGAAATCACAAAGAAGATAAGCACTGAAATATGGCACACTAAAAGAAAGTTTGCAAATAGCTTGGAAGTAAAGTATTCTTCCGGAACAAACCTCCAATTGACTGTCCATTCATATAGAAACGAACGTTTGAAATCAAATGCTCTTTGTAAGTATGTCATACGCAAATAGTTTGCGTCTTCATCGTGGAACAAGACCAATAAGAATTTCCATCCGACCATTACTTGGACCAATACCATCACCAAAATTACAGCCAACAACTTCAAAATGTTTTCCATGCACAAAAAGTAGACCACAATAAGAAATGCAGGCATGAAAAGTAAGGCATTCATCTTAATTGAGATAGCCATACTATACAAGTCGGCTGCAACTAAAGTCAAAAGAAAGACTAGTGTTGAACCCAAAGTATCGAACCAATAAGATGCTGCCTGTAAGACTAATGTCACCCCCACCATACAAGCAGTAGTGAAACAATCGTTAAAGAGTCTCAACACATAAATGGACATCAACCGTTTGCTGGCCACGATCAACATATATGCCCATGGCTGAACATCACCCACCAACGAATAGGTACAACAAGTGAGTAAAACCGTCAATGTGTGAAGATATCCAAACACAGATTGAACCACGGGTATGTCCTCTCCTCCCAGACTGAGCCAACTGAGCCATTGGTAGATTTGCACAAATCCAGCAGGATACACTATAGGACCAGTGTCACCGGCAATCAAGCTGTAATCAAGTTCACCATCGTTGATCATATCTATCTGTTGCATATAAGTCTTGAAGTCAATTTCAGTGTACTTGACATTGGCGATGACGATCTTACAAGCAATGGACGTGAAAACCACCAAGATTGGGACCACAATGGCATTGCAAAAAGGGTCCATGAATAAAGCAATTACCCCGTTTATTATATCATTGCAAACATTTTTGAAGGTGAACTCTGGAAGATGTGGCGCTTCGGTCTTACTACTTAGCCCATCCTCTATTTCTTCTTTCTCAGAATGCTTCTTTGGTTCATGGGTCTCTTCCATCTCTGAAGTAAATTTTAGCGCGAAGTTGATAAGAGGTGAGGAATGGCTGAAGAGTGAATAATACAATTGGTGGTGAAAATGCAGGCGAACAACTATATGGAGCTGTTATGCTCAGTTAGAGATCGTATTTTTGTTTTGGATAGCCAATTGTATTTTTTTCAAAATTTGGGAATATTTAGGAATTTTGCAACTTTACCAAGTTGAAAGCTCTATTACCATATACGACAGTAAGTATATTTAGCATGACCCTGATACAGCATGATTCACTTATCCCGAACCTTTATTCATCCTTGGCGCTTATCAAGATTTTGGCCATTTGTGTTAAACTATACACTCCGAGCACAAACAGGTTATTCACCATGAAATACTTTATACTTTTCTCATTCTTAGCAAGTTTTGTGCATGCTACACCCCCGGCTTGTTTTCTAAGTTGTATAGCAGAAACTGCTAAAGAATGTCCATCTGGATTGCAGTCCATAAGTTGTCTTTGTTCCAAAAGCGATGTGCTTGTTAGTTGCCTTGTCGATATATGTCCTTACGGCAACTTTGAATCCGCAAGAGACCATTTCTTGGGAACATGCTTAGAGCATAGTAAGGCCACGGCTCTGCATGTTCCTGAAGTTGTGCTGTATACTGCTGCCTCAACAATGCTGGAAAGTGCTTGGCAAACGTACGAAGAGCAAACAGTGACAGGGAAAAATGGTATGATTTATATCAGGCGAAGACCACTTGTATAGATTTTAATCCACAGGTCTCCCTCGGGAACTCTTTTTAAATGCTCGTGCCACATCTCGCTTTCTCCTCTTACACTCTCTACCGATTTCTCCTCGCTTGCTCCAGAACCATTTTTCAAATGGAGATTCTCCATCTCTACCTTCTATGTCTGGCTCATTTTCTCCAAGAAGTGTCACTGTCTCAGCCAGAGCCCCGATCTTACTGAGCTGCGATTGAGACTGGAGAAATGGAGAATCGAAATGGGGCCAAAAAAGACCTCGAACCTTGCTTTGAACACCATGCCCACTTTCTCTCAGTTGCTGTTGTTTCTGCTTGATTTGCTCCAAAAGTTGAGCCTGTTCGCTGGAATCGATGATATGGTCGCTGTCAACATCTTCATCTTCTTCAGATAATGCAAGTTTGAACCCTGAGCTCTCATTCTGTGGATTGAGCAAAGTTCTCAATGCCTCTGTGGTAGGTTGAGCTTGAGATTGTGGCTGTGATGGTTCATCGGACTCAACTTCGGCTTGAGGCTGCTTGGTGGTGGGTTCTGGAGATTTTTTAGTGACCACAGTTTCAGCACCAGCCTGAATATTTTCTGTGCTTTGTGCCTCCGGAACAACCTCTACGTCCCCATCCTGCTCCTCCGTCTTCTTCAAAGCTTCTATATCGAAATCCGACTCATCGTCTTCATCAAAATATTGTTCTTTGACAGGACCACCAGCGGATTCCTTGAAAAGCTCAAGCTGGCGACGAGCTTCTGAAGAAATTGGTACGGCTTCTTCATCGTCATTGACCCCATTTCCTTCGATCTCATAATCAAAATGGGTAACCTTTTTGCGTCCTTTGGTGTCAACGATGATATCCTGTTTTGAGATTCCACTTACTGTCTCCTCTTCATTGTCTTCCAAAAGCTCAACAGGTTTCTCAAAATCGTATCCCGATAAAAACGAAGCCAAAACTGAAGTGTTCTTTTCTATTTCTTCTTTCAAATCTGTACCTTCAGCTTGCTCATTTTTGTGATGAACTGACTGCACCCGTTCAAGTACATGATTATCTCCACTGATCCATTTCCCGTCAGAGTAATTCCACGTGAGGTCGTTGACGGTTTTGTTCTTCTCGTATCCCCAAAGTTTAGTCTTGAAGGCTTTAATTTGGGTTGGTTTGCCATTTATCAAAATACGCATGGTTTGCAGTTTCTGAGCCAACTTCGATCTTGGAGTAGTTCTCATTCTTCCCTTGCAAAATTCGCCTCCTCCCGAAGTACGAGACGTCGGAAGCCCCACAATGGGTTTTCCCTTGGTTAGAGCCCCATATGAACCGTCTCCATGAAGAGTTTGAGTGGGTGGTTGGTGCTTGGTATTTCCAGATATGTTGTTGAATGTATGAGGAGATAACATGTAGGAGGTACGAGGAGGTTTCTGGACAATAGAATTGTCGAAACGATTGATATGGTACAGAGTTTGGGACTCCTTAATGCGTTCCTGGCGTGCTAAATGAATTTGAAATTGGCGTTGTCTGGCATCGTGTTTTTCATCGGGTCGCTGAGAGTCTTTCAACCAACGTTGGTGATAGTCTGGTTTGGCTATATCGACCGAAAGCTTGCGTCCCATAAAGACAGCACCAGCCAACGATGCTTTGAGTTTCTGGAACCCTTTATCGGGAAATTCAACGGTTATAAATGCAAAGTAATGATCATGAGTAGGCTTTGTGTGGAGGTCCAAGTTGTCGATTATTGAACCGAATTTGGCAATCCTTGAGCTAAGAAGGTCTGGCTTCTCGGCAAGAGCTGTCGAGATATTTCCAATGCGCAACCGTAGCTGCTGGGCACCAGGTTGTTCTGACATACACTATTCTCGATATGGAAATTTTGGTGATGAGATGAGGGTGTGCACACAACACCAGTTCACTTGATTTCCAGTTGCAAATTGACGATAATGAATTGCAAGGCAACGTGGGTAGAATTGAAAGAGGCATATGAACAGCAGGTGCTTGGAATTGAACTGAAAGCGAAAGCCCCGGAAGGTGATTCTCTCCTTGTGGATGATCAAAACACCATAGAAAATTCCGTACCTCCGGCATTAGTTGTGGAGGTTCCTGAGAGACTCCAAACCGTTATTGGTGACTCTTCAGAGCTTTTACAAGATATCAAGAACATGATGATGAAACTGTACTGGGATGGCTACTATTTTGGAAAACTTCAGGATCAAGGATCGAGTAACATTACGAAATAATATGGAACTTATAATCACTTTGTGGCAGCCCACATGTCTCTCAAGCCCATTATCGATGTGAGAGTACCAGCCAAACCAACGTCACCCTCGGTGAAGTGCAAGTAGTTCAAGGTGTTCAATGCGATGAACATGTCCAACAAGTCCCACACCAACTTTCTCTTGGCCTTATAGAGCTTGGCATTGACGGCCTCAACATCGACCTTTTCATCACCGGACTCCAACTTGGCACTGTTGATTTTGTAGGTTCTCAACGAATTGATCACACCAGCAATCAAGCCAAAGAGCCAGAATCTAGACGCATAGGTAGGAACCTTTGTCATTTTCTTGGGATCAATGAGTCCCATCATCTTGAACCAGGTGATGGAATCCAACGAAAGGTAACCGGCGTAACATAAATTACGAATAACCGTGGTGTTCTGTAAAATAGGGTCCATCAACTTGTTGTCAAACGTCTCAGCAGCAGTTTGCAAGTGGTTCAAAGGTTTCAAGAATCTCAATCCCTTTCTTATAAATGTGACATGACCTTTCAAATCTTTAAATATTTTAACGATATCACCTGAAAAACCTTGTCTTTGAAGGTAGTAAGACAAGAACCGGGACAAGTAAGCTACAAGTCTGAAGCACTTTTCCCGCTTGGGAGTGGAGTCAAGAAAACGAATAGACTTGGCAAAAGTAGGGTGGTAGATTATGCTATCGGCAACCATTTCTGTAATTATTGAAAACTATACAAGTTTTTAAGTAGCCAATCCCCGGACGAACAACCGAGGGTTTCGGGTGGAGGGGAGAAGCAAGAAAACGTAAGCACTGAGTCAGCTTCCCCAGATCTCATCATGTGACAATCGTCACCATGAAGCAACTTGGCAACATTGAAGCAACTTGATAGAAATTCATTTGTCTCGTTGATGCCTTGTATTTTTCACCCTCGGAACTCAACTTGACATATGTGGGGTAATACCATCAGAAACAATTCCGACCATCGTCATGGCCCTTATGCAGTACAACCACCTGAATCCATCAACCAATTTGCGATTTCACAACAACAACGCGTATGAATAAGGAAAATACGTTCCCGTCCGAGGAGGTGTACCGGCCCGGAAAAAGTATCTTGAAGTCCAACTTGGACAGCCAGACGATGCCAATACCTATGATTCCACTCAAGGAAGACTCTTTAAGAACAAATGAACGTCGGCGTGTTTCATTTGCACCCGAAGTTACCCTTCACAAAATCGATTTTGTGCCTCAATATCAAAGCCAGAGCCGTAGAAGAGAGACGATAGCATTTATACCTTCTCAGATCTCAGACTCTTCTGATGATGGGTCCTCGCAGTCATCGCAACCATCGGTGCCTGAGGTGGGGCGCGAACTCTTAGCTGATAGCTCTGACGAAGAGGTAATAAATGAAGAAAATGACGAGCAAACCATGGAGCTCACGGGTCAAATTCCACAATTCCCTCAGGTATCTCTGTTTCCACAGGTGCAATCCCAAGAGGGCCCCATGTCATGGGAAGAAATGCCAATGGAACTCACGGAGCAGTTTCCTAAAATCGAGGCTTTTCATGCTGAAAACACTTCTGAATCTGGCACAAATGTGGCTGAAGTTGGTAGTACTCACCCTCAAAACACGGAAGACACAATGGAGTTCACTCAAGTAGCTGCTGTATTTGTTCAAACTGAGAGTAATAATCATCAAGACGAAGAAAACACCATGGAATTTACTCAGCAAGTGGGAATGATTCAGCAAGAGATCAATAACAGCCCTGATATTTCACCAGTCAAGGTAACCGAAGTCGAGGGTGAAATGGAATTGACACAATCAGTCGGCCGTATAACATTGAATCAGACCTCTACGAGTACTTCAGCGCTCCCAGAACCAACAACTAGACCCGACCCTACGGAGATTCCCGCTGATAATGGTGCGTCACAGGAACCTATGAAGCTCACTCAAACTGATGATAAGATAGAAGTCCTACAAACAAGCGAAAAAACTTCCGAACAACCACCTATACGAGCTGAAAGTCCTTTAGTAGCTCAGAAGAGACGACTGCCTTCGTTATCACCACCTGCAAAGCGTATCCATCCACTGTCATACACAACCACAATCCCCCTCGCAGACATTTCCGTTGACTCCATTTACGATGATGAAGACTACGAATCCGTTTCATTGACTCATTTCATGAAGGATATTGGCATTCGTTTTTATGATGACTTGGACATAGGAACGTCTTCGATAAGCAGAATAAGCATTTCGCTTCCCAAGGTCATTGATGGGTCCAATGACTACTCGCTTCAAGATTACGTGAACGCTACTAACAAACTTCCACTTTTGGAATTACTCTACTTCAGTTGTGAAGAGATGAGGAAGAATATAGAGGACGGAAAAAAGTTGTTTGAACAATTTAACAACACGACACTAGCATCCAATCCCAAGTTGTTCAAGCAGTATTATTACAGTCCACTTGAAAAGCAGCTTGGCATGCAATCTGAATTTCAACTCATTAAAGATTATTGCCGCAAGCAAGCGATGGACGCGTGGTATACCTGGCGTACAACTATGATCCGAAACTTGCTTGACCTGACTTTGCTAAAATATGAGCAAGTACAGGAAGATGAACGGCTATTGAATGAAAAATTGGCCGCTGCCGAATCTTTATTTGTGGAGTCAAAAGATAAGCTCAACAGGCTTAAACTCATCATGGCACAATTGAGCGACATAAGCGACCCTCAGATCCACGATAGCCTGGAATTCAGCAGCCTTCGAAATGAGTTGGTATATTTATACTCGAAAATTACGGCGAGTCGTCTGAAGATTTCTCTTCTAAAAGATGAAGTGAACGCTGTTGATATAGCAATCGCGGACAACGAGTCTAAGATCGCAGAATTGAGAGGATCTTTAGCTGAATTAGAGACAATACTCAATAAGAATAGGACCTATGGAACCTCAGAGATATCCACTTTAGAGGCAAAGTGTAACTTACTTCAAAAATTAACAGGCTTTAATTTTGAAGCGGTCGAGGGAAACTCTATAAGGTTCAGTTATCAGCGAACATATTCAGTGCACTTATCGTCAACTGGTTTGAAATTTGCATTGATGCTGCCTGCATGTTTTTACAACAAGCAAGTCGCAGAGCTGTTTGCTATGCCCATAACGGACAACATCAAAAAACTCTCGGATATTCCCTTGCTCCATAGGCGTTGGGAGGCCTTGAAGAGATTAGATCAAGATATCTACAAGATCTCTCTTCGTTATCCCGTTGCATTCGTTAATGAGACTGACTCATGTTCTATTGATGTGCGATACTACGAAGCGAACCTGAGGACTAAGGCCAAGATCCATGTATCAGTTCCGATCAGGTCCATTGAGAACTATCCGAAACTGGTGCGAATTGCATCCACTGTTTTACGCGGGAAAGCAGACCTGGCGAGTATTCTCAGCCAAGTTGCTAGATCCTGCTTATCAAACGAGCTTCTCATATCCGGGGCTTTCTAACTTCTACTTAATAACCTAGTCAGTAACTCATCTGGTGTAGCTATCCTAGTGAACTTTGTCTTGAAGGTGTATATCCTGCAGATAACAGCATCGAATTTTCAGCCCACAACAGGTCAACGACTTAGTGCATCGGCATTTCATCTGAGCGCAGCATGGACGACGCTTCGGATATCTCCTATTACATAGGGTCCCAGGCTGCTGACACTCTAGGCAACTTGGATGTTACATTGAGTAATGGCCAGATTGTGAGTATTAACCTTGTGGAAGAACTTCCTGATGACCCCAACGAGTTGATAAGTTTCCTAAATGAGGAAAAGTGCGATAGAAAATACTGGATCTCGGTTGCTCGAGCATACTCAGCGTCGGGAAAGCTTGACGAAGCTACCGAAGTTTTATCGCAAGCTTCCAAACAGCCTCTGTTTTCTGATGCTGATAGGTTAAGTATCGACTCCAGTTTTAAATGGCTCCATTTAAAATATGTCAGTCAAGGCATCAATAGGGCTGAGCACTTGTCGGCTGCTAATGAACTCATTGAAAGAGATTTCAAAAGCGCTCCTTCTGATGTGAATAACTTGCTTGCAAAAGCTACTTATTACGGTCTTGAAGATATGGCTGACCAGGCATGGGAGATTTACGATGGAATATGGAAAGCCGACCCGAAAAATTGCTTTGCATTACTTGGAAAGGCTCACATAGCCTTGAACAAGACGAAAAACTACAAAAGTGGGCTCAGGCTCTATCAACAGGTGTTGTTGTTGAATCCTATTATGAAACCGGATCCTCGTATTGGAATTGGTATTTGTGCTTGGATGCTCAATGATCAAGAGATGGCTGTAAACTCGTGGAAGAGAGCTTTAGAGATTGATTCCCTGAACACAGCAGCAAAGCTTCTCATAACTTTATCTCAATTCAATGACGCTTTCAATAAATCCCTCAGCGACGAAAGCTTTATTACCAGCTACAAGGAGTGCTTAATCAAATTGAGAGATCTTCCTCATCTGTCAGAGGATACTACTATACTTCTCGCCTTCGTGTCTTATTACTACTCCAAAGAACAATATGACATCGTTGAAAAAATCTGCAATAATATTCTCCAAAAATATTCCGGTTCATCCAAAGTTCACTCATCCAAACTTACACCTTACCAGTCAAAGGCTTTATCGACAGCAAATTCTTGGTTGGGACGGGTATCTTTTGCAAAGGGTGATTACACTCAATCGCAAAGAAGTTTCCATGAAGCAATTCGGCTCGATGACAACAACTTGATTGCCAAGTTGGGCTTGGGACTCTCCCAAGCAAACAGAGGTTCGAACGAAGAAGCGATAATTACATTTGAATCCGTGTTAAAAACGAATCCAAAATGCTTGGAGGTCAACTACTCTCTTGGCATATTTTATTCCAAGCTGAAGAGTCGCAAGAAGCAAGACCTTGCTATACTGATCTTGGAACGTTATTTGCGACTTTCCAATAACCTTGGCCTGAACCCTACTGCCAGCAAGAAAGACGATGATGAGTCGTCATTATCAAGCAAGGAACCAATAGTGTTAAATGCCCTTCTCACCCTTTCTAGGTTGTATGAAGGAAGGGACTTGAATCAATCTTTGACCTACTTGAGTAAAGCTATCGAATCTAGGACACAGGTGGGTCTTTCTGTGCCGATTGAGGTCTATAATAACTTGGGAGTTATGAACTTTTTCAAGAACAACTTGGACGAAGCTAAGGAAAACTTTGAGTTTGCTGTGCAAAACATCCGTAAGGAAAGCGAAGAGAAATCAGACCCAATATTCGACGACTTGTCGCTTACGATTGACTACAATTTGGCTCGCTCGCAAGAGGTTTCAGACGAAAAGGCAGCCATCTCAATCTATAAGTCAGTTACAGAGAGATCATCCAACTACTTCTCTGCCAGTTTAAGACTCTTGTTCTTGGATTGTGTTTCAACTAACGAATCAACCAAGGAGCAAATAAGAGAACGGATTGAGGAACTCTTGGAAGAAAACCCAGCTAACTTGGAAATTAGGTCTTTCTATGGCTGGTTTGCGAAGACTTTTGGAAAGAGAATTGGCATGAAACAGGATGCAGATACAGAACACCAAAAGAAGACTTTGGTTGAATACGACTCTCACGATTCTTATGCCTTGTTATCGTTGGCGAATATCTACTGCATCATGGCAAGGGATGTCAAAGGTTCTGGCTCTGCAGTTGCTGAGAAGAGAAAAAAGTATTACATTCGTGCTATAGAACTTTTCACCAAGGTTATTTCTGTGGACTCCAAGAATGTTTACGCTGCCCAAGGGTTGGCCATTGTCTATATCGAAAACAAAGATTCGCAAAAAGGATTGGAAATCTTGCGGAAGATCAGAGACTCGTTGAACGACATTTCGGTATACCTCAATTTGGGGCATGTGTTACTTGAATTGAAACAATTTTCTAAATCTATTGAGAATTACGAAATAGCCTTGGTGAGATTCACAAGTGGAACGGATTCCAAAATATTGTCGTTTTTGGGCCGGGCTTGGTATATGCGTGGACTCGCAGAAAAAGACTTGTTCTATTTGAAAAAGGCACTTGACTATGCTCAAGAGGCACAAAAGCAAAGTGGTGGACTGCAGGCGTCATTACGATTCAATATCGCCTACGTGCAATTTCAAATTGCCGAATTCATTACCAAGATTGCTGTTGAGCAGCGTAATGTGGATGATATTAAACGAGCGATCGAAGGCTTGAATGAAGCCATCGAAACTTTGAACTCGTTAGCTTCTGACGACGAGGCTCATCCACCATATCCTAAGCTGGAATTGAAGTCAAGAGCTAATTTAGGTACCACTACCTTGGCAAACAGATTGAATACCTGCTTAGAAGAAACTGAGGAGTATATCAATAAAGTGGAGAACAAATTGGCTGAGGCTAAGAGGTTGAGGCAAGAAGAAGCTGCTAAGCGATTAGAAGAGGAGCAGAATAGAATCCTCAGACAAAAGCAAGCGGAAGAAGAGTTGGCAAAAGAGAGAGCCAAGTTGCAAGAACAGGCTCAGCAATGGGTTGAAGAGTCGCGGGCATTTGTGGAAGAAGACAAAGATGACCAACTTTTCGAAGCAGAGTCTGCGAAAGACAAGGAGAGCGGTAAGAAAAAGCCGGCCAAGAAGGGAAAGAAAGGAAAGAAGACCAAGAAGAAAAATTTCATTGACGACAGTGAAGAAGAACAAGCTCCTCCTACGCCGTCAGCATCTGAAGACGAAGCCCCTGCACCAACAAAGCGTAAAGCTGAAGAAGATGACGACGTGGTGCCCTCTAACAAGCGCAAGGCTCTTTCCAAAGATGTCATTGAAGATAGTGATGATGAGTTGGATGACGATTTGTTCAACGGTGAGGATGCTTAATAGTGTATATTAATGATGATGTATTTCCAAAAATTTCAGTATTTCAACCATTGGCGCATACTTCGACTACTTTCACTAGTCTTCTTAAACACTTCCTTTTCATATTCGTCTAGCGAATAGATGAAATTGAGCTGCTTGGTGGCACTATTCGCGTGGTTATATATTTCTAGTGACCTCCGCTTCAAGGTATCAGATACAACGGTCGCCAACTCCGAATCCGAAAACATAGATGCCCATTTTTCAGTTAGTCTGTAATAGTAGGGAAGAATGGCGTGCAAGTCCACCGACGTGGGACTCGTCTTTATGGCATTTATCACCTTGGGACTGATGAAATCAGGCTGTAATAAGTCTATGAAACTCTGCTGTGACTCTTCCAGAAGCTCACAGATTGCCAAAATTTCCGCTAACCAGAGCGGTAATTCGATTTTTGTATCTTTTTGTATGGCTTTTCCTGGCTGACCTTCTAGGTACCCCAAGCCTGGAACCAGGATATTGAACCTACAAGGCACCTTTTCTGCATCAGCTAGAATGTCATCCAAATCGTAGTACGACATATGTTGTGATTGTGATTCTGATTGTGAGTTGTGGGTTGCGGGTTGTGGGTTGTGGGTTGTGGGTTGTGTGAGACGTGTGTTTCGGTGCAGGAAATATCACCGACTTAAGTGCGGGCGATGAGCTAACAAGTATGCCACTCAAGCCATTCGAGACTCTAGCTCAGGAGGAGGATAACTCCGGCTCTGAAACAGTAGCCGATACTCGTATCAACTACGACGATGCCATACAATACTGGAGCTCTGTTCCTGCCTCGGTGAATGGGGTTTTGGGCGGTTTTGGTGAACAGACCCCGGTGCCAAAGGCTGATATAATTGGGTCTTCGACGTTTTTAAGAAAGCTTCTGAGCCGAATGCCATGTCCAGAGGGCCAGCAGAAGTTGACTATAGACATGGGAGCGGGAATTGGACGCATAACGCGTGATTTACTCTGGAAAGTCAGCGACAAATGTGATCTTCTCGAACCAGTAAAACCGTTTGTGGAACAAATGCGCCTAGAATTGGTACCCGTTGCACAGAAAGGCAAGTTGGGAGATATATATGACATTGGTATGCAAGAGTGGACTTGTGACGAAGGAAAAAAGGGAAAATATTGGCTCGTATGGTGTCAGTGGTGTGTCGGACAGCTTCCTGATAAAGAACTTGTTGAGTTCTGGCGCCGGTGCGGTGAAGCATTGATGGAAAATGGTACTATGATTGTCAAAGAAAATATTGCCCCAGTCGATGACATATTTGATGAGACTGACTCATCGGTTACTCGTACTGATAAAAAATTCAGAGAATTATTCATTGCTGCTGGGTTCAAGCTTATTGGCAGCGATGTACAAAAGGGCTTACCAAGGGAATTGTACCCTGTAAGAATGTACTGTTTGAAACTAGCCTAACTAGTCTACACCACCCGCATTTTACTAGGCTCATATGGGAAGAGTAATGCAATGCATCCAATAACCCCGACAAAAGCACCACAAATCCAAATTGGTGCTGAAGTAGTGATTCCGGCAAAGTAGGCAATAACAGGAACAATAACACCAGTGACTCGAGTTGCTGCAATACACAATGCATTACCAGTAGCACGAGCTGCTGATGGCATCACCTCTGGAGTATAAGCATATAAGCACCCGTAATATACATAGATAGCAATGTATACCGCCGATGATAATCCCACGTTCCCAGCTCTATTTTTGACCTGAGTATAACCAAATAAAAGGGCCATTGTAGATAGGGCACCGATCACCATTACACCTCGACGACCTAACCATGGAACAAAGTAAAGCAACAACCCAGCAATCATAGGACCAAAACAACTGCAAAGATTGCTAATCACGTTGTCTCGATAGACACCATAAGTACTGTCAGCACTCACATTGACACCACGAGAAGCAAGGTATTGAGGAAGGAAAGCCGAGTAAAGAGGGTATGCAATACCCAAAAGAAGCCAAGATGTTATCAAGAGAGAAGTTGAGCGAGCGGTTTTCCTGTTGCTGAACAAAATTTTGATGTGCTTGGCAGATAAACGGAAAGTGTTCATCAAACTTGCTTTGACACGGAAATCGTCGTTGGCAGTAATTTCTCCACAGTCTTCAAGAGCCTCCAAGGTCAAAGAACATGGACGATTGTACTTGGCAGCGAGGTTTTGGAGGGTTTCGACAGCTTCGGCGTCACGGTTATTGGATACCAAGAACTTTGGTGTTTCCTTTAACCGCACGACAAAGATACGGAGTAACGCTATAACAAGCACGAATGCGCCATTGACATAGTAAGTGTATCTCCATCCATGGTTAATATGAGATGGACAATAATCTTCTGAAGCACAAGAATATTTTGGCAAAAAGGCCCAAGCAAAAAGCACAGCTAAAGTTTGGCCAATACCCCAAAAGAATGCAAAAAAAGTTAAAAGCCATTGATTTTTATGAGGAAGGTACTCCAAAAACACACAAGTATCCAACACCAAGTTGCCGCCAGCCGCAAAACAAGAGAGGATAATAAAAAGACAGTAGGTGGTGAAAGTACCCATTGCACCAGTCAAAATCGTGAGGACTGCCGAGAGTAAAAGAGATAAATTAAATGCCAACTTACGACCGATAAGATCAGCACCAAAGCCCCAGAATAACGTACCGAGAAGCATACCAAAGTAAAGACATTGGGAACTCACTGGATAAGTATACCCAAATTGGTAGTTGACGAATGTTCTGACACTACTCTCAATAAATGTCAATTGTGAGTCGGTAGCATATCCCATTCCACTAAGACAAAACAACTTGAAATGGTACGGCGTGAAGCCAATTTCGTCTATAGCATCGTTGATGAGTTTGATTTTCTGATGGAGAGCAGCATCACCAGCGTCGAGTCCCTGCATATCCAATGACGTTACATCAGTGTCAGTAGACACCGCCGACGAGACTGGTGCTAAATTTTTTTCTGACATGATGAAATTGTTGCGTTTAGTTTCACGCGAGCGTTTATATATGAACCTCGATGCACCGATAACATTGAAACTGGGGTTGCGGATTTTATTAGTGAATTGGGTCGAAACGTGCTGTGCCATGCACGATGACGTCAGCAGGAGGGGGATGTTATGTCAATATCTCGAATTTTGATTGGGGACGCGAGATAATGGCAGCGAAAACACGAAATAGGCAATCGTTATCGACGGACCAAATGTAGCATAAGGGTGCGATCAAAATCTTGGGAGATTGTATCGGAGTCGGAGATCGTATTGGCTCGTAGTTTAGTGGCTTGGCTCAAAAATATTATCTAAACTGTGTGCAGTGTCTCTAAGCCCGAAAAGGCTAATCTAGCAAGGATGAGGTTAAGTGGTTATAGATCACGAACTCGTGTCCATGATAGTGGTAGCTAAGAGTAGTCAACACTAATTGCAACACATTGCTAATTTTAGCCAAAATTAGTCAATTGCTTCTGGAGTTTGAGTTCATCAACCTGGAGCCTTTTGACTGCCTCGATGTGTCAAATTATGATGATATCAGTCATTTTCGCCTATCGTTTTGAGAGATAACAGGAAGGTATACGATAAGGATCCTCAATGGTATCTCATTCACGCTATCACTGAATTGGCAAGGCATCGCCAATTATGCCCTCTTTTGTAAGCCGCTCCGATCGCGCAAGTGAGATCTATTTTGAGGAAGACAGGACATTAACCAATCAAGTTTATTGTCAACTTTTGATCTTAACGAGTCGTCAGCTCACAAATCAACACCATGTGATCTGGAACCATCTTGTGAGCCACATTTTTCATGCACGTTGTAAAGTTATCCTCGTGGATATTTGTGGCAACTTAGAGGTTAATCTACAGTATAATTCATATTTAGCCCTTTGGGGCCATTATGGGTCTGGTGACTCAGGGTCAGCTAGCCCTTGAAACCGTTTCATTCGAAATCTGTCTCATAGCAATTACTGTTTGAATCTTGTGTGGGCCCTTTCAATCATTCAGTTACCGCCTCCTAATCAATCCTGCACGTCACTCAAAACGTTGCCACAGTCGTCAGATCCCTACAGATTTTTCTAGTTTATGAGTCACATAGGGTAATATGCCTGCGTATTACGACATGCTTTAAGGTTCTCATTTCTCATTTTCTTATCCACGCATTTCGCAACTCAATCCTAATGCCAGGAAACGCAACAAAATTGATTCATGGTGCTGACGAATTGATCCGTGTTCCAGATGTAGCACCTCCCATCAACGTGTCTACCACATTCGCTTATTCAGACGATCCATCACAATGGGTTAAGGCGGCTGATGCCACTTCGATTTGGGGCGAACGGCCCATTTATTCACGGGAATCCCATCCCAATTCTGAGTTGGTCGAGCAAACGATCTCTTCCCGTGTTGGCTCGTATGTGGTAGCTTACTCCTCTGGTCTTAGTGCGTTCAATGCTGCAATTACCCACTTCAATCCCAAGGTTCTTGCCATTGGTCATGGCTACCACGGCGTTACGGGAATTGCAGACATTTGGACACGTAACCATGGCTTGAAGCAAATTTCATTGGAAGATGACTTCTCGCAACTCAACAAAGGCGACTTGGTTCATGTAGAAACACCAATAAACCCATTGGGAACGGTTTATGATCTTGAAACATTGAGTCGCAAAGCCCACGAAAGAGGTGCTTTTGTGTTGGTAGATGCCACGTTCGGTCCTCCTCCTTTGCAGGACCCTTTCAAGCATGGAGCAGACATGGTTATGCACTCTGCTACGAAGTATTTTGGTGGTCACAGTGACTTGTTGGCAGGTCTCTTGTTTGTCAAAGACAAAAAGACCAGAGATCAATTGGTGGAAGATAGAGTGTACTTGGGTACAAACATTGCCAATTTAGAGAGTGCACTCTTACTCCGTAGTTTGAAGACTTATGAATTGCGGGTTTCGAAACAATCTCAAAGTGCCACTGCCATTGTCTCCTACTTGGCAGAACACCAAAAGGAGATTCCTCACTTGAAAAAAATCTATCACGGATCATTGCAAAAGGACGATTTCGTAGCCAAGCAGCTCGTTGGTGGACACAGTCCTGTGTTTGCCATTGAGGTAGACTCAGAAGAGTTTGCTAAAAATCTTCCAGGAAAACTAAACTACTTTTACCACGCCACCTCTTTGGGTGGAGTAGAAAGTTTGATTGAATGGCGTGCATTGTCGGATCCTACGTGCCCTACTACGTTGCTTCGTGTGAGTATTGGTGTGGAAGATGTCGAAGATTTAAAGCAGGACTTGTTCCAAGCTTTGACTAAGTAGCCAATTCCTTTTCTATCTTTTCGAGCACTTCGACAGTGGTCAAAGAAGGATTGATTTTATGATAGTTTGCACCCACCAAATAAAAGCCATAGTCTCTATTTTTGAGCGTCAGATTGAGCTTTTTGTAGCCGTAATAGCTGTAGCCATACGATGGAAGTGGACTAGATTTTTTTTCGTACTCACCAACTAAATTGTCAATAAATGGGGTACGAAGACACCGGGCAGGTTTCCCTGATACAAGCCGAGTCATGACTGTAGGCATGGGAACCTTTTGAGTTGTAATTTGTGTAGCAACAAAATCGTTGGAGTTCGATTCTTGAGTTGGCACAAATACCGTTCCCATACAAACGGCCAGTGCACCCTCATCGAGGTACTTGCGGGCAGATTTTCCATCCACGATTCCTCCAGCAGGTACCAAGTACGGTTTTCTATCCTGGAATGAGATCAACTTGGTTACATCCTTGAATAACTCACTAGTATTCAAGTTTGAGTCATGTTCTTGATCCACCAAAAAGTTTCCACGATGTCCTCCAGCTTCGTAACCTTGAACCACCAAGCCATCCACATTGTGTTCAATGGCATGGGTAGCTTCTTCAACAGAAGTTATACACACAAAGACAAGAATTTGCAATTCTTGCAACTTTGAAATGGTGAGTTTGTCTGGCAAACCAAAATGGAAACTAACGATTTTTGGTTTATACTCTTTCAAAATGTCGAACAACAACAGGAGTTGTTTTGGGTCATCTTCGAGTTGTTTAAACGACACATTTCCATTTTGAAGACTGGAAACCACAGACTTTGCATCCGACTTGGTAACTGTGGAGAACAACTTTTGCCAGTTTTCCGTCTGGGAATTTGTAGGAGGAGGCTGGTGTGCTTTAGGGTGACAGAAGAAGTTGAGATTAACACAATTGGAGTGGGTAAGTGTGGTAAATTCTCCAAGTTGTTGCCGAACAGGTTCGACCGATTTGGTGAGATCGCAACCTCCAAAAGGAATGGAACCCAAAGCACCATAATTTGTAACTTGTGCTGCGAGCTTCACTGTGGATATACCAGCCATGGGTGCTTGCATGATGGGGATCCGAAGACCTAGAAGTTCAGAAAGGGTCATTGGAGAGAATTGAATTAAAGAAAAGGTGAAATGGAGCAACGGAACATGGGCCGGCTATGCGGCTTTGAGTACAGTACACCATAGTGAGTAAACATTTATTCTATGCTATTATGGCAAGGGGAGAAGAGAGGGAAGAAGAGAGTAAAAAAAAGAATGAGATGATGAATAAAGAAGAAACGATTAAATCGAGATCAGATCAATCTAATTTGTAGTCGATCCTTAACTCTACTGTTTTCTCCTCCTCCATTTCTCTTCCTTATCTTTTTCTTTCTCTTTCTCTCTCACTTTTTCTCTACCTCCCTTCCTTTTCCTTCTATTGGTTAAGGTAGAAGTAAGCGCCAGCAGCCACCAACACAACCACAGCAGCGATGGTGGTCACAGGAAGTCCAGCCTCATAAGTTCCACTCACGGGAACCTTCTTGTCTGTCTTGACACCGCCTTCAACACGGCCAACGAGCAAACCAGCCATGATCTCATGGGCATCTTCCGAATGTCCAATATCATCGAACGCTTCCGTAGCGTCGGTTCCAGCGACATCAACCACCACCTCTTCACCACCAGGATGCTCATCGACGTACTTGGAGACGTCATAGACCTTTTGGTTGTATACAACCCACAAATCGTTGATGGTGTTGTGTTTAGAAACCTCCTCAAACGTGTATAATTTCAAATCGTCAGACATGATTATTAGTGCAAATGGGAGAAAAAATGTGAAATATTCGTCAACGGTCGCGTTTTATTTAAAACGATACTGCAAAAAAAATTTGGTATCTATAAAGTTTGCAAGTCTCGACAACTAATGAAAAAACTTGAAACCAGAAAAAAATAGTTTGATGTCCCGTCCCATGTGATTATCTCCAATCAAACCACGTAGAAAAGTAAGCTACTGCATACACCTCGTGCATGTGTTGGGACCTATTGCCTAATTGGGTGAACGGTTGCGAAGATGAGGTGAGGTACGTGAAAAAGGGCACGATGATACGAGCACAAGAGAAAAGTCATTCAGGAAAACAAAATCATTCAGATAAAAGACATTTCATTCGTCACATATCGAATGAAAGCAACATATCAATCTCAACTTTAATATTGTCACTACATGAACTTATTCACCACCTCACTCTACATTCTTTTTCGTTATTTGATTTTATTTTGGTCTATTCGATTATTGCTCTGCTCCGATTCTTCTCCTCTATTCAAAATCAATTCCCGCCGCTGCCAACTTCTTCTTACGTGCCTCTTTCCGCTGCTTTTGCTTGGCTTCGAGCTTCTCCCATTGATCTTTGGTCTTAGGTGAATCATGTCTATGCCTGCTGATCAGCTTGTGGGGCAATGGCTTATACTGTACGTGGTGGCCCGAGAAAAGCTCATCGTGAACATTGGCTTCTTCAACCATCTGCACTTGCAACATGTGTCCAAATACCAAATAGTTGTTCATAGCCTCACATGCAATCTTGGCAACTTCCTTATCTTGGAACTCGATGAACCCATAATGCTTGGACTTGCCCGTCTTTTTGTTTCTTGATATCCGTAATCTGGAAATTTCACCAAATTGGTCAAAATACTGACGCATTTCCTTTTCGTAAAGTCCATGTGGAAGTCTACCTACATAGATGACACCTCTCTTGTTTTTGCTTTTGTCTGTCTTTCGTGCCACATTGCTGGTCTTTTGTATGTTTACGACATGAGATCCGGTTTTAGAGGGATTCTTGGTGGTTTTAACTGACTCTTTATCATTTTCGTTTTCGTCATTCTCATCGCTTTCGTCTTCGGATTCCTCAGCACTGGAAAGCCCTTCCAGTTCGCCTTCACTTCCAGACTCTTCACTCGACAGTGGGAGCTGGAGATCGTGCTCGGGCTCTTTGGTAGCAGCTTTTACGGCACTTCTAGTTTTGGCCATGTTCTACCTGAAGAAGCTCATCGCTTCGCAAAAATTCCTGGGTGGGTGTGCAGGACTGGGGAGTCCGAAAAAGAGTAGATTGAAAAAGAACTGTGAATTCATCTAGAACTGGTTTGTTGATGCCATTTGCTCAATTTTATGTATGCTGCTTCTATTTGTCTATTCTAGCTTTTTCTTTTTCTTTTATTCTTCTTCATCTGGTTCCTATGCCCGTACCTGCATATACACCCACTAAAGACTCCTCAAAACAAACACGCTTAATTCATTATGGAGAATCCACACGAACAGGTGCAAAATGCATTGCTTTCACGTATAATCAACAACATGGTATGTAGAGAGTCAGAGCATAACAAACCGTATTCTAACCCAGGAAAACCTCAATGAGAGCATCGTGGCGATGAACAACTCGCTTCAAGAAATTAACCGTTCAAATATGGACACCGAAATGGTGTCACAAATGTGGGAAAACTATTCCAAAAACTCTCAGTTTAACTTGGAGGCTACGGGACAAAAACAGGACCCAATATGAGGCTACAAATATTCAACTACTGTACATTAATATAGATGGAGATATGAAGTAGAAAGCGCCGAGGTAAGTTTGGTTTGTGGTGGTGTGATATGATAGTGACAAGGCAATGTCAAGTAACAAGGTGACAAGGTATTCACATTAATGACAAGCTAATGACAAGTGACAAGGTATTGACGTAATGACGGCAATGCCTAAGTCATATGGATCTATCCTGACTGTTGTTTGAACTTTTGTCTCGACACCATTCTACTGTTCTCCTCTGGGGTCTCTAGTTTTGGGTGGGCAACATGCCGTATCTCTTCTTCAAAGTCACTCTTTGTCTCGAGTACTTGTCATCGGGCGAAAATCTGGCAGGATGAGCCGACTTGGTGATTTCACCATCCTCGGTGATTTTCTTCAACGTGTATATACGCTTGCCGTCAGGGCCCAAAGTGTACATCAAATGCATGGCTAGGTAGTGGAGATGAGGTGAAAAAAGTTGTGAAGCGCAGCGAGTCGTGCGCGAATGGCCAAGTTATATAGAGGAACCCGCTGGCCCTGTGCAGGGCCGGTATTGGTGATTCCACCACAAATACAATACTGGTTGCTGAAAAACGGGTGTATAGCGTGTTTCGGTTTATAATCATGGCACCGCCCAAAACAGATGCATTTGCCGACCTTTTTCTGTCGGCAACGTCGAATTCTTCCTCCTCGTCTTTGAACGAAAAACGCATGCCGATGCTGCATCGTCAAAACCGCCAACAAAGTCCATTAAATGGGTCCAATTTACAAGCATCTTCAGCTTCGGGGTCCCACGATCACTGGTCAAACTTGGACATTCTATCTGGCTCTCATACCCCTATCGGGACCAATAATGACACCGTGAGCTCGACAAACGACGATGATCCATTTTCAATATTTGGTAAACCTGAACCGCCAAAAATGACCTCTCAAATTGCTGAACCCACTCCGACCCATCAGAGCACAACTGGGGCTCCAGATCATCTGTCTTTGCTTTTGGATGATGAGTTTTCCGATGCATTTGTTGAGAAAAAGACCAGTCCCGAGCGTCCCTCGTTTAAGATCCAACCGTCAAAATTGTCACCAAAAGTATCTTCTTCACCAAATGACTCCGTGCTTGCGCAATTGGTTGACATTGGCTTTTCTGTCGAGACAGCTAACGACGCAATTGCAAGAAAAGGTCCTCATTTACAAGAGTGCGTGAACTATATCATGAGTGGAGGAAACTCAGAATCCACTACAAGTCAAACACTGACTCCGATTCAAAGGCAACAGGCTCATCATCCTGAAGATCTCCAGGCAAAGTTGACGGACCTTTCTACGGATTTTTTCAACAAGGCATCGATATTCTTCGATAAATCAAAGAAAACAGTGATGAAGAATCTCGATCAGTTTCAACAACAGCACATGGCTCATCGTGGACAGCTGCTGTCACCAGGAATGCCTTCTTGGATGGCAAACCAGGAAAAGTACAAGAAAGATGCAGTGGAACGCAAGGCAAATGGTGGCTCTTATGAAGATTACGGTTCCGACGAAGATAATTTGGATAAGGAAGCAATTGAGCAGTTTATGAGAAAACAACAAGAAAAAGATAAAGAGAGAAAGGAAAAGAGATTACAAGGCATTAGAGCATATGCCATGGATAAAGTTTCTGGTAGACCAGAGTCTGCTCTGGGTAGAACGTCCCCAGCCAAAAAGCCCGATATGCCAATACGACCCCAACTGCAACCTCCATCGAGCGATGACCTTCCTCGACGGCCACCACGCAAGACAAAGCCTGCAACAGTTTCACCACCAGTTTTAGCAAAAAGTCCAGAGGAAGACTTGCTAGGACTCAATTCTCTGACGAGCATGACGGCTCCACCACTCAATGAGTTTCAGCAGACCGATTTCGACACCAACAAAGAAAAAGCTAGCGCATCGTTTAGTCATGGAGACTATGGTTCGGCGTACCAAAGTTACCTTCGATGCATGGAATCCCTTCCTGAAAATCATGATTATCGAATTGTCATTTACTCCAATGCTGCCTTGACGTTGGTCAAGTTGGGCAACTACAAAGAAGCCAAGAACCACTGTGACAATGGTATAAAACTTCTTAATGTCAGAGGAATAGATAATGGATGGACTATCATGGATAAGAGTGCTAAACACTGGTATACCAAATTGCTTATGAGAAAAGCCGAAAGTTTGGAAATGTTGGAGGTGTTTCCAGAAGCATTGGAATGTTATATGGAGTTGGTGAGCCGGCTCGGTGTCAGTGACAAGAAGGTGATGGACGGTAAACGGCGGGTGAATGAAATTGTGAACCCAAAGCCAAAGCCGAAGCCAGCACCAAAGCCAATGCCAAAGCAGAATGTACCAAAAAGTACACCAAAAGCAGAGACAGCCTCCTCCAACCTCAGCAGGATCCAAAAGCAAAATGCCGAGACTAAGGCTCGCGAAGAGGAAATGTTCAAACTTCACGACAAAGTTCATGAGCAATTGCAAGCATGGAGCAATGGAAAGGAAGATAATATTCGGACTCTTTTAACAACTCTTCCAGATATAATTCCAGAACGGCTTGGGTTTCCTTTTGTAACCGATAAGAAGATTGGACTAGGCGACTTGATGTTACCCAAGAAAGTGAAGATCAACTACATGAAAGTGATCAGTGCAATACACCCCGATAAGCTTTCGAACTTACAACTACAGGACAAGATGATATGCCAGGGAGTGTTTGTGGTGTTAAACAAGGCGTGGGATGCTTTTAAGCAGCAAAATAATATGGCGTAATTGCCGAAACGTTAATTTTCGAATGCGCTAATTAGCCGTATATGGCCAGATTGCCGCACGTTTAGGCTCCGCATCCAGTACCCACAGCTTTGCAGCCTAGGACCGGGCGCAGCTGGGCTATCCCCTCTAATGCAGGTGGCTTAACGTGCGGTATAAATATAAACTACGCAGCAGCGATCCACATTTAAAGTATGTATAAGGAGAGAAGATTTGAGAAAAGAGAGAGAAAAGAATGGGAAAATGAGTAAGGGAGTGAGTTAATGGGGTGGGCGAATGGTAAGGCAGAGGTGTATGTGGTACTTGTGTATGGTAACCCCACAATGGTGTGATGATGTCTTGACAGCCGTACAACAATGGCACAACACCCGTCAAGGTTCCATTTGGCATCAACTACAATGGCACCGCCTACTAATTCCCTACTAATTCCCGACTAATTTGCGACTATTTTCTAACTATTTCTACCGCTTTTCTACTCAATGCTCAAATTTATTGTCACAATTGTACTAACCAGATATCCTTATCGGATCAATCAATTACATTACCGAACAAGGAAGGCGGTACCAAAATTGCAACTCCAGCAGTCACCTACAATTGGTCTACACAACATAAGATTCCAGGAATCCAGGAATCGTTGCGACGGTTTTGAAACTTCTACAATTTTCACAACCTTCTCAAGCATTGTGCTAAAACCCTTTACTAGGCTCCGCCCACCCCACAGCCACTGGTTTTGATCCCTGCTCCGCCCTCACACCCAGACACCGTGCAAATATGGCGATATTCGGGTCTAATAAATCCTCAAAAATGGAGGCCAATTATCAACAGCACCCAAGGGGCCAAGACAAGATGCATTCGGCCAACATTCACGATCCCATTCTTTCGGCCGTTAACGAGGCACAACCTTTTGAGCAAGCAGCTGATCATACCAATGTTAGAAGACCCTCGTATCTTTCACAGGATTCAGCAGAAATGAAGGATATTTTTGGCCAGCCTATTCGTCAGGCTGACATGTCGAACCCCACGCGTGCACGGAACGAAAGACCCATGGACACGATCCGGTCGTTTGAGTATGCTATTACTGGAGATTATGCTTACAGAGATCAGTTGGAGACCCAACGACTTGGATGGGGATTTCACGAAGATTTTCCCTACTACAATTTGAGTGGCCAAGGAGACAACTCTGAGCATCAGCACCAGGGACACGAACGGCCTGTGATCAACTTTGATGACCAGCCAATGTACCAAAAGGCCAACTATAGTGCTACGTCTTTGAAGGAGGATCAGACCAAGAAAAAAAAGAAGAAGGGGTTGTTTGGTAGAAAGAAGTAGATATAACGAGAGGACTATGACACTGTATAGTAATGTTACGTTTAGATTTTTCCTTGTTTACAACGTGGTTTTCCTGCACGAATTGTTCCCACATTTGTCCCTTCGCTGCATAATCCCATTGTAATTCGCATCAAGTGCACCTAGAGCGAATTTGTTCGCAGTTTACGCGCCCAATTCAACGCGAGACGCCCAGTACACCCATGGACCCACATTCCCCACTGAAACGACCGTTGGGTGCCGCTGCCATTCATCCTCTTCCCGTGTTGTCCACCGGTATTCACATATGGACCAAGACCAGCCGTTACAGCAGCCCCAAGTCCGCCAGATCTCGTTCAATGTATCAGACCATTACCAGATCTTGGAAGTGGTGGGCGAGGGTGCCTATGGTGTGGTGTGCCTGGCCATCCACAAACCCACCAACCAGAAGGTAGCGATCAAAAAGATTGAACCTTTTGAGCGGTCGATGTTATGTCTCCGGACACTTCGTGAGCTCAAGCTCCTCAAACACTTTTCCCATGAAAACATAATCTCCGTTCTTGCCATACAAGTTCCACTCAATTATGAATCATTTCGTGAAATATATTTTATTCAGGAACTCATGGAAACGGACTTACATCGAGTTATTCGTACACAGAAACTCTCCGACGACCACGTACAATACTTCATCTACCAGACACTTCGTGCTCTCAAGGCGATGCATGCTGCCAATGTTCTTCATCGTGATCTCAAACCAAGTAACCTACTTTTGAACTCCAACTGTGACCTCAAGATTTGTGATTTTGGCCTTGCGAGGTCGGTGGCGCTGACAGAGGACAATTTCGGGTTCATGACCGAGTACGTGGCCACTAGGTGGTACCGAGCCCCGGAAATCATGCTCACGTTTCTGGAGTATACCACTGCAATCGATGTATGGTCAGTGGGGTGTATTCTCGCAGAAATGTTGACGGGACGGCCATTGTTTCCTGGTCGTGACTATCACAACCAGCTCTGGCTCATCATGGAGGTTTTGGGCACTCCAAACATGGAAGACTACTATAACATCAAACTGAAGCGGGCACGTGAGTATATTCGGTCTCTTCCATTTTGCAAAAAAATACCGTTCAATGAGTTGTTTGCCAACGCCAATCCATTGGCAGTGGATCTCTTGGAAAAACTCCTCATTTTCAACCCAGCAAAAAGAATAACCGTGGAAGATGCTCTCGACCACCCATACTTAAAACTCTACCATGATCCTACCGACGAACCGCTGGCGGAAAAGATCCCCGACGACTTTTTCGACTTTGATCGCCGCAAGGACGAATTGACCATTGAGGACTTGAAGAAGTTGTTGTACGAAGAAATCATGAAACCATTATAGCCATATCATAGCATACCCATCTAGTTTGTAACCTCTTGCACCCAAACACCATCGATCTTCGTGTCCGCACCGCCAAAACTCAACGCGTGTTCAATATTCACAATCTTCACCACCATCCATGAAGTCGGTATTGGCGTTGTTTTTTGCATTTTTGGCCACGGTTCTGGCCCACAACGTGCTCCTTCCTCCACATGGAAAACACTGTTTCTTTGAAGAAGTGCGTAGTGGTGATGAATTGGCTGTTAGTTTCCAGGTGGGGTCTCGTGATCCCAAGAATCTGGAACAGTTTATGATTGATTTCTACGTAACAACGCCCAATAACCAGGTAGTGTTGAAGAGAACCGACCTCGACCATGGAGACGAACTCATCAAGGTCGATACCAATGGAAAATACTACTACTGTTTCTCCAATGAAAGGTCCAGTAGAGTCGACGTGGATGTGTCTTTCAACGTTCATGGAGTCAAATATATCGATGCCAGTGACTCGAGGTCCAATACTTTGGACTATGCCATCCAACGGTTATCACAATTAACCGATGATGTTCGCGCAGAACAGAGTTACTTGGTAATGAGAGAGAGAACCCACCGTAATACTGCCGAGAGTACCAACGATCGGGTCAAGTGGTGGTCTGTGTTCCAAATTGCGGTTGTGGCCATCAACTCGCTTTTCCAAATTTATTACTTGAAGCGGTTTTTCGAGGTGAAGAGCGTGGTATAAGAAGCGTCAAAATTCATAAAAATGTATAAATCTTTGAGCAATCGTAAAGTGGCTGAGTGTAAAGACCTGGACCAACACTGCTGCTTAACTCATATCAGTATTTAATTTGTTTCATTTTGATTTTACTCAAGTCCATTGATAGTACTAATGAGTGAAAAGTTGAAGGATTTCAAGTAAATTGTACAGCTTTCTCTTCTAGTATGGGCGACTTGAGAGCCATAGTACCCATAAAAATACCTAATTTCACCTAGCTGTGTCCTTTATATTTTCATTCTTGCTCTCACTACAATTTTTCACCTAGCTCCGCAACTCCCCCGCATTTCGCGACTCTTCTGCACTATCGAGAGTTGCGTCAGACGGGAAACGGTCAGATCCAGTAAAAGCAGACAGTACTGGCATCCGATAACTGATGATATTATGAATGGATATTCAATCTGATAAACTTTTTTTTGATAAATGTTTTTAATGAATGAGAAAAGTGGTAATAATTGTAAAATGGTGTTTTTAAATTACCACATCTTCTCGATCTAATGTCAGAATTGATATTATGATTTTGAACATTCAATTGTCCTGTTAGATAGACTTTCGTTATCTGTCAATTTTATAATTTCAGTTTCGTACTTCGATCTAAAAATAGAAGCTGTTTAAACGAAAATTTATACGGGAGAATCAAGGCTTATGAATAGCATCTATAAAACTCAAAAGTGACTCGCTGAACAATCTTTTCTGTCTATGATAAGTGAACTAGTTTATTGCTGAATTACCATTAGTGGGATGTCATTTTTAACTACTCGTAATTCACCTCCTTTTAATGCATCTTGACGCGATCGGACTATTTTCCGCGATGCAGGTCTAAATCCGTTCTCACTGCCTCCTTATCTCTCCTTATTTCTCCTTATCCTTTTTACTTTATCCTAGGCATGTCCGACACCTCTGACTACCAATGGAAGGCGTACCGATACACTCCCAATCGGGGCGTGAACATTGAATTTACAGTTCTTTTTGGGCTTCTGGTGGTGGCTGGAATTTCTCAAGTTATTTATGCACACAGAAAATTCAATGGTAAAATTGAAAGAAAGAAACTCCGTCGTTATACCGGTCTTATGACACCTTTCATTGTAGGTAGTTGCTTGGAGTGCGTAGGATACGTTTGCCGATTGATTTCCGCCCAAAATTTGGATGCATTGGGACCATATATTATCCAGTCAATTTTCATCTTGATTGGCCCTGCATTCTACGCTGCCACCATTTATATGGTTTTGGGTGAAATCATTAGAGTTTTGGGAGCCGAGGTTCACGCATTCATCCCAGTGAGGTATATGACAAAGATTTTTGTCATTGGAGATGTGGTATCATTATTGTTGCAAGCTGCTGGTGGAGGAAATCCAAGGCGGTGGAACGCTTGAGATGCTTCATCTTGGTGAAAAATTGATCATTGTTGGACTTTTTGTCCAGATTGCATTCTTTGGATTCTTCATTGCTGTTATGGGGAATTTCTTTATTAGGTGTTCCATGAAACCTGTCCAAGGTGCTAAAGCTCAAGAATGCAGTTCGTCGTTTTGGCTCAATTGGAAATTTCTCTTGGCTGAATTGACATTGACATCCTTGTTCATCATGGTACGATCAATCTACAGAGTCATTGAGTATCTCCAAGGAAATGATGGAGTTCTCATCAGCGATGAAAAGTACTTGTTCATCTTGGATTCATCCATGATTTTCTTTGCCATGGTGACAATTCTCGTGGCTAATATCTCACAATGGTTGAGCAAGCTGAGATTCTGGCAAGAAAACGATACTGCTCACGAGATGTTGGGTTTTATAAAGACTCCGTCTATTTGACCATTATATAGATCAATCGACTTTTTTATTCACGTGCCGCGCTACTTTCGGTAATCATCGCGGCCCCAACACCGTTCAACTAAATAGCTCTACCGCGCCGCAAACCCCACATGCTTCCGGACATCCGACACAGGAACAACGTACACCGATGCCGCAGTCCTCGGCCGACTTTAGACTCTTACAACCATTCCACGATCACCCCATCAAACTAAACAAAACCCCGAGTCACTAGCCGCCTATTTCTCGGCGCATGCGCGGCCATTTTCGTTTCTGCCCACATTTCCGGCATTTACACTCGAAAAACTTGCCGGTATCCTGCAGATACCACTTCCCCTCTCCAGTGCCGCTCACGATACTTATTTGAGGGACTTAAGCAGAGTATAACTACACTTAATAAATCCAGGTACGAAACACCATGTCAAAATTCTTTGCTTCTATCAAAGAGCTTCCTCCAGATCCACTTTTTGGCCTTAAGGCTCGTTACAATAATGATACTAGATCTGATAAGGTCGATTTAGGTATTGGCGCTTACCGTGATAACAACGGAAAACCATGGATTCTTCCAGCGGTAAGAGCTGCCGAAAAGCAATTGGTTGAATCGGAAGGTTACAATCACGAATATTTGGGAATTTCGGGTTACGGACCATTTCTTGAAGAAAGTGCCAAAGTCATCTTGGGCAAAGAATCTCCAGCAATTCAACAGAAACGAGTAGTTTCTCAGCAATCCCTTTCGGGAACAGGTGCTTTACACTTGGCAGGAGCCTTCTTGCGTGACTTTTACACTCCTGAAAAGAAAGGTGACACCCATGCAATTTATGTGTCTAAACCCACTTGGGCTAACCACAACCAAATCTTCACGTCGTTGGGTTTGGATGTCAAGACGTACCCATATTGGAACGCCGAAACCAAATCGTTGGATTTAGACGGGTTTTTGTCCACCATCAAATCTGCTAATTCTGGTTCCATCTTCCTCTTACATGCCTGTGCCCATAACCCTACTGGTTTGGACCCTTCTAAGGAACAGTGGGATACCATTTTAAAGGCATTGTCTGACAAAGACCATCTTCTTCTTTTCGACTCGGCTTACCAAGGTTTCGCTTCTGGAGATTTGGAAAATGATGCCTTTGCTGTAAGGAAAGCAGTGGCTGATGAGAGTATCAAGACACCCATCGTAATTTGCCAATCGTTTGCCAAAAACTGTGGTATGTATGGTGAGAGAGTGGGTGCAATCCACGTCATTCCTCATGAGAAGGATGAGGGCTTGAACCGTGCTATACAATCGCAGCTCAACAAGCTTACCAGATCGGAAATCTCCAACCCTCCTGCGTATGGTGCCAAGATTGTTGCAACCATCTTGACAGACTCCAAGTTAAGACAACAATGGCAGGATGACTTGACCACCATGAGCTCTAGAATCAACGAAATGAGATCTAAGTTGCGTAATAGGTTGACAAATGATTTGAAAACCCCTGGTAATTGGGATCATATTGTGTCGCAAAGTGGTATGTTCTCATTTACCGGATTGACGCCAGAAATGGTTTCTAGACTTGAAAAGAACCATGGTGTGTATTTGGTGAGCTCTGGTAGAGCATCGGTGGCAGGCTTGAACGAGCACAACGTTGACCGAGTGGCCGATGCCATCGACGAGGTGGTGCGGTTCTGCTCCAAGTCCAAATTATAGACTGTTTAATCCTACAAATATGACCTTTACTACTTTGTATTTTCCATGCATGTATTACTTTTGACAAATATACAGAATTTTTGGCTCTACTTTCTTCTGAAAGAGCAACCTTCGGTCAACTTGGCCTTACCTCCAGTTGGGGTACACAACACGGTGGAGCAGTTGTCACAGGTAACGGCAGTTTGGGCGTGGGAGAACACGGTGGTGATGTTCAAACATCCTTGGCATTTCACATCCATGAAGTATGATCTGGGTTGGGGCACCAAGGTTTTCAACTTGTGCTTCTTGGCCTCAGAGGCTGGGTTTGGGTTTAACAAATCTTGAACTAAAACCTAGAGTTAGTGTCTGCACAACGAGATTGTGTGGAAAACGGGAAGCTTGGAAGCAAAATTTACATACCATTTTGTCTTGTTCTTTGTTATATTAGTTGATGAATTTTCAAGAATTTTTCACCGCGTGCAAGTAAACGTTACACAAAACCTTAGTTTATGTAATGTCAACGGATTGTTATGTAATTGGAAAGGCACGTGCACTGTGACTGTTTTCGGGTCTGGATAGTATTCAAGTCCCCAACTGATTTTGAAGCTTTTATTGAACATATAGGCCATTTGACACTTAGACACTGCGAAAACATAAAACATATTAAGTATAATATAAAAAAAATCTCTATTTTGCTCACCAAAAAATTGGTTGCAAATGACACCCATTGCCTCACCGTAGACTGGTTCTCATGATAAACGACTCAAACTGATTTAAAACTATATACCCACACTAATAAGACATGTACTCAACCACTAGCCAAGAATTTGCTAGTTTAAAACTTCGGTAGTATGGGTTGTTAAGGCTATATATCGTCGTGAAATATACAAAAGCTATATATATCCCAATTTTAATATTGCCTCTCTGGTAATGGTGCCAATGCGTTTGACACCAAGTAAAGGGAAATTTGAATATCATTATTATACATGCATTTCTGTACCTTCTCATCATCATCATTCCTGATATCTTCGTTAACCAAGAAATTTTAAGACTTGGATCAAACCCATTGTCTCAATTATACGTCGGATAAACAGTGAGATGGTCATCTACGGCAGACAGGGGCGCCTATTTGGAACCTCTCTTTGGTTTTCTTGGGGGAGTAACCGGTCTGTTATTACCAACATTGTTAGCTGGATAGCGTGGCTTTTTGTCAGCAGGTTTCAAGATTTGGAACGAGCACAACAAACTTTCATCGACGGACATCATGGCACCAGCATTGTCAAACTCACCACAATAGTTGGGAGCTGAAAACAACGTAACCAATTGTCGCTTGGAGAAGAATTCGTAACCATCTTCCACCACTTGATGCGCTCTGCAAATCAAGTCCATATCATGCTTTTGTAAGAACCGAGATACAACATCAGGACCAAAGGTGAAAGATACACCACGATCATTCTCCGACCATCCTGTGATATCCTTATCAGGGTCTGACCACAACAAATCGCACAACAATCCCACGTCAGGAATATCGGTGGGTCTCATCACGCGTCTGATTTGTTCCATCGAGTTCAAGTCGGGAGATAAACCACCATGCATAGTGAAGATCTTTTCATCGATGATGGCAGCAATTGGCAAACAGTTGAAACAATCTGTGAAAGTTTTCCACAATTTGATGTTGTACCTTCTTTTACATTCATCATAGAAACCGTAGATTCTGTTGATGGAAGCACACTCATGGTTACCTCTCAAGATGAAAAAGTTCTCTGGGTATTTGATTTTATACGCCAATAACAAACAAATTGTTTCCAAGGATTGCTTACCTCTGTCGACGTAATCTCCCAAAAACAAATAATTTGCCTCGGGTGGGAATCCTCCGTACTCAAAGAGTCGTAACAAGTCGTAATACTGACCATGGATGTCACCACAGATTTTGATGGGAGCTTCCAATTCTAACAAGATTGGTTGTTGAATAAAGATTTCTCTTGCTTTGGTGCACAAGTATCGAATTTCATGTTCCATCAATGTCACCTGTTTGCCGGGTCTTGAACCACGGACTTCCAACAATCTATCGACAATAGAGTCGATGTCTGCTTCCTGATGGTCTGCCATTGTAACTTGCTGTTTTATGTAAGACGATTGCCAAGGGTCAACTTTCGCGACGTCGTATGCTCACCAATCACGACCGGGGATGGCAATCAACAAAAACAAAAAAACGAAAAATCTAGAGATGTCGCTTATGTCGAAATAGATATTGCGGTGAAGTATACGACTTGAAATGGGTTAAAGTCGTCTTCACTGTCAAATTGATGTCTTGTCCACAACCTTGCAAAGACACGTCACAAGGGGTATGGTAAAATTAGCCGCTAGGAAAGAATACCAATAAGCAAGTAGGGTAAATGACGACCGCTATCACGTCTGTGCGCTGTGTAGAGTCTCCGAAATGTATCGGTTGATTGATTAAACTTATTTGGTACCGGTTATCCCGATTCGCCCTTGTTTATATCCCTTCACGCCAACCATTTTTGAGAATCCCATGAAGAATTTTAAGGCGCGGGTTACCCGGCCGACGCCTAGATAAGGGGTTTGAGTTGCGCCAAGTGTGCGAGACGAGGGAAGAGTCGTGGTATGTAGATAGAAATGGGATATATCTTGCAACGATAGTTATTGTGTGTTTATGGTTCGTGTGCAATGCTTTTTACTGAAAGTGTATTAAAACTACATTTTCAATTTCCTTTTTTCCTGTTTCTTTTGTGCTGTAGAAACTAGCCGATCCCTGCCTGGGTAGGCTTCATGAATAGCTAAGACTGTCTTTATTGACGAGCCATGCTGTTTTTGGACCTCCCATATAAGTGCTTAGGTAACGCGATGCTAGAGCGAGCATTTACCCAATACGTAGGATAAGAGAACTTCCCCAATGTCGGTGCCGTTTCCTAATGATTACACTTTACGTCGAGTAGCCGAACTGGATCTGAAGGCGTGTAATATATGTTTCAAACCCACAAGCTGTGTATTATTGTCTTCAAATAAAGTTGACTTTTTCCACGCTTGTGAGGCGCATCTTAACGATTCCACATTTTGTACCCCAGAGTATCCTGCTAGTTACAAGGAGCTCAATGCCAAGAAAATGGAATTGGAGAACAAAATAAGTGGGTTAAACAAACAAATAGAGCAGGCACAGCCGTATGCATGGACTAAGCTTATGAGTGGATGGAAGAAGCCACCAGCAGAAGATAAGCAAGAACCCGACAAATTGGCCAAGTTGGAAGATGAGAAGAAAACATTGACCACCGAGTTGGAAACTGTGGTTTCTCAGCTCAAACAAACGAAAGTGAAAGATTATAAACTTGATAATGGAATGTATAAGCTGAGAATTCAAACTTATGTACTGGCACGAGTACGAGCTAAACGTCAAAAGGAAGTGCACACGCCAGGTTTCTTCCCTTCCGCACCGACTGGAAAACCCTGACTCCTTACAGCTGGTTCATGACTTTTTCATCGAACCAATTTTCCCAGTCTTCGGTTTTGTTCTTCAACACTGACCCACCAATAAAGTCCATATTTCCCTCGAGCATATCGAACAGGAAACGTCCATTACGGCCCACAACTGAGCTCCAGAACTCCTTGAGCGATTCACGGTTGGTATCGTCATCCTCTTCGTCAATACCAGATGCTTCATGACCTGCCAGGCTTTTTTGCATAAGCTCGTTTTTCACAAGCTTGTCGACTTCTTGCTGCAACAACTCTTTCACCTTGAAAACGGGTCGTGAGTCGAATAAGTCTTGTTTGTTGACGGCAAAGAGAATATCTATGCCGTTATTCAATTTTTCAGTCTGCGATAAAAGCAGGAAAAGACCATGAGCTACTTCCAATAACCGAGGACCATTGGTGGCTGCTGCCGACGAGTCAATCACGTAGACAATGCCCTTGATTTTCTGGAGCGTTATGTCCTCGAGAATTAACTTGTTGAGAAGTTGGGTGTACTTGAGATGACCTGGGTAGTCGATGATCTGATAAGTCTTGGCTATGGAATGTTTGGCTAATGGTAAATTTATATGGCCGAAAGTAGGTTCTATCGAAGACACAGTCTGCTCGAATTTGGGCTGGTTATCTTGACTCATCAATCGATTGTAAAATGCAGTTTTTCCTGCTCCATTCGTACCCAAGATGAGAAATGAAGGCTGTCTGTGAGAAGAGTCACCAGACGATTTGATGGCAATACCATTTGTTTGGACGTAGAAGAGTATCAAGGTGGCGATAAGGACCACCAAAAGTGTGATCAATACCTTTTGCACAAGATCCATAGGTGCAAACTCTCACGACGGGAATCTTGAGTGTGGTACTGTACAAATGAGTGCGTATACAGGCCAGAAGGTACTACCATACAAGATAGTACTACGGTAATACAAGATAGAATATTACAAATGACAACATTCAGGTATCTTTAGGGACCGTTGGCCCTATCTGCTATATGTTCTTAGTCACTCGAGGCAACGATAGATCTGCCGTACTCACGAGACTTTTGTATCAATAGTTGGTCAACCAAGACCAAGGCTGTCATAGCCTCGACAATAGGTACCGCACGAGGGGTGACACTTGGATCGTGTCTTCCCCTTGCTGCAAGCACTCCACTCTTTCCATCGTATGTCAGGGTTTGTTGTTCTTGAGAAATGGTGGCTGCTGACTTGAATGCAACTGAAAAGTAAATGTTCTCTCCATTTGAGATTCCTCCTTGGGTTCCGCCCGAGTTGTTGGTTTTGGTCTTCAATCTCTTGTTGAGCTCGTCAAAGACAAAGGGATCGTTATGTTTCGAGCCGGGAATGGTGGTCCCGTGAAAACCAGATCCAATTTCGAAGCCCTTTGTTGCTGGCAACGAAAGCATAGCATGAGCCAAAGTAGCTTCCAACTTGTCGAAACATGGCTCACCCAAGCCAATGGGGCAGTTTCTAACCACACAGGTGACAACTCCTCCAATAGAGTCCTGGGCATCTCTGTACTTTTCAATCTCCTTGACCATCTGCTCACGAACCGAGGCATCTGGACAACGAATGGGGCCCACGCCGTCGACCTCTTCCCTGGTTATAGTACTGAGGATTTTCTGAAAAGTAGGGTCCAATGGGTTTCTGTCCATGGCTACAGAACCAATACTGGAAACAAACGCCACGATTTCCACGCCGTTGGCAAGCGAAAGAACCTTTTCTGCAATCGCACCAGCAGCCACTCGACCAATAGTCTCTCTGGCTGAGGATCTGCCTCCTCCAGAAGCAGATTTGGCACCGTACTTTTGGATATAAGTCCAATCGGCGTGCGAAGGACGAGGGTAAAGGTCAGTTTCCGAGTAGTCATTGGGACGGTGGTCCTCGTTTAACACAAGCATACCAATTGGAGATCCCAAGGTTATACCGTTCTCGGTTCCGGATTGAATATGGACCTGATCTTTCTCGTTTCTGGGTGTCGATAACTTGGACTGACCTGGCCTTCTTCTACTCAACTGAGGCTGTATGTCACTTTCTGACAATTTAAGTCCAGGAGGACATCCATCGACAATACATCCGACGGACTTGCAGTGCGACTCACCATAGGTGGTCACTCTGAATATTTTTCCAAACGTTGACATGGTTGGGTGAGTGAGACCCCGGCATAAATTTTCAGTGTGAGTAATAGCTGGTGCACTGGCTGTGAAATGTGACGATGATGACGGTTCAAGTAAAGGTTGAACTTTCTTATTGAGGAGCTATTCTTTTCGAGTTTGAGGCACTTAGTGGGGTTCCCTGTAATGATCAAAATGTCGTCTGAGGTCCTAGGGGATTCATTGTCAAAATTCAACCCAATAGAAATGGCTGCAAATAATGATCGGTTGCACAATTACAATAATCACATTGCCAATGATTATTGCTAAAACTGTTTGGTGCTTTAACGGCTTGGTGCATTCTCCACTACCTTAAAGAGCTTACCGTTCGTACTCTCGATCCGTCTCTTCCACTTTGTCGATATTGACGTTCACGTGATCTGTCCTAATACGGTAAAAACATAAAGGTAAACACCACTATCCAAATTCTTTGCGGCGCCGTGGGGAACAAAGACACTTTTTGATAGTGTAATTGAACTGCACATCATGCTTACCAGGTGGAAGTCCTGGCTGGATATTTTTATCTTACTTACGATTAATGCAGTTGTCGCATTTGCATGGAATACCGTCTATGATTTAGAAGGAGGACATGCATATCTCCAGTTGCAAAACAATGACATTATAAAGATTGATTTTTCTGTTGATGGAGACTTGAAGTCGGATATAAAGTCGGATGATACCTTACCAGTGTATTGTACTGCTCCAGACAACTCGACTATATTTTTGCAGCAAGGTGAATTGTATGGTTTTATTTCAGCACCACCCAAAAGACTGACAAGGTCAAAAGATGTTTGTGGAGATGGCTTACTAGAACTCAGAACTTTTAATGAATCGGCTCAGCTGTGGGATTCCGTGCTGTTGGCATCCAATGCATTCGATGAACTCGACGATGCTTCGTTCTATGAAAGTGCAACATACTTGGCTGCTGAGGATACTCTTTACATTTACGGAGGATTATGCCATCCGTCATCGGAGATCACGAACAGGCTCATATCGTTTGATTTTGAAAAAAAGCTGTTCTCCAACATTTCAACATCCACTAAACCCCAGCCATTTTACGGTGCTTCCAATATACTTGGACCCGACTCTCAGACTCAATTGGTCATAGGAGGACAAACAAATAAAGGTTGGCTCAACATGTATCAGCTAGCCACATGGAACTTTGATTCTGGATGGTCTTTCAAATCGGTTGCTACTGGAAATGATAAGATAAACTCTCGAAAGTTTGCATTGGCACTTCCATTATTTGATCCCTTGTCCAACGACTCTGTGGCAGAAATTCAGCTGCATTTCCTGGTGAAAAGTGTTCTTCTTATAGGAGGACAAACCTTGAACCAGCCGTCTACTCCAGCGGTGGCTAAGTTGGCTACTAACGATGCTAGTTGGGCATGGCAAGAACTTGATTTGGATATCGACCCCGAACAAATTTTGGGAGCGGCATCCATTTTCAACACCCTTTTAGTTGTCAATCAAGACTCCACAAAGCGTGATAACAGCTATAAAGTAACACTTTACGACACGGACAATTTGAAGCAGGTATCGAGTCTCAAGGACAATTATTCCAGCAAATTCGCACCCACCAACAACTCAAATCTGGTGCCTAAAAAGGCCATTTTGGGTACAATTCTTCCTGTCGCTGCCATTGCAGCTGCAGTTGCGGCGTCCTTATTCATCATTAAGCGCCGCAAGGCATCCGCAGCTGAGCCTAAAGACGACGACATTGACTACCACTTTGGGAACTTTTATGATCAAAATAGCACCACCCATCCATACAACAATAGGCTAGCAGCAGACTCTGCTAGTACCCTTGACGGTGCTCTGATAGACTCGTGGGTTCGCAAAAGACAAGAATACGAGGAGAAAAGAAGCAAGTTCCATAACGACCATTGGACGTCCAAAGATACTTTGACTAGTGGTGAGTACAACAACGAAGAACACGAATTGCCTGAAAAACCATCGCCCACTCCTTTGCAAGGAAGTTTTATGAACCGTTCAGTCTCAAAGGTGAAAGGAAATTTCTCATTTACCAACACTCCTGGCTCACCAAGAATGATGTTATCACCAAAGAACTTGACTGGGCCTCGAACGTTGCGAGAAAAGGCCAGTCAAAATACCTTGATATCCACCGGAGGCAGGCTCTTTGACGACGAAATGTCTTCCGAAAACATGGCAGAGTCAGATAATCATACCAACTACGATTCCGATAACTCTCTTGACGAGATGATGGATGTGCAAGTATTGGTGAGTTCCAAACGTAGATCCGTGCTCAAGGTGATGAACCCCGATCTGGATACGGTCGATGGAGATATACGGCAACGAGTTCCATCGGACGAAGCCAAAGAACAAGACTAAGCTGGAAAGCTTTCGACAGAGATGAGTCAATGAAATGTAACAGTATGTACTATATTATAGGATGAATTTGCAACCGTTCGCGGATTTGGGACTGCACACGGTACCCGTAGGCCGCAGATCTGGTTATCATAGCCGCATTGCCAATTCGCAACAAAATTCTAAAAACAAATTCTGCTCGGTTGTATAGACACTTTGGAACATGGAAAGGTTATACCAATTTCCGTCGCGAGATCGATCACATCCTGATCCGATGCGCACCAACTCGGAAACTGGGGGCTCTTTTGTAACCGCAAAACCTTCTTCCAGCCACGAACCCAATGGCTTTGTGGACCAATGGTCCAATCTGCCGTACCCCGAGGTCAATTCAACCGCCCCAGACTATGATATGGGTGACGAGCCTGGGTTCAGGGGTGCGGAGAATGGGTTTTATGGAGCCACAGACATGGGCGATGGCACGGCAATGGATGAAGATCGAGTCAATGCCACGCCACATTCACAGTACATGCAAGACTTTGACCTACCTATGGAAAATCACGTTAAAGTTCCCGGAGCATTCTATGATGAAGTAATAGAAGACCTGTTTGTGCCAGCAGGCAAAACGCTTCACGGTGGGTTTCTTCCATCAAAGTTTTCTCAGCCTGTGTTTCCCTCCCAGTCATCAGTTCTTGCGCTGGCACCGGCCCAGGATGGTCCATCTCCAATGCACTTGAGTAGCCCCGAAGGTAACCCACAGCTGTTCACAGCTCTCCAGGGACTCTCCTTAGACGTAAACCAAAACCAACCCAATGAAGGTATCACCCAAAATAGCTCGAATAGCAACATGTCTGGTTGTGATAATGGACCGAGTCCGCTGCATCAGTCGATAGACAGCTACACTGGGACCACTTTGGGAGCCTTCGTCAACGGACCCAGTGGGAACTACAATGACGGCACATATATGAACGAATTGAGTCCGTTTACCACAAACAATTCGCTTACTCCATCGGCTGGCTCGATTCATTCGACTCAACCGTCATTTTTTTCGGCTCACCAATTCTTGAATGCCAATTCTGTCGATCAGGGGCCTCCTAGTGCAATGCATAGACCCTCTTTGGACTTATATTCATTGCGTCCATCACTTGACAGTCAACAGTCAACTCCATTGAGTCGGCGGGAAAGTGGCCAAAATGGACGCTATAGTAGCTTCACCAACTCCATTTCCAACTATATCCCGTTCATGAATGATCGCCAACGACCTTCGGATGCGCTGTCCAAAATAACCACACCACCATCGCCCTCTTCGCCAGCCCCACAAAAATTCACGGCAGCAAAATCTTCATATCAAGACCAGCAATCGCGCCATCTTATTCGAAGCATTTTCAAATCCAACGGTCCTTCTATTGTAAATACAAATCAAGATGGTGATACATCTACCGGAGACCTTGACGAGAATTCCAATAATGACAACATAAATGAGTTTTTGATCATGAGTCCCAAAGATGAAGTTGCGGAAATGGATTTCTCCGACAAGAAACTGAAGAGGTCGAAGAGGAGTATATTTACCCGCTTCAAGACGCCAACCAAGAACGAAACGGTCGATCCTGGAGCCATTTGGCCCGACCAAGAAATGAAGAACGGCGAAGTTAAACCAGATCCGGATGCAAGCGACATGGATACGGAAGCAAAGCAAATGTTCAGGGATGGCTATTACGACTTTATGCCTCCAACAATGGAACAAGCACCTCTGGAGGAAAGTATTCCCCCTATGTATGTGCAACGAGAACCCAACTACGCTGCCTTGTTTCAAAATGTTGGTAAACGAAGAGTAACCAAAACCAAGGCGAAACAATCGAAGGTAAAGCAGGAACAAGTATCTGAGGGTGAAAGTGGATTCAACAGTCTCAATTCGATGGAAAGTAAAATTAAGCGTGAACCATCACTAGATCTGGGAGAGCTACTTGCTGCAAAAAACTCAAACAATCCAGACAACAGCAATTTAAGCATTGGGTCTGACCGTCTACTGCTGGCCAGTGAAATTTCCAGGTCATCTCACGATACTCAAGACTCCGAAGTACATAGTACGGGGATAGCAAACGCTTCTAAACGCATTTTGGGACTCAAGCTCATGTCCAAGCGAAAGACCAATGTTCGTCGCCAGACACCAGACCTCAAAGATACAAACGTTGAAATTGACTTCAAAGATTTGAATCTTCCGGATGATACTGAAGTTATTTCAGGTGAGTCTAAATACCGGATAAGGGGACGCAAGGAAAACAAGGAAGCGGATCTTGTTGACGAATCCAAGATATTTGTGTGCAGCTACTGCTCACGAAGATTCAAGCGCCAAGAACATCTCAAGCGACACTTTAGATCGCTTCACACACAAGAAAAGCCATATGACTGCGAAATATGCCACAAGAAGTTTAGTAGAAGTGACAATCTCAATCAGCATCTCAAAATCCACAAGTTGGAGGCAATTGAGAACGACGGCGAAGAAGAAAGTACAAACGATTAATAGGAACGTGTATTACTAAACGAACACCAGGAATAACAAATTTTGAACCAGAAGAAATGAATTATGACAATGAAAAAAATGATCGCTAAGCGTAGTCTTGCTTAAGAGCTGAATTGATCTCCTCAGTTAAACGATCCGACGTAAGTACATCGAGCACCTCGGGGCGACCGTGAATCTTCGGTTTCAGAATATGGTGATTGTCATCACTGTAAACTCCACCAGAGCATATATTTCGAGCCTGGTGTTTCCTCATAGCATCTAGTCGAGAAAACACTTTACCGCAAGGACACTTGCAATGTCTATTTTCAAGGTGTGCTTTAACATGACGATTCAAATCGTGCTGTCTTACAAACTTTTTGGGACAGTAGGCACATGCAAAAGGTCGGTCGCTCAAATGGGTTTGAATATGAGATCGAACATTATATCTTCTGGTAAATTTCTTTCCACAATCCTGGTAAGTACAAGTGAATTGTTTATCCTCATCTGGGCCTACCCAATACTGGTCGAGCTCTCCTGGAGGTAACAAGGAAGTTTTCGCAACTCTCTTTTTGGGTGACGATTGTTGGATTGCATCTCTAACACCTTGAGTTGTATTTACTCGAGGATGGGGTGAAATAACAGGACTCCATTCTAGTCCAACTCTATCTTTCTTTCTTGGAGTCATTGGGAACTGGCTTTTGAGGGGAGTGAGTTGAGATATGGTTACGTTTGCGTCGATAGTGTCATCATTTGCAGCCATATGTCTTGTGGGAGTCATATTGTTTGACATATTGTTTGTCATGTTGTTCCTTAATGGAGACGAGTTGAACGCATGGGCAACCTGGTTGGCATAAGGAGAGCTGTAGTTTTGCTTGTCTTCTTGATACAACAAGTCATTGTCTGAGAAAAATTGTGGCTGGTAAAGTTGACGCTGGGGACCCAATTGCTGGTGGACTGGTGAAGAAAACAAACTGTTTCCTCCTGGTGCCATATAAGACCTCGAAGGTGAGGGTGATTGCGGTTCCGGCGAAGATTGCCAATCTGGTGAACCATTGGATAAGGTGGGTGGTGAAGGAGGAGGTAAAATTGAGTTCTGATTCTTGTTCAAGGCAATCTGCTGAGGTCTGAAAATGGCGCCTTGAGGTTGTTGCGCTGGGATTGGAACGTATTTATAAACAGGCTCTGGACTCCTCAGTGATCTATGGTTGTATTGGTATGAAGGAGAAGCATTTTCAGAAGGAGAAGGGTCCTCAAAGTTTGCCTCATAGAGTAATGGCTCGATATCATCGACATATTGCTGCTTTGAACCATCATCTTTGCTGTTGATTTCCTGCAAGTATTTGGCAGAGAACCTGTTCATGGAAGGAGTGCTGCTGCAGACTGGAGCTTGAGTATCTGCAGGTGGTGATGGTGGAAACTTGTAAGACTTTGGATTGTTGTTCGTCACAAGGTAATCCAGTTTCTCCTTGTTCTTTTCCAGTTCCTTTTGGTTTTGGTTTTCAAATTCAATCTCATCTTGCTCTGCCAAATGAATTGGTTTTGCCAGGTTTGGCAGCGATTCTCCAGCTCGCTGGTGTAAGTTCAAAATCTCGCCGGGAGAAATGTACTTGCTTATATCAGTTGAAGGTTTAGGACGATGAAGGTCACCAAGTATACCACCTCCTAACGAAAGCTCTCTGGTATGTTCAGCAAACCCAAAGATGGCAGTTCCACTAAGCTGGCGGCTGTGCTTCGCCTGATGTGTTTTGCGAGTATTGTTATTCATAAATCCTGATGGAACATCCAAGTCTTGAAGTCCGGTCAAAGTCTCGTTAAATAGGTTGTCGATCTCATTGTAGGCTTCAAAGTAGTTGTCAAATTCTTCGTGAGGAAGCGGGGCCTTAGACGCTCTCGCATCCATAGGCAGATCTTCCCACTGCCCAAACAGTTCCATCGGTTCCGAGTTAAACAAAACGTTTAAAGTTCTATGATCGGCACCGATTAGGTATTAAACTGGGGCCGAAATCAAGCGTAGCTTTTATTTGCAAATATATTAGTGAAAGCAAAATTTTGAATCTCAGGGATTGATATCAAGAAGAAGAAAAAGCAAGTGAATGCAGAATAGGCGGCACCATAATCAGCGAAAAGGATGCGAAAACTGGACTTGCCTATTTTGTACAAGTGTAAACACTGTCAATTAACCGTGCATTGTGTCTGTGTGCAGGCTGAGATTATACTTGATAGAAACTACTCTTATGACTGCTCGATTTAAATTATTGATCTAAAGATTCCTATTGCATTAACAACATCTTTCTTGGGTCCTCAATCAATTCCTTGATAGTTCTCAAGAAAATGACGGCTTCACGTCCGTCCAAAACTCTGTGGTCGTAAGTCAAAGCCAAGTACATCATTGGTCTCGAAACAATTTGACCATTGACAGTTACTGGTCTCTCTTTGACTCCATGCAAACCTAAAACGGCAGTTTGAGGCATATTGATGATAGGAGTACCATACAAAGAACCAAACACACCACCGTTAGAGATGGTAAAGGTACCACCGGTCATATCCTCCAAGGTGATCTTGTTGTCACGGGCCTTCTTACCCAATTTTGAGATCTCTTGTTCAATCTCCAAGATAGACAACGATTCGGCGTTTCTGACAACTGGGGTAACCAAACCCTTTGGAGTGGCCACAGCAACAGAAATGTCAGTGTAGTCTCTGAACACCAAGGTGTCGTTATTTTCAATGGCAGCATTGACGGCAGGAACGTCCTTGGCAGCCAAGCACGAAGCCTTGGCGAATGCACCCATGAAACCAAGCTTGATTCCGGTTTTTTCCAAGAATTCATCCTTGTATAATTTTCTCATTTCCATCAAGTTGGACATGTCGACTTCATTGAAAGTGGTCAAAGAAGCAGCGGTGTTTTGAGATTCCTTAAGACGCTCGGCGATTCTCAATCTCATTCTGTTCATCTTGACTCTCTCCTCGTGTCTAGAAAAGTTGGTGAAAGAAACGGGATCTTGCGACTTGGAGTCCTTCTTAGGCTCAGACTTGGATTCCTTCTTTGGTTCCTTCTTTGGCTCTTCCTTCTTAGGCTCGGGCTTTGATTCCTTAGGTTCTTCTTTCTTTTCCTCCTTCTTCTCTTCTTTTGGCTCCTCTTTCTTCTCTTCCTTTGGCTCCTCCTTCTTAGCAGCTCCACCTTCAGGTGCGGCACCTTCTTCAATCTTCAAAAGCTCTTGCCCAACCTCCACGGTGTCCTCAACTTCAACAAGAAGCTCGGTAATAGTTCCGGAAACTGGAGCATTGACCTCTACATCGATCTTGTCGGTTTCAATGGTAGCAATGGTCTCATCTTGTTCGACATAGTCTCCGACGCTTTTGCTGTAAGATGCCAAAGTACCCTCGGTGATGGACTCTGCCATCTCAGGAACCTTTACGGTTTGCGATGCAAATCTTTTGAAGGACATTCCCATGGGAGTGGACACTTTGAAGCCAGATTGGACCCCGGCGATCAAGGCAGGACGAAGACCAGTTTTGGCACCCAAAGTAAGATTACGGGCCATGGACACTTTAGCCATGTTTCCCGCACGTGGGAGGTGGCTCATGCTGCGTTTTATACTTCTGGACAACATCTTGATAATTTTTCGAAATCACGAATGCTTATATACGTTTCCGATGCCTTGCTCCGAGTTACCCTTTACTGGTGTAGGGGTTTTTCCGGGAAGAAGCTCCGGGGGTTGGTTGTCAGCGCTGTGATTGGCAGACGCCCCGGGGTCCCGTGAAAAGTTGACCTGCATCTGGCGGCACGGGACCTGTTTTCGTTTGTTCCATTTTTGGACTTGGGTGCAAAATGGCGAAACCGTTTTGATTTTCAGATTAGATTATTAGCAATGACCCTCGACCCCCACAAAATACATGATGAGAGGGTGGTGAGCGATATGTCTCGGTTTGAGTTTGGAACGATGGTCCCACGCAACCGATCTCGAAACCCAACTCCAACTTCCAGCGATTACAATCCCAATAATGAGCATGGGTTTATTCTGCATCTGAACGCTTCTGAACCGTATTTACCAACAGATATCTATTCCGATTACATGAACTCATCTGTGGTGTCGACAGACTTAAATCGGGACGTACCATATCCATTATCAGGGACAAATTCCAACCCAATACTTGCTATCCCCAGTGTTCCCAATGCAAGTCGTAATTCCAATGATACGCTTACCGACGGCGTAGACTATCGAAATAAGGACCTTCCGCCAATTCAGGAACCCAAAGAGTACTATGGCTTGACCCGAGGTTCGGTTATGGGAAGCGGAACTAGTGACTTGCAAAGCACCAATTCTCGAAAGAAAGAATTAGAACAGCATCTCGTGAAGCAAGTGATGAACCAGCCTTTGGTCTCTATACCAGCCAGTAAGTTTGTTGGTTCGAAGGCTGATTCAGATAAAGAAATCACCATCACGTTGAACTTGCTTCTCTACATTTTCGAAATTATATGCGAAATGATCTTGATCATTCTTTCAAGTACTCTGCTCCATTCAGACAATGCGATTCCTAATGCCATCTATCGGTACTTTATTGCTGGTGGAGCTATCTCCATGATTGTCTCCTCGCTCTTTATATGTCAGGTAATCAATTTTGAGAAACGGAATGGTAGTTTCTACTGCTTGGCTGCTACATTGATCACAGTTGTTTCATTTATCATAGCGATGTCCCAGGTGGTTTCGAAACTGTGTCCCTCTTCAAGTGTGTGTAATACTCGCAAAGCCATCACAGCCTTCATAATAATATCCACTTTTCTATGGATAGGAAACCTCGTCATGTTTTTGACAACCCTCTACATATCAAAGCTCAACTTGTTGGATGATATCAACTTCGACTACCAGGAAGTTGGAAGCAATCAATCTAGGATATCCAGAATTCCACCAATGCCTGAGCCAGAAGAACTGCTGCTTCAAAAGTTTATTCTCAACGAAAATGGTGAAATGTTTCCTGTTCAGGGCCAAATGGATGTTGAGGGTCGCAATAAAATCTTAGTCTACACACTTTGAGCGATTGTGTTGCATTTGTATTTGTGGCTGCAAATTCAAAAATTAACTTTCCTAAAAGACAAATGAGGGCAATATTGCTTGTTCTTCCCGTGGCTGGAGCATTATATATCAATTTGACTGCACACCTAACAGCAACAGATAATTCTGGCACTTTTCGCAATTCGTCTTCAATTTTTACAGATGAACAAAAAGCTGAACTTTTGAAAAATGAAGCTGACAATATTGTTCATGCTCAAGTATTCAACCAGATAATTGAGAAGGTAGCACTGGTTGCAACCACTGCACAGCTGGCCATGGAAGAAATTGTTGAAGATCCTCTAGACTTTGCAATAGAAGCCGACCGTAGTCTTGATAGACGCATTGGAGCCTTCGAAGATAAAATTGAAGATATGAAGGATCGAGTGAGAGAGAAGAAAGAGGCAACAGCACGGTCTACCAAGAACCTAGTATTTCACCCTATTCAGGTGGTTGCCGATGCCACTAGGGATGAAGATAATGACTTCGACCTCGAAGACTATGTTCAAGGAAACAAATATAACGAGCAACACGACTCAACTGGCTATAGAGTAGGAATATAAAATCATTTTCTTATTTTCTAATACAAATAATAACTAAAGTACAGTATTTTGGACTACCCTTTCCTGGGTAGTTGTTGCTCGTAGTTTGTTCATCACATGAAGTTCACCCGATTTCCTCGTTGTTGTTGAGGGTTGCCGTACGCTTTGTTGTATCCACCCATGGCAGTGTTAGGGTTGCCAACAATTGTGGAAGTTGGTTGCGTTGGCTCAAATGACTCAAGATAGTACGAATCCCTCTTCGAGTTCGAAGAGTCGTCATTATAGACGTTGGACTTGAATTGGTTCTGATGATTTTTAGTTTGATCATGGAAGGAGGATTCCTCATCGTATACGCTTTCATCTTCGTACTGGACAGGCTTTCCACTATGCTCGTGGCCTTTCATTGCTGTTGCACCCAAAGCCATCAATTCCATATCGTCTTCCCTCTCATTGATCTTACCATCAGCGGCACCCTGAGGACGGTCAAATCTTGGAATAAAAGAAACACGGTCGTCCTTCATAGGCTGGTAACGCGTGTCGGGGTTCTTGTATAACAATGCCAAAACACAGGTGATGATGGTGAACAAAAGCAAAAACAAGGCAAATACCGCATTCATGATGAAGTATACAATGGCCATGACCGAGGCCACAATCTGAGGTTGCTTGAACACATAAGAAAAGAACACAAAGAACAAGGCATTGATCGTATTGATGACTGCAATTGTGATGTTGAAAGCATTTGTTCTCTTATCCATGAACGGACGGAAGACACATACCAACACCATATAAACCAATTCTATCACAAACACGATAAGCGACTGTACTTTTCCATGTGTTTGCAACACAGCAACAAATAAGGACTTGAGGAATACGTAGATCAATGTGAAGCCAATGAAGTAATAGCAATCAGCACGGTACTGAACGTAGATGAAACCAAACTTATTCAAGAACTCACCATCACCGAAAAGCAAGTAAGCAGGGTTCTTGAACTGCTTAACAGATTGCCTTCCAAGGATAGCAACCCTAATGGTGGCCAGGCACAAAAGAACAAGAGACACTGCCAACATGAACACTGCAACGATGATAGTTCCTGCTGAATCATGTTCGTAGAATTCCCAAAGGCAAAGAACTGCAATTTGTGGGAATGCAACCAATAACAATCGGTACAAAGCACCCTTGATAATAAACGACCATTGTTGTCTGTACTCGTTAAATTTACCCTCGTTCATGATCTTTGATCTGATGCAAATTTCGATCACAGCCTTGAAAAGCATCAAGCAAACCACCATGACGAATCCGAAGAATATGGTAAACATAATACCGGTCATAAAGAGTTCAGTGATTTCAATTTTGGCCAAGTACGCCACCCTCTGAACTCCACGAAGAACAAGAATACGTGAACTCAAATCAGGGTCTTTCTCATCTGTTGTGTACAACTTGGGATCTAAGTTATCAGACAAACCGAAGTTGTCAGAGTCCAAAGTGATTCCATCTCTTTTGTCAAACAATATCATTTGGTTATTGTACTTGGTCTTTTCCACAAGCTGATTCAAGTAGTCAATGGATCTCTTCATTTTCTTCTGAACAGAAATGGAGAGATGCAGGGCACGAATAATATCAGTGGAGGTACCGCCTGTAGCCTGGACGTACCAGTTGGCGATATTTTGGACGAAACCGACCCTAATAAGACCCAAGGACCACTGGAAGTTCTGAGCCCAAGCTGCGGCAATTGGAGGTACTTTAGCCACTGCCATCATTGATGTGATGGCTAACGACTGGAAGTAAACGAAAAGAGACATCGAGTTGGAAGCAATGTGAGCAGCAGTATTGGAATGGCCAATGACTGACACGACACCCGATGTAATTAACCCTAAACCAGACACCGCTGCGATAGGCCAAGCAGCATACTTTGTCTGGACGGTTTTTCCATTGGTAAGCGCAGCCTCCACACATGCCAAACTTGCGCCTGATTTCAAATCGTAAAGAACGACCCTGACTCTAGCATCGAGATCAGGAATCGTGAAAGCCACACCTGGAATTTGTTTTGAAATCGATTTACTGATTTTGTATGATGAAGACAACTCCAAGTGACCTGTTGTAAGAGGACAAACGGGAGCGTAGCCAAGGTCACAGAAACTGATGTTTTTTTGCACGATGTTGAGTCCATAAGCAATCAAGTTAATATTAGCACCAATTTTGGCGTTGATATTACTAATAGCGGAGACATCAAACACAACGCTTCGGTTATGACGGTAATACTTGACATCGAAATGTGAAGCGGTGAACTGGGAGTTGTCCATACATGTCAAAAGAGACGAGGTTCCCAAGTATTGGGCTGCGTGGACAACGCAAGTCAAGTGGGCAAACACCAAAAATACCGGAAAGAATAACTTCATGGTAGTACAATCAGCTGTGGTGTGTTTATGTGGGGAGGTGATTCGTCGAAATGAGCTGGGATGACTGGAGTTCTTCTTTCTTTATCTTAGCAAAATGATCCCTGATCTTTGAGCGAACGAAAGACTTTGAGAACTCGACTAGAACTGTTTATTGACTCTCGCCGAACGGAAACACGACGCTGAGCTTGAAAAGATACAATCAGTAGCAAAGTAAAGAGAACGGTAAATCACTGCTGTGGTTTTCCCTGGTCCTTTTTTTGAGGCTTGGCTTATTTTTAGCGAGATCTATGCAGGCACAACCGCGCTTTCGACGTTCCCCAGGTGTTTGCAGGCAGTGCGACCGGTGAACGAAGGCTTGGTGCGAGTAGGAGCCAAGCCTTGGCGCGAACTTTTTCAGCTTGGAAATCTATCTTTAGAACCGTAAGAGGCTGTATTGTTTGCGGAAACTGATTTGTGGAGCACAGCCATCGTGTTTATATATCGGCTAATAGTATCACGTGTGGAATGTTCTGAGGCAAGAATGTGCGAGCCGCAGTCTGCTGCGCAAAGTAATTACTATGCAAAATGTTACTGTAAAACGTATATTCAGTAAGGAATTCCATTGGTAAGTCTTTGGAACTCGTCGTAACCTTTGGTGTAAAAACTTTCCATGGACTTTTTGATAAGACCACGGAAGTAGATGGATGCTTCGCGCTCGCTCTTTCCTGGAACGAATCTCGAGCGGAGCTTTTTAATTGTAGTGTCTTTGAAGCATGGCAACCCACTTTCCAACATGGGCGTAACACACCTCACTATCGTCTCCATATACGGTCTGCATGCCAAGTAACCTTTCACACACAATTCTTCAAACCATTGGAAAGCCTGAGTATCGTGACGACCACCCAAGATCAAGATCATTTCGTGGGTCAATTTGAACGGTGCTACTTCGAACTTGACACCTCCAGGTACAATATCGAAACAGAATCCAAAATCAATGTGAAGAATGTGTCCTTGGTCGTCGTACATAATGTTACCATTGTGACGATCTTTGAATTGCAACAAGAACGAAATGATGGAATAGGCAGCCAAAGAACGGATCAAATTGTTTCTTGCCCTTTCAAATTCAATGCTGTTTTCTGGTCCAAACTTGTTGATAAAGTACTCGTATAATCCGTTAACAGCTTCTCTTCCTAACATATCTCTCGAAACAGAGTTTGGCAAGACATCAATAACTCCACAGCCAGGAGCGGTAGCAGTAACTCGGTTGGGGTACACATACAAGTCCAACCCTGCGTTAGCCCATATGGTTCTAAACACGGAAATCAATTGTAATGCAAGAACATCTTGACGACAATCATCACCAACTTTGAAAATGGCACTCTGCCATTTTTCGATCTCATAAGACTTGATTTCTCCATCCTCAGTAGCTTCCTCGATGGTCTTTTTGATCTTGAACGTAGCCATGAATGGTGTCTTTGCATGGGATTGCAATGGGCGCCCTGACTTCCGACTGATATCAACAACAACTCCGTCAGGGTTACTTGGTAAGTATACTCCAGGCTTGACTTCGATCTTGGCCATTTCCTCATCAATCTTGACTTTCTTTTCGGCCTTGGTTTTCTTAACGTATGGCATTAACTTTCCAGAAATTCCAGTGACTTCGTTAAAGAATCCAAACTCTTTGTGGTAAAACTCCAAGTCTTCTTCGCCTACTGACTCAAGCATTTCCTCTTGGATCCTGTCCAAGGATGGTTTCAAGGAATCAGGATCAGTAGAGTCCAAATCCTTGTAACTGTTTGCCAACATGTTCCAGATAATCTGGTGGGCAAACAATTGTGACACTTTGGCTGTTTCAACAATGAACCGTTCAACGTACCCTTTGGCATCAAATCGAAGAGATTGCACAATTTGAGGAACGTAGAAGAAGGTAAGGTTCACGTCGTGTTGTTCCAAAGATCTCATAGAGAATTGAAGAACAAATGGATTGCTTCCAAAAGGTGGTAAGAACAATGTGATACAATCAACTGGCGACAATGTTTGCCAGAACAAGAGATGATGACTAGGGTTATTCTTGCCAGCATCAATTCCAATCAAGTACTGCACGGCGTCTGGGTACGAAATAGCGGCTAGAGGATCCTTCTTGATGAGATTTTGAAGAATCTCGTCCAAATTTTTGATCTTGTATCTCAATGCCAAGTTGACAGCTAACATTGCGTTGATCTCGTAGGCACGAATAATGTGCTGACCAGAGATTTGGTTCGATATGAGAGCACCCTTGGGGTCCTTGTGGGCGGTTGGATTCAACCAAACGTTGATTTTGGTGATCTCATCATCAAGGAAGAACATCAATATCGTCTTTTGAGACTCCAAATCGTTTCTTTGAAAAGTCTCAATTCTTGAAAAGAGATGAGCCACCTCTGTCAATAACCCATTCTCGGCCTTGAGTCTGATCTGGTTGGATCCGAATGGGTACTTTGCTCTGTGTGAGAACCACGAAAGCGCTGCATCCAAAAGGTGTTTGGTCAACCGCCTGACACATCTGGAACCCAATTTCGAATGATAGTTCAATACATCAAATCCAAACCTAATAAGCTCAAACCAAGTGAATCTCGCTAATGGGTGAGAGCTCGCCTCGGGAAGTCTGGTTATACCATATTCAACGAACCTGGTGAACATTTTGAGAATATGGTCACTTTGATTCAAGGTGGCTGTAAAACTCGACGAGAAAAGACGAATAATTTGCTGATGTGGTTCAAACTTTCTTCTTGCCAACTCAGCAGCCTTTAATACTTTATCGTTACTTGGAACATACTCCATGAGGGTAAATTCAGAGTCTTTGATATCGTACTCACGCGAGAAAATACCCTGCTTTGTGTCAATTGAAACTTCCCATTTCTTTGCAATTTCAGACAACAATAACGTGGAAAGTTGTGGATGGTCTTTCATAACAGTGAACCAGATATCGATAGAAGAGTTCATGATTGCGGGCTCAAAAATCAAGAACGGGATACCGACCAAATACCTGATCATTTCCGCCGAATTGCTCTCTGTCATGATTGTCAAAGCTGCGCAATCACCAAGGACATCTGTTACTTCTTGCGTATTAACGTGCTGCTTCTTGTTGATGATTTTGGCTCGAAGTTTATCCATCTTCTCACGTAACTTATTAAAAGCAGCCTCAACATCACTACGTGAGTGCAAGGAGACTTTGTCCATCAAGTCACTAACCATGTTACTTCTCCATCCGAGTTGCACAACAAGCGAAGGTAACGTACTCAAATCATTGGTGCCTATTCTCGAAATAGAGCTCAATTCACGATCACTTGTTGAGACACTTCCTCCCATTTCCATCGCAAAAGAGTCACCATATTGAATCTTTGATCTTGGAATCTTGTCTTGAACGGAAACGTAAGATTGAATCAAACTCTTGACATCCACAGGCAGCTTCACCAAAACCAACTTGAGCCACTGTCTAGCCTTCTCGCGCAAGCGTTCAAATGTGGACGAACGCCATTTGAGAGAGTCAGACAACCGAAGCTGGATTCCAGAACGTGATGCGGTATACGTCGTTGTAGGCAGATATTGGTTGACTTCAGAGTCAATAACACTGTCGCAGAGCATCGAAAGCAAATCAAACAAGGCAAACAAACTGCGGCGATGGCACAATGACGAAGGAACTTTGTGGATCAATAAGTCACAGCATTGCAAAGCTGCATCTTGTAATTCCTCAATTCTGTGGCAGCTGTAAATCAAGATTTGCGAGAGCAGTTCAGCACTATTCAGAGCACTAAACAGCTTGTGAGCCCCACAATTGATGAGGTAAATATAATCTTTCACAACCTTAAAGGCAATGTGCCCAAGGTATTTCTCCACACCACTGTTTCTCATTGATGGGTCAGTAAAGTACTCAAGTGTACGATAACAATTTCCTGTCTTCACTCGAAGAGATTCCACAAAGATACTAGCGGCCAAAAACATCATCTTTGGGTACGACATACTGCGGTGAACCTCAAAGACATCACCAAGAATATGCTTGTGGTCTTTCACATTATGATTAGAAGAACCTCTTCTCAAAACTGTGTTCAATTCAAGAGACGTTTCAGTACGGTCCCACGAAAGCTCTGAGGCGAGAGGAGGAGAGTTGTATGCGATTCTCATCAACTCGGTGGAGTAAGCCTTGGCACTCTTGGAGTTGATGGAATATCCGTGCACCACCATGTTAAACCAAATATTTCTGAACAAATTGATGGTTTCAGTATCTTCGAGTTTCAATGGTTGGTCGTCAGTGTTAGGATCTGGTAACAACAGTGCCAAAGGCTGCAAATAAGTACCAATCACCTCACCAACACTACTGATTTCCGAGTGCGACCTGTGGTGTTCAAGCTCTTCAACGTCACCTTTGCTAATAATAGCATGCAAAAGAGAGTGCAAGTAGACTTGATAAAGAATGTTTGAAGGTTTGAGTTTCTTTCCTAGTTGAGATCTAGCATCGATGAGATCATTGAGAAGGTGTTCGTTCTTTTGATCAAATGCATCGATGGTCAATCTGTCAAATAATTCGACCAATATCACAAACTCACGCTCGGGTAAGTATGGGGCACAAGCAACGAGTCCTCTCAATAAAATTGGTCCAATGGACGAGCTGAGCTTGTTTGTCTTTTGGGCCAATAAAGTTACCGCAAGGGTACTTACGACTTCATCCTCACAGGCTTCAACGATGTTACTGATAGCCGCAACCGCATTTTTACAAACCTTGATATGGTCTTTGTTGTTGAGATCATAACCTTTTCCGTTGTTTTGTTTCTCATTAACAAACCTAGGTGGCCGTTTGCCTTGATGGCTGGAGATAATCGAGCCTGGCCTGGACGAACGACGAGACATTGACATGTTGGCCAAGTCTTTCGTTGAGAAGGAATCAACACGACTCAAGCCTGTGTTTCTTCTAATTGAGCTGCGTACTTGTACTCCGTCCTCATCAGTGAAGATCAAGTTGGTCAAGGCATAGATTGTAGTGACCACAGCATCCTGCGAAAGCACTTTACCAGCCAAACCCACACAATGGGAGACTTTAACGCAGTATTCGTAATTCAAATGAGGATTTGAGACAAGCGACGTGAAGGCTCTTGTTAAGGACGACCCGATGTTTTCATCTTTGAACACCAAAAGAGAACCAAATTGCATCACGGAAGGCCCCAATCTGGTATCCAACATCACATCGTAGATGGATAAGCAATTCTTGAAGAGACGGTAAGCAATAGATAAGTCAATGTTATCGGTGAACATTCCACATCCAATGACTTGTAAATTGAGTCCTTTAGCCGAATACCCAATTTTCAATCTGTTAAGCGTAGAGTAAACAATGTAGGATTCTCCACGGTCCAAGAAGCCCATTTTGGAGACGGCTATACTTGTAAGCTTCTTGATAATGGCCATATGGTCATTTGAGATATCAGAAATATCAGACTCACGTATAGTTCCATTGGCTTCCTTTGACTCAGTTGCATCTTCAACGTTGCTAGACTTTTGCAACAAGTACTCGAGCAAGGGCAAGTCCTTATTACCCAAGATTGAGCTGATACTGGCGCACATCAAGTTACTCAACCGCTCAATAAATAAAACTGGTGAAAGGTCTGACACCAATTCACTGTCCATGAAAGCACTATACTCATTATCTGTCTGTGAATAGACGGTATTTGAGTATTCTTCTACTTCGCTGAGAAATTCAAAGTTGTCGATACAAGCATCCAAAGTCAAAAAGATTTTGAACGACTGTTCAGATGTAGCCAAAATGAAGGCTCTCTTGGTTAAACCGTCCAAGAATCCCAAAATAGTCAAGTAATTGCAAAGCTCGAGTTGATTATTGTTTTGGAAAAGTTTTCCCGTGAAATCAAACAACGTCTGAACGACATGGTCAAAGAAACCAGGTACCACCAGCAAGTCTGCCAACGCAGCAGTGATGGATGAGGCTGCCTCAAACCATGGCGGTGGACATCCACGTCTGGAAGTGATCGAATGGGCAAATTTTTGCGTTGGTAATTCAAGAAGGTACTGTTTCAACTTACTGAAGAGAACATCAGCGTTGGTCAATTTTCCAAATTTTCCCAGAGGTTCGGCGCTGGCACTGAGAACCTTGGTGTTGTTACACAACGAGAGAAGCACTTCGTATTCTCTGATCGAGATTTCAACTTCAGATAACTGGTTTTTACCCGAATTAGAATCATTCGAGACTGAGGTTTCACTGATCAATTTTGCAAAATGATCCGATTTCCCGAGGTCACTGCCCAACGCAGCCAACTTGTCGAAGGCGGCAGAGCGTATACTGCCACGGGGTATCCCGAAAAAGTCCATTTCCTAGGATTTAGTGATCAATTGAAAGTTGAAATAATACTGGCTTCTTGTTGTATGGCGCCTACAATTTCCACATGCGAGTGGGGAAGCACCAAGACACCGTCATATGGAAAGATGCTACAGATTTGGGAAAAGCGGCTAAATTGTTCAGTAGGTAAAGAGGAGAACATGTATATGGCTATTTGTTGATATAACAATGGTCGGGCCCCTCAATGGTCATTTTTCGAATACTTGTGTCGGGACACTGGGGCACCAATTTCCTAAACTGGAAGGTTGCGAAAGTCTAGAGACGATGCAAGAAAACGTATAGGTGAGTTGATAGTTGAGGCGATTCTTTTGTTTCTTTACTTCTTCATCCTCCACTTCTCATTCTGTAACTTCTCATATTTGTCACTTTCTTATTTAGAATCTTCCCTTCTGCTCCGGTCGTACATTAATCTATTCTACAATGCAATTCACGAGTATGTCTCGATCAAGGTATCTCTCAAGTTGCCCGAAATAGAATCAGGTTGAGCATCTTGAAGTCTGAATATAGACTCAATCACAGATAATTCTGGCGCAGTCGTATCCAAACCTGCTACCGACAACCAGTCGTTCACCACCATTCCAGCTCCTACCACCGAGGATCCTCGGTTGACAGTTCCTGCCACCAAAGGCACCTGTAACAAAGATGACAATTCCTCTTGATCTTGAATCGAGGTTTGAGGATGTACTATACCACCTTGGTTGGAAAGTGCACAGTATGATCCAACCAACACATTTCCAGCAATGGTTTGACGAAACACTTCGACACCAAGCACATCGGCAATGAGCTCCTCGGTCTCTCTTTCGATATCTGGGTGCACCAATGCAACATAATCGTTACAACAAATCACATTTCCTAATGCTGATAATCTTTCCTCAACTCTTTGAATCTTTACGCTATCTGGGAGCGAGTTACGCAAGTGCATCAACTCTTGGTCTGTGGTCTGGGTGGGCACCAACAATCCTCTTCGGTTTCCAGCGGTCATACGTCCAACTATACGAGTACCAGCAATGGTGGTGTGAACGATAGGGATGACATCTCCAAGTTCGGCTTCAAAAGCAGAGTAGAAGTTTTCTGAGCCTCCGACGGCTACAAGAGCATACGAGTTGGTGAGTTTTGCAAACACACCTACCTCGTTCGAGTTTTCAAACTGAGTTCTAGTGGCCATACTTGCTAGATGTTGATGGCAATGAAATGAGTTTTAATGAGAATTTGAAATTTTCGCGATGAGTAGAATTGGGCTGCGAAAAACGAATTGGGTGCAGATACAAGAGTCGCTCGTGGAAGTAACGTAGTGTGCAGATAGTGGACACAAAAGACTAATACACTTTGTGGACTCCTAAGCGGGGCCACCTACAAACTTCTGGCTTTATATTGTATTGTATTATTCCTATTTCGTAAACATTACTCATTTCTTATCATAAGTACTTTCCAATTACATCAATCGAGGGTTTCAACAACGTCGTCATCATCATCGTCATCAACGTCCCACCAGCCTTCGTCATCCGCATCTCCCATATCCATGTCTTCGACATCGTGATTAGGTATAACCTCGAGGCCTTTAGAGCCAAGTGTGACTCTAGCAGTCTCCTTGTCTTTGATTTGACCTTTCAAAAGAAGGATCGCCAACTTGTTCAAAATTTCATTCTGAATAAGACGGTTCAAAGGACGTGCTCCGAGATCCGAGGAGTAACCGTTTTTGCACAAGTACTCCAATGCTGCATCGTCCAACGACAACGTAAATGCTTTGCCATTAGCTGCAAATCTCTTTTGTATTTCGTTCAACCGGATCTTGACAATCTTGGCGATGGCCTTTCTAGACAACCGGTTGAACACAATCATACCCGAAATACGATTTAAGAACTCGGGTCTGAAGTGGTTTCTGACAGCAGTCATAACCAATTCCTTGGTTTGAGGATCGATCTTGGAGTGCAGCGAGTTGTTGATGAACTGAGCACCAAGGTTAGATGTCATAATAAAGATTGCATTGGCGCAATTCACCACCTTTCCTTGAGATGAAGTGATTCTACCATCATCCAAGACCTGCAACAAGACGGTCAAAACCTCAGGAGCAGCCTTCTCAACTTCATCAAACAAAACAACAGAGTATGGACGACGAATCAAAGCCTCTGTAAGGATTCCTCCCTCTTCATAACCAACATAACCTGGAGCAGCACCCAATAATTTAGAGGCGGACCACTTGTCTCCCAACTCGGAACAGTCAATTCTTATCATGGCCCTTTCATCGGCAAACAAGAACCCGGCCAACTTCTTGGCCAATTCAGTCTTACCGGAACCCGATAAACCGAGGAACAAGAATGAAGCTGGTTGGTTTGGATTGGCAAGTCCAGAGCGTGACAATCTGATAGCATTGGAAACCGCCTTGACTGCTTCTGGCTGTCCAACAACCTCAGAAGCCAATTCTTTCTCCATGTTGATCAATTTGGAATTCTCAGCACGAGTCAATTTGGTTACTGGAATTCCCGTGAGCTTGGCAGCAGTTTCAGATACTTGCTCTGAACCGACAACATTTCTTAATAAGGCTTCCAGTCCTTCTTGTGCCTCTTCCTCAGCTACCTTAATCTCAAGCTCTTGAATGTGTTTCTGAACGTCAGGAATGGCAAAGTATCTCAAGTCTGCAGCCTTTGCGGTTTCGTGCCGTCTTTCAGCATCATGAGCTTTGATTTCAAGCTCATCCAACTTTCTCTTGGCTGCAATCAATTCTTCATGTCCTGCCCGTTCTTGGTTGAATTGTTCTCTCAATGGGTTCAACTTTTCAATCAATTCAGCTTGCTTCCTCTTAGCGATCTCGAGACGATCCTTGGAGGCAGAATCTGCATCCACATCTCTTTCAAGGGCATTGATTTCCACCTCAACCAAGTGAAGCTCACGCTCCAAATTGTCCAACTCTTCGGGCTTGGAGTCACGAGCGACAGCTACAGTGGCTGCACTTTCATCTATGAGGTCCACTGCAGAATCTGGTAAGCTTCTGTAGGTCAAATAACGAGAAGCTAATTGAGCTGCTGTGACAAGAGCACTATCCAAAATACGCACTCCGTGGTGGATTTCGTATCTTGGTTGCAAGCCTCTCAAAATAGCCACAGTCTCGTTGACAGTAGCGGCAGGAACGTCAATCTTTTGGAATCTTCTCTCAAAGGCACCATCCTTAGCAATGAACTTTTGATATTCACTGAATGTGGTAGCACCAATACAGTGGAGTGAACCTCTGGCTAACATGGGTTTCAACAAGTTAGCAGCGTCAGACTTTCCATCGCCCATTAACATGTGGATTTCGTCGATGAAAAGGATGATCATGTCTTTCGAGTTCTCGATATCTTTCAATACTCCCTTGATTCTCTCTTCGAATTCACCCTTGTACTTTGCACCAGCGGTCAATGCGCCGAGATCGAGAGCGAACAAACGTGCCTGGGATAACACATTAGGCACGTCCCCGTCAACAATTCTCTGGGCCACACCTTCCACAATAGATGTCTTACCAACACCAGCCTCACCAATGAGGACCGAGTTGGACTTTGTTCTTCTTGCCAACACTCTGATGACCCTCCTGATCTCTTCTTCACGACCAATGACAGGGTCTATTCTTCCCTCACGAGCCTTTTCCGTCAAGTCTTCGCAATACTTGCTCAAGAACTCAAACGTTTGCGACGAGTCGGCAGTTCGACTGTCAATTCTCTGGCCCTTTCTCATCTCCATGACTTCGCTCAGTATGGTCTCCGTGTTGATTCCGGCTTCCTTGAATATTTCCTTGATACTAGCGTCCTCAAGCAATGCCAATAATATATGATCCTGAGCAATATAATTGTCCTTTTGCTGGGTCTTGAATTTTGCAGCTTTCTGCAATACTTGTCCCGTAGCATAACTTGGCGCTGGAGTATCTGGAGGTGGATTCTGCGATGGAAGTCTCACCACCCTGCGGTTGACTATTCTTTCAAAATCCGGCCATTCATACCTAGCCTTCGTTATCAACGTCTTCAAGTATGGGGTCGAAGACTCATTGTCGGAAGGAACCATTGCTGCCAAGAGATGTAAAGGCATCAATTGAGCATGGCTTCCCTCCTTAGCTATCTGCGTAGCATTCGTTATGATGTTCAATGCATTGTCAGTAAACTGTGTTTCTTCCATAATGATAGTGACGATTAACGAATGGGCTGATTGCTTTATATTGCAGCCATTAGATGCGGTAGTGCGCGGACCAATTCGTAGTAGATTCGAGAGGGTTCTGGAACTTGCCAGATGCGGGTGGAAGATGATCTATGGGAGATACCAGCAATTTCAGAGATGCTAGGCTGTAGATGTGAGTGATTAGAGAACGGCTTTTGATGTTCCACTGGAGGTGTAAAAAATTGAAGAAAATGTAAGGAATGACTAGTTGACAAGATGACTAGTTTTAAATAGTTCATGAATTGCTGAAATGCAATAATTGTAAATTATGTAAATTTCGTACAATTTGTAAACTTATAATTTGGACTGAGCATTATCCTATGATAGCTATCGGTCTACTTGTTGTTTATTTACCGTGACTTTTTTGTGTTTGAACATAGTTACTGGCGATAACCCTGAAACTGACCAGTGGACTGCGGAAAGGCCTGTGGTTGTTGATTCATGAAACCTGTTTGCTGGGGATACTGCTGGTACTGCATTTGTTGCTGATACTGTAACTGTTGTTGTTGTAACTGTTGTTGTTGTAACTGCTGTTGTTGTAACTGTTGTTGTTGTAACTGCTGTTGTTGTAACTGTTGTTGTTGTAATTGTTGCTGTTGCAATTGGTTTGGATCGGTTGCAACGTTTGTGTTATTAGGCTGATTGTACAAAGACAATATGTTTTGCTTGTTTGTTTGCTGAGCAATAAGTTGTGGGTTTGTCTGCTGAGCCAAAAGTTGCTGATGCTGCGGGTTGTTGGTGTCGAGATACTGCTGTCCATTGGCATCGATATACGACACTTGGCCCGTGATTGGATCGGTATATTGGTAGATTTGGGGTCCAGTGGCCGTGGCAGAGGCTGGTGCAGACGTGCTGCTTCCGCTCCACCAATCGTTTTGTGGTGGTTGTAATAACAGACTCATAGGGTTACTTTCCAGCAGAGTGGTTGGGGCAGGTCTCGACGACGAAGGCCGCGAAGGGAGTTTGGGAGCCTGCTCCTGACCCTCGGGGTTAACTCGGGCGTCATTGTCCAATATATCTAGGGCGGTCTCTATATTACCGTCTGCCAAAATCAATGCCTCGACAACTGAGTCCCGATTCTTATATCCAAAACCCAAAATTTTACCTGTCTGGTTGGAGTATTGGGAGCTTTCGAATGTTGTCATCTTCCGGTGTGTCAACACCGGCAATTGTCCTCCTGTTGATCGTGCCCGAGACCGAGAGTTCACAAGTGCCAGGTTCAGTCTACTGCGACTGGTTGAAGGCTCATAGTCGTCTCCAGTGTCTGAATACCTACCGGCGCGGTCATTATACTCGGAATCATCAATACCGTCGTCACGGAAGCGTCCGTTGAGATATTTGTCTCTCACATACTGTTCGATGGGACCCAAATCGTCATCATCACTGTGGGGAAATGGCACCCTTTTTGGGTTCCACCGCTTGCGAGCACGGCGGTTTCCAATGCGACGTAACCTCTCGATCTGATCGTTGCTCCACGTGTCCAAAGTCAACGATTTTACCTTGGAAACGTCGGCTGACAACACTCTTCTATGCACCGAAGCACAGCGACCGCAGAGAAGAATCCCCAAGTTCCACGAGGCCCAAGTAGGATATCCGGCGCCACATTCACCACACTTGTTGTCGTTGCCGCTCAAATTGACGATCTCGATGAGCTGGCGCTCCACATTTTTCTGGTGTCTTTTCGACATGCTGAAGGGAAGAGGGCGAAGTGGGTTTCGCGGGACTAGCGGACACCGTGGTGCATGGATGTACAATTCGGGTTCCAGGTATGATGAAATAGCGGTGCAAAAAAGCTATTGAGGAAGTCCACGGCTTCTATGCAGTTGTTTCTTCGATAACGAATGGAATTGAAGTAGTTTTGTGAACTTTGGCGAGTTTCGAAATGATAACTTTGTCGACACAAACCTGGATATCTTTGAGCTGATCCAAGTGCAACAGTTGAAGACTTTCATTAACTTCATGATATTGTTGGCTTGCTTTCTTGTTCATCTCTCCGTATAGTAATGAAACGTGGAGCGTAGGGGGCTTAAGCTCTTTGTTGTTGCGAAATGTTTCGATTTCAACGCCCAGCTTGTCCACATTGCTTGTGATGGTTTCCCATATTTGTCCAAAGAAAGCTTGCTCTTCTGGCGCCGAGAAATCGAGAACTGCAGCCAAGAAGACGCTTTTGGAGGAGAAGCTCCGGAAAAGACGAAGTTGAGGGCGAAGACGAAGACTTATATACTTTTGAGCGGTTCTGGATGGTGGAGGTTGGTCCCGAAAAAGAATGGCATTGAGTGATTTGGCTCTTTCCTGCTCGGTCTTTTCTGGCTGAATCATCAGTGGCGGTATCCTCATTCTTGTCACTTCACCTTTAAAATCATTGATGAAATTGTCAATGTTTTGTGGCTTTCCTCTGATGTTTGAACAGAGTGAGATATGGTGTGTGCGAAGGACGTACTTATTGGTTATGCTGAATTTACCATGAACCAGTTTCGTACGCTCCCCTACTGCATTCCAGGTGTAGCTCAGTATATACTCGGGGTGTTGTTGCCGCAACTGCCTAAGTGCGTCGTACGCAATGGTTTTAAGTTGATTTGCAACCTGCATGGGCGGGTTCCATGGAATGTGTAGAAAGATACTGGCCATGTTGTTGTTGCCAAAATAATTCTCCAGGAACGGCGAAAAGTCAGGAGAAGGCAATTGGGTGTCGGACTCGTTTTCTGTGTCAGAGGTGTCAGAACTGTAGCCGGCGATCAGATCCATGCGATGAGCTCTGCTGAGCGACGAGATGTGCAGGAGACTGGTGGAACGTGTGCAGGAACATTGTGGAGACGGAATGCATATTCTCGGGACGCTGGACGCACCCCTCCTTTTTTGATGTACCCACGGAAAATTTTATCAAATGTTCATAAAATCTTGGGGTCAGATTGGGGCTCAAGTCGTAAATCTGCGCCAAGATGTGGATTCGTATGTGAGGTATATATACTATGTAAGCGATTAGAGGTTCAATGGCTGCAAAATGCTACTACAAACATTCAATTGCTTTGATCCGAGGCTAAGAATCTGCTATACTGATCTTAAACCTTGCAAATACCAAATCGCAAACGATGCAACCTGGTACGAACGGTTGGTGGCGTGATGTAAAATTTTCATGTGATTGCTTGGTCCCCACAATGCTAAATCACAGGCGCGCATGCACTTTAAAAGGAAGCGAATTGGACGACGTTTTACAGCAGCAAGAAAAAAAAAATGTTCGAGGTTGTCGAGGATAAACACATCGACATCTTTTGCTGTCTTGCCGATGGTGTAGTCCATGAGACGACACCAGAAAACATTAGACCTTACTTGGATCCATCTTTCCCAGAAGACAAGATCGACTTGTATTGTAGCAAGATTACCAAACCGTCGGATATGCAAGAGTTTCGGGACGGAATTAAAAATAATGTCATGAGAACCCACACCAAGGGAACCAAGATGTTTGTATTGCTTATGAACACATTGGACTCGAGAATACTTGCACCAGCACTCACCGGTACTCTCAAGTTGATCAGAGACATGGATTACGAAGAACTCGAGGCATTACTCGTGTCGTGGAGAGACTCTAACATCCCGCAAAAGCGTCGTCTTTTCAAGCTTGTTTATGGCTTGACAGTGACCACGTTCATTCAATGTCTTGATGACCTTCACAATGAGGCCATTGGCTTCCCCAATGCTGAAAAGCGCGAGAAGCTATATAACGAATTTGAACCAGATGAGTTCAGATACACCATGATGGAGCATCCTGCCGATGGAAGCGAGCTCTACCTCCCGGTAGATGCCTTAATCGTTGGTTCGGGGTCGGGCGCAGGCGTCGTTGCAGAGACTTTGTCGAATCGAGGATTCAAATGTGTGGTATTGGAAAAAGGAAAATACTACCATCCTTCCGAGTACAAATTCAAGGTTAGAGAGGGAATGCAAAACTTGTATGAAAACAATGGTGTGGTGGCTACAACCAACCAGCAACTTTTCCTTCTCGCAGGCTCGACTTTTGGTGGAGGAAGTACTGTCAACTGGTCTGCTTGTCTTAAAACTCCATTCAAGGTGCGTATGGAATGGTTCGAGGACCACAAGATTGACTGGGCAGCTACTGACAAGTACGACAAAGATATGGAATACGTGTTGAAGAAGATGCATGCGTCCGACGAGAATATTGACCATTCATACTCCAACCAAGTCATTCTTGACGGTGGATCGAAATTGGGTTATAATGTTGCTGTTGTTCCCCAGAACAATGGTGGGCACCCAAACCACGATTGTGGCTTTTGTTTCTTGGGTTGTAAGCACAACATCAAACAGGGTAGTGCTGCTTGTTGGTTCCGTGACGCTGCTAAGAACGGCACCCAATTTATGGACCAAGTCAAAGTCAGACAGGTTCTTCACAAACGTGGAAAGGCTTATGGAGTTTTGTGTGAGGATCTTGAAGGAAGAAAGTTTAAGATTACTGGTCCCAAGAAGATCATTATGTGTGGTGGTTCGTTGAATACGCCAGTGGTATTGCAAAATTCCGGGTTCAAGAACAAGCACATTGGAAGTAACTTGAAGTTGCATCCTGTCACAGTTCTCACAGGACAATTTCCCGACCAACGGTTTCACCCTTACGATAAGCCTATCATGACAGCCGTTTGTACCCAGGTTGACGACTTGGATGGCAAAGCTCATGGTGCAAAGATTGAAACCATGCTTCACACTCCTCACATCGAGGCGGCATTTCTTCCTTGGAGAGGGAGCGATGATATTCGTAAGGAATTGCTTGGCTACAATAACACTTGTTCCATGTTACTTATCACAAGAGACACTTCGTCCGGTACCATTCGTAACGATCCTGCTCGGCCAGATGCTCTTGTTATTGACTATTCACTCAATAAGTTTGACCGTCAAGCGTTGTTGGAAGCTATGGCTGTTACTGCCGACATGTTGTACATAAAGGGAGTCCAGCGTATCATACCTCCCCAGGCTTGGAGTCCCTCCTTCACCACTACAAAGCCAGTGTCTGAACGTCTGGTAAACGACAAAGACTACCAGGAATGGAGAAAGAAATTGCTTAGTATCCCATTGAGTGCTGAGGGTCCATCGTATGGATCTGCTCACCAAATGAGTTCGTGCCGTATTTCTGGCAAGGGACCTTCCGATGGGGCTTGTGATACCAGAGGTAGATTGTACGAGTGTGGTAACATCTACGTTGCGGATGCGAGTGCAATGCCCACCGCAAGTGGAGCCAATCCTATGATCAGCACCATGTCTATTGCCCGTCGTATTGCATTGGGCATTGCTGACGACTTAGAACCACAGAGCAAGTTGTAATCAAGTTATGAACGTATATGTAAAATCTTTCATTGTAGTTGATATAAAACACTTTTGCAACTCAAGAAATACTTGAGTTTTTTAACATCGGTTTCATCTCCTTCAAACCCGGCAAACCCAAGAGGTCCTTTGTCACATTCGCTACAAATAAGTAACCTTTCGATCTTTATGTCCAAATTTGACTCTTCGCCATCTATTGTCGGTTGCTGTATATCGGTTGCTGGTCTCAGAACACCTATGTTATCAAAGTCCCAAACGTCATTTATCATATAAAATACATCATGAACCTGATCCTTCAGTACGTTGACGAGTGAAGGAGAATTGTGTACTTTGACTTGACTTAGATTATCGGACGCTATTATGCGAGCATTACACGGGGAAAACGGACAGCGAAGAATGGACGGGCGTATTTCTGGGCCATCTACCTCGGGATATTCTACAAATTTCATTATGAAAAATCGAATGCGAATTCTGCCTAAATGGTAAAAACCTGGGGTAGTATACCGGCCCCACCAAAAAAAAATAAATAACTGATATCACATCTTTGACTCAGGCGGCTTTTCAATGGTCTCTACTGCCAACTTTGCGAGGTATGGATACAAATTTGCGTAGCCACTTGCCTCTCCAGAACTGGCATTTCCTTTCGCAACTCTCATGGCAATACCTTGCGAAATTACACACAACCTAACCAACCCAAACACAAAACCAACGCTCCACAGGTCAACTGGATTGTTTTTGGGATCTTCGTCGCTCCAGTTGTACCCCAAATTTTTCTGGTAGAGAGCTAATTTGTCGTAGACGCTATCAAGTGAGCCGGGCTTTTCTATTCCCATATCAGTTTTTATCAGGTTTGTAAAGAAGCTGGTTAAGCTGGTTGGGAAGCTGGAAAGGTTGCAAGAAGTTGGCCAAATCAAACGATGGATGACCAAATGTGCACAATTCCCAGTCCAAAACAGCAGCAATCTTGGGTTCATTCGGGTAGAACAAGACATTATCAATTTTGAAATCGCCATGAATCAACGTGAGTTTCAGAGGATCCTTTGGAGCATTCTCCAAGAGCCACTGACAAAGTTTCTCGAAATGAGGAATGGGTTTCACCACCTTGGATTGACCAGCAGCCACGGCAGAAAGTGTTCTGATTTGTCTCTGAAAGTAAGAAGAAGTCAGCGGTTTCGCCAACTTTTCAGGTTGAAATTGGGGAAAATGTTTGGCTGGAAGACACCTCACAAGCTTATTGGCATCAATTGAGTGAATTGCGGTAATTGTTTGCATAATGGCTTGCCAATGGGCCAGGCTATCTTGCTGGTTCATGCCCGGCATACTTGGGTTCTTGATTTGTCTTCCATCGATATACTCCATCAAATAGAACACGAACCCAATGTGCGATTCATCCTCACACAACAAATATACCTCTGGAACTGGAACCACTCGATGGGGAGCGGCATCTTTGTTGCACACATTGATCCCGAACAACATGAAAAATTCCCGTTCAATTGCATGGGCTGATTTCGAAACCAATTTGTTATTGGGCAGCGGTTTCCTTCTTAATACAAACTGCTTGCCACTAGCATCAGTGATCATATACGTTGGATTCGACTGGCCGAATTTGAATTGCTTGTAGTCAAACGGTTGTTGGAAATTGGGCATTCCATTAGCTCCCAAGCTAATACCATTGAAATTCCCATCAAGGTTTTTGAGCAAGGATTCCAAACCCTTGAAATCAAAAGGACTTCTTATTTCTGTAACATCAACAACCATACTTGTTTTCTCGGGATGAAATTCCTCTATTCTGCTCCCCACATTTCATCCCTCGGTAACAACTTTCCGGGGAAAGCCCGTGCACCTCACACAGGGTTTGACACCTTCCTAATTGGGAACGGCTGCAACGTCGGCCAACTCAGCGTAGCCGACTGAAGTAATGAAGAACATAGTGATGAAGATTCATGCAAAAAACGATGATAAGAACATTATACTATCGGACTGCTTGATTTGTATATGCGTGTCTGTGTCACTCTTGTTCGTGTTTGTACTCACTTCATTTGTGTTCAACTTGATCGTGCGACTCATTTGCAACCGTTTCATTCTTCGCTTTCAACGACTTCGAAATGCAACTCAGTTTCCCAATGACCAGTTTTTTGGCCATTTTGGCTCTATCTACAAACGTAGCCTGTTTCCGAGCACCGAGAGCTTTGCAACCTCGGGCCGAGACGGTTGCTGTGGCTAGTTTCCCACAAGGCATGTCGCAAACTGTGAAAGCGAACATTGTGTTCTCAGCCAAAAGCAATGATCCTGTTCTAGTCCATGTTGATCTGACGGGCTTACCTGAAGAAGGAGGTCCCTTCTACTATCACATTCATGAATACCCGGTTCCTGCGGACGGAAATTGTGATGCCGTTGGTGACCACTTCAACCCATTCAATGCACCCGCAGATTGTGATGCTCTTCCTTCTAACTCCTATTGTGAAGTCGGTGACCTTTCAGGAAAGCATGGGTTTATTAATACTACTTGCTTCGAAGCCAAGTATACTGACCCATATCTTTCTTTGAATCCCAAATCTCAGTCATATATTGGTGGTCGCTCGGTGGTGTTTCACTTTGCAAATAATACCCGATTTGCCTGTGCTACGATTCAAAACGTTTCTGGACGTGAAGCCAGGAACTACTTGGATACGAAAGTCATGGTTTCGAATTTGGAAAAGCGGTCGGAAGTGGAATTCAATGCCACTAGTATTGCTACCTCCAGTGGTATCGAGAACAAAAAAGTTGTGGAGTACTTGAGACAAAATCCATACTTGAATCACTCTAATGGTACACTCAAGACCTTGGATTACTCCGATGCTCTCTCGAGAACCACACCTTTGTCACTCACCGGCCTCCTCGTGCTTGCGGCAATCTCATTACTCTGACCATGCTACTGCCCAGTTTCAGTTCTTATGCATTTCATTAGTATTATGTATTATATATGTTTTCATAATATATGATCGAAACTTTCATGCTCAAAGCGCAATTCGTTTCATGCAAATTGCTTTGTTGCCGGTGACGTATTCTCATGCATCGATACCAAAAAAATACCTCATTTCACATTGAGCGAGTAATAATTGTAAATGCCTCTTTGACTGAAAGCTACCGGCCAGATATCCTCCTGATAGTCTCCATCATTCTTTATATAGCTTTTCTTCTTGCAATCGTTGAGCTGGTAATAGCCGATCAGGCAGTTGATTTTTCGCGATGCGTACCTGAGGAAATCGGGCTTAGTTGTCTTTTGCGTTATTTTCTTGCCTGTTTCCAAATCGTAGAAAGTAAGGCTCGACAGGAGTTTGTAGCTGTTATAATTTCCCGCAAGTATGGATTTATAAGCCGGGTCGTTTTGCCCAACTTTGTAGATCCATGCTCTGCGACCCTCGTTATCATAAAACTTCCAAATATCTGGTTGCACCATAGACTGGTCTACCAAGGACAAAGACGAGGTTGCTGGAGCTATCTTGGAGTAGTCTCCTCCCGTCATTTCCATGAGCGGCTTGAAATCATACTCAAGTGCCAACAAACTCGATCCAAAATTTGCTTTGAGAATGCTGGTGAGATTGAAACGAGTGATTTTTTTACATCCAGTAAGGTCAAGGAACTTGATGGTCGTGTTGCCCTCCAAGTACTCCATGATGTCAGCGGTCTCCAATCCACTATGGGACAATATCAAGCTTTCCAAGTTTACAAACCTCTTTCTTATTGTACGAAGGATGCGGGTGTTCACCGGAAGTCCGCCAAGGTTGAGGTAACGCAAATCATCAGCCTTCAAGTTCTGCAAAGTGTAGTGCAAGTACACATCGGAAAGTGGGGAGACCACATTAGAGTCGATTTGAAGATTGAGCCAACGCAACAGGTGATGAGCGACTGAGGGATGATTAACCAAGAAATTAATGAGATCTTTGGTTGTGAGTCTCGAACACCTGGCCAATGACAAGTGAGTGAGTCTTGAAGTCACCGGGACGTTGGCGACAAGAGTAGTTGAATTTATCGATGTATGAGTGAGATCCAAGCGCCTCAAGTTTTGCAAATGAGGAAGTATCTTTGCGAAAATGTCAACATGAAGATTGGAACAATCATGGAACGATATCTTGAACAAGTTTTCCAATTTACGTCGTTCGACTACCTGACCGGCAATGATTTCAGTTTGAGGAAGTTCAATTTCTAGTAACTGGAACGCCCTAGCAAAACTCTCGCTACTTGCTCCACAGAAATCAAGGGCTTGTAATTTCGGTTGGTGATTGAAGAGGTTATCAAGCACAGCCACACCCAAGTCATCCTGGATGTTTTCACTTGCAAGAAACTCTATCAAGTTGGGGATCAAGGTGAGTGCATGGGCAATGGTTTCAGACGTTACCATCTGGATTTCCTGGTTCATACGTCCAGTGCGTCCCAAACCGATCGATGTAAATGTTTGAAAGTCGATGAACTCGACGTAGCGCCCAAGGTCAGGATGGCGTATGAGGTTATGAAGAAATTTATCGAAGGAATGTGGTCGATTGAATACCGCATATTTGTAAAGAAATCTCAAAGATAATGCATTAACGGTCTTCAGAAGGAGGGGGATGGTTTTGGAAAAGGTCTCGAGGTTTGCGTTGATGGAGTTGGTGTTGTCATCGTAATATACCAATTCGATGATGCGATGAAGAATTTCAACCGGGAGGGAAAGTAATGGCGAGTAAGAGTCGGGGAGCTTTGGTTCATCTATGTGGTCTTGTTCGACGATGGTGGTGGATGCAGATTCATTAGAAGTGATTGGTGAAAGGAAGAACGACAGCGGTCCCGGAGGAGAGTTTTGAGGAGGATCAATTCCCCCATCGGAGCCGAAGTCATCGAGTGGATTTGAGGACTTTTCACGTTCCAAAATGCTGTTTATGTTGACATGCTTGAATCTAAGCTTGTTTAGCATTGCACCGGTGGTGGAAACAAGTATAAATTAGGGAAATCAAAGGAGTTAGAAAAGTTGTTCCTGTTTGGCTCCAGGCAAATCGCAGCTACGACGGCTGCTACTAAGTGGTTTGTAGGTAGAAGTCACTACCAGGATGTTTAATGGGGTCTTTTCGACTTTTGTGATCAAAAAAGGAGGTTTAAGACAGACTTATAAACAGTAAAATGTGGTAATTATCCAGGGTTAAAAAATATATGTGAGTTTAAGTGATGCTCAGTTCCGGCACGCAAGTCATCAAAATGCCGAACACGCACCCCACAGTTCGAGCCTCGAGGGGAAGCGGCGAAAAACGAGAGAGCGAAAATAAATAAAGAAGAGATGGGGAATAACATAGCTATTGTATAGAAGGTCATAAATGGTTTCTGGGAGGGGTATATAATTACAATTGAATATATTATGGTGACTTACGCATTCGTGATTATTATTGGTTTGTACAATACGGTTATTTTCACATTATCGTGTAAACCCCGTAAACCTACTAAAAAGCTCCCCATAATCAAGTGGTTCCCAATACTTCCCAAAACCACCAGTGGCTCGCAGTGTGGAGTAACTATTCATTTCGGAAATCGCAGCCGCTCGTTGGGCGCCATGTCTCACCCACACACCCATACTATGCGATCTAAGCCCGCTGACCCGGCCCGGTGCAATTTATTTTCGCTTCTAAACTCCAATTAAGTGACCTTCAGTATGGCAAACGAATCCGATGAAGGTAGCGTGTACGAGTTCGAGCGCTTGGAATCCACACTTCCAGCTCCACTTAAACGTTCCGCTTCTTCGCTTCTTGAAATCTTTTCTCAGGGCAACCTGAGTCAGACGTCACTCAGAGACAATCGGTTTGTAGACAACGGAATTCCTTCTTCACGGACCCCAAACCACGTGCCACAGAACAATAGTCTCAAGAACCATCTTCTAAACAAGTTATCCAAGTCGGAAAATGGTAGAGACTCATCTCCAATTCCTGTTCCAAGACCAAAGTTTAATGAGGAAATCCACAAGCCGGCTATGAACACATCGCAGTCTTCCACTGGTGTTCTCTGGGTCACCGAAAGAGCAGGCGAATACGGCTATGATGGTCAAGACTCATGGGCCAATTTGGGACAAGGTGCACCCGAGCACGGAGACACAGTACCTGGTTCATTCAAGCGTCCAGAACTGATCCCAGTACCTGACCATGCTAAAGAATATGCTCCTACTGCCGGAATCAAGGAATTGAGGGAGGCGGTTGCAAACTACTACAATGTAACCTATCGGAAGAACCAGAATTCCAAGTACACCTACAAGAACGTATGTATTGTTCCTGGTGGAAGAGCCGGTCTTACCAGAATTGCTTCTATCATCAGTGATTGCTACTTATCCTTCTTCCTTCCCGACTACACCGCTTACGCCGAAATGCTTTCTTTGTTCAAAAACTTCTCTCCCATTCCCGTTCCTCTCAGTGAAGCAGACAATTACGATATTCACTTGGAAATGATTCGCGGGGAATTGGCTCGTGGTGTAAGTGCTCTTCTTACCCTGAACCCAAGAAACCCCACCGGAAGATGTATGACTAGAGCACAATTGGCTACCCTTCACCAGCTATGCAGGGAAAAGTGCCTTTTGATCATGGATGAATTTTACTCGCACTATTACTATGACGACCATTGTTCTGGAAGCTCGATTTCTAGTGCTGAATACGTTTTGGATGTCAACCGTGATCCAGTATTAATCCTTAACGGTCTCACCAAGGCGTTCAGATTGCCAGGTTGGAGAATCTGCTGGATTGTTGGTCCTGAGGATTATATCAATGCTTTAAGCAGTGCTGGTTCGTTCTTAGATGGAGGCTCTAATGCTCCATTTCAGTATGCTGCTGTGGACTTCCTCGAGCCTACCAGGGTGTTAACAGAGATGAAGGCATTGCAAATGCACTTTAAAATGAAACGTGATTATATCATTGAAAGGTTAACGAGAATGGGGTTTGAGTTCACAGAGAGAAATACACCCAATTCCACCTTCTACCTCTGGCTTCACTTGTCACATTTACCAGGAAAGCTCTCCAACAGTTTAGGATTCTTCCACGAGTGTCTTCACGAAAAAGTGATCGTTGTGCCAGGATTCTTCTTTTTGATCAATCCACAAAACTTATCCAGATTGGAAGATGTTATCTGGTACAACTACGTGAGAATTAGTTACGGCCCTGAAATCGGACAATTGGTCAAGGGAATGGACGGAATAGAGAGGATCTTACACAGATTTGGCTGCTTGCCTTACGACATTCCAGACAAGAAACAAACACCTGAATTAGAAAATTAGATAATAAATGCGCCAAGTAGTTCCGGAAGTCCATCGGGTCTCGGACTGCGAAAAAGCTTCCCTGGGTCATTACCCCGGAGCTTACTCCGATGCATCCACACACCCAAACATTAGGTTGCAATTAGAATTCACAAAAAATGGCACCGGGTGAGAGTTATAGAAATAGCTTGAGTTTTGAAAGCTATAAGGAACAGTAACACTAATTTCATCCTTTTTCAGTATTTTTTTCACCTTCATCCTAATCACGTTCCCATCGAGATCGTATCCATCCCGGCCAAGTCGGAAGTCGCGGCCGAGGTGACACAAAACCGCCGGCAAATAAAAACCCCGAAAATATCTCACTTACACCAACACTAACGAGGACCCTACTGAAATTTTGTTTTCCCAGTGGAGTATCCTAGTAGAACTCGCAATTTCAACATGCTTAGAGTAAATACAAGGGCACGTTTGTTGCACCGGATGGCAGCAAAGTTGCTGCCTCCAAGACTTACGCTTGCTAGAACCCTTGCTACCGATTCGTTTCTTCAAGGCAATAATGCTAACTATGTGGATGAAATGTACAATGCTTGGCGCCAGGACCCATCTAGTGTCCATGTTTCTTGGAATGCTTATTTCAAGAACATTGAAACCACGGGATCTGCATCGCTGGCCTTCCAGGCTCCTCCAACTATCGTTCCAACCCCAGCTGGAGGTGCTGCTAGTTTCAACCCTAGCTCTTCTTCGTCGCCTGACGTTGTTGCTCACTTGAAGGTGCAGTTGTTGGTGAGAGCCTATCAAGTCAGAGGACATCAAAAGGCCAAGATTGATCCTTTGGGCATCTCGTACGGTGACACCGAAGACTTGCCAAAAGAGTTGTCTTTAGACTACTATGGCTTCACCGAAGCTGACCTTGACAAACAAATCACCTTGGGGCCAGGTATCTTGCCCAGATTCGCTGAGTCGGGCAAAAAAACCATGTCGCTTCGTGAAATCGTCGACACTTGTGAGCGTTTGTACTGTTCTTCTTACGGTGTGGAATACATTCACATCCCTTCAAAGGAGCAGTGTGACTGGTTGCGTGAACGTATTGAAATCCCTCAACCATACAACTTCTCTCCTGATGAAAAGCGTCAAATTCTTGACCGGTTAATATGGGCTTGCTCTTTCGAGTCTTTCTTGTCTTCCAAATTCCCCAACGACAAGCGTTTCGGTCTTGAAGGTGCCGAGTCCTCCGTTCCCGGTATCAAAGCTTTGATCGATACTTCCGTCGAGTACGGCGTGGAAGATATCGTGATTGGTATGCCCCACAGAGGTAGATTGAATATGTTGTCCAATGTGGTGCGTAAACCTAATGAGTCTATCTTCTTCGAATTCACCGGTTCCAAGGAATTTGATGAAGGTTCGGGAGATGTCAAGTACCATCTTGGTATGAACTACGCCAGACCAACCACTTCTGGTAAGCACGTTAACTTATCTCTTGTCGCCAACCCTTCGCACTTGGAAGCCGAGGATGGTGTTGTTCTTGGTAAGACTCGTGCCATTCAGCACTACAAACATGACATTGGTACTTTCAAGAAGGCTATGCCAATCTTGATGCATGGTGATGCCGCTTTCTCCGCTCAAGGTGTTGTGTACGAAACTATGGGTTTCGAAAACCTTCCTGCCTACTCTACCGGTGGTACCATTCATGTCATTGTCAATAACCAAATTGGTTTCACTACTGACCCTAGATTTGCTCGTTCTACCTTGTATCCTTCCGACATCGCTAAGGCCATCAACGCTCCCATCTTCCACGTTAACGCAGATGATGTTGAGGCTATGGTGTTCGTTTTTAACTTGGCTGCCGAATGGCGTGCTACTTTCCACTCTGATGTTCTTATCGATGTGGTTGGTTACCGTAAATACGGTCACAACGAGACTGATCAACCATCTTTCACTCAACCTTTGATGTACAGAAAGATTGCCGAGAAGAAGTCTGTTCTTGATTACTATACCGAACAATTGATCAAGGAAAAGACTTTCACGAAGGAAGATATCGACGAACATAAGAAATGGTGTTGGGGAATGTTGGAAGAGTCTTTCAAGAAGTCCAAGGATTACCAACCTACTTCAAGAGAATGGTTGACTACCCCATGGGAAGACTTCAAGTCTCCCAAGGAATTAGCAACTGAAGTGCTTCCTCACTTACCTACTGCGGTAGAGGAGGATACTCTCAAGAAGATCGGTGATGTCATTTCTGACGCACCAAAGGGTTTTGAGATTCACAGAAACTTGAAGAGAATCTTGAACACCAGAAAGAAGGCTGTTGAAACCGGTGAAGGAATCGACTGGTCTACTGGTGAAGCTTTGGCTTTTGGATCTTTGGTATTGGAAGGATACCACGTTCGTGTTTCCGGTCAAGATGTCGAGAGAGGAACTTTCTCTCAACGTCATGCGGTGCTTCATGATCAATCTTCTGAACAAACTTACACACCATTGAACCACCTCAGCGAGGACCAGGCTGCTTTTGTCATCTCCAACTCGTCTTTGTCTGAGTACGGTGTCATGGGCTTTGAGTATGGTTACTCTTTGACCTCGCCAGATGCTTTGGTTATGTGGGAAGCTCAGTTTGGTGACTTTGCCAACACTGCCCAAGTTGTCATTGACCAGTTCATTGCCGCTGCCGAATCCAAGTGGAAGCAACGTTCAGGATTGGTTCTTTCTCTTCCTCACGGTTACGATGGTCAAGGTCCTGAGCATTCTTCAGGTCGTATTGAGCGTTACTTGCAGCTTTGTAATGAAGACCCACGTTACTTCCCTGCCCCAGAAAAGTTGGAGCGCCAACATCAAGACGCCAACATGCAAGTTGCATACCCAACCACCCCTGCTAACTTGTTCCACTTGTTGAGAAGACAGATGCACCGTCAATTCCGTAAGCCATTGGCTCTTTTCTTCTCCAAGTCTTTGTTGCGTCATCCTCTTGCAAGATCTCAGTTGTCTGACTTTACTGGCGACTCGCACTTCCAATGGATCATCGATGATGTCGAATTAGGCAAGAGCATTTCTGCCAAGGAGGACATAAAAAGATTGATCATATGTACCGGTCAGGTCTACACCGCATTGCACAAAAAGAGAGCAAGCCTTGAAGACAAGTCTACTGCCATCGTGAAGGTTGAGCAATTGCACCCATTCCCATTCGCCCAATTGCGTGACACCTTGAACTCTTACCCTGGTCTTGAGGATATTGCATGGTGTCAAGAAGAGCCATTGAACATGGGTTCATGGTCTTACGTTGCCCCACGTTTCGCCACCACCTTGAAGGAGACTGACAAGTACAAGGACTTGACCTTGCGTTATTGTGGTCGTGATCCTTCCGCATCTGTTGCTGCGGGATCCAAGGGTATGCACACTGGAGAAGAAGAAAAATTCTTAGAGGCTGCTTTTGAAGCTGTATAGTGATTTATTGAAAACAGAATTAACATTTAGTAACTTGATTGTAGTTATCATCGGCATCGCTGCCCATCTGCATGCAGGAAAATACCCCACATAACCGAGCTGAAATGTCAGAAGACATTGTTGTTTGGACATGCCAAATCCTTTTCTATGGTATAGAGACAAGGAAAATTTGAAAATAGGAGGCATATGCAGATACAAGCTTGTCTATACCTGTATTGACGATACAAGGAAACAAATCTACTTAAGGTTGAAAAACGATGAGCGAACATCAATAAGAGCGGTGCATATTTTGAATGGACCGTTTATTCTATATTGTCATGTTGTCCCTTGTAATTATAAGCATGAGACCCAGTTTATACCCGAAAATCCTGATGATAACAAGGAGGTTGTGTTCAAAAATCAACTCAAACCGGGCCAAACATTTAATGTCAAGTTACAGTTGAACAGCAATTCCTACTATGGAAAATCACCAGAGGGTCATCCCATGTATATGTGGACGACTGATATAGTGTCACAAATAGTGATCTCTCGACATGCCCGTATTTATTACGATCTTATGATCGGCGAAGATTTTGAGCAAATGAAGAGTCTTAACCATGGTCCATTTCTGAACTCGTTGACAGTACTAAAGTCGCCTACTACTGGTAATTTCAAGTCAGACACTTCGCAAGCAGAATTGGGCATCCTGACAAAGCCACAGCTCAAAGTAGAGAAACTCGACACCGAAGCTCTATGGCCCGAGCTTCCCGAAGATCCAACAAAACCCATTCATTTGGTAATCATCACCCATGGTTTATTCTCCAATGTCACAGCAGACATGATGTATCTCAAAGATCGAATACTTCAGGCGTCGCTGGATAATCTTTTGGTGAAGGGATTCGAAGGAAATGCTGGTCGAACTGAAAAGGGAATAAAGCGACTAGGTTTGGGAGTTTCCCATTATACTACCGAACTTATTTCTAGCTTGCTTGCAAAAGGTCACAAAATTAACCGAATATCGTTTATCGGTCACTCGTTAGGAGGACCGGTCCAGCTCTATGCAATCAAAAATATTCTTCTCACGAAGGGGACTTCGTACTTTGAGGATCGAGGAATTCAGCCATATAACCTTGTGTGCATGGCCAGTCCTTTACTAGGTGTTCTCAGCGAAATGAGTCTTTGGATATCGTGGTTTCTTGATCTCGGAACGTTAGGTAAAACTGGTCGTGATCTTACGCTTCTGAAGAAACTTCCCAGCTTTAAGAATAAAGAACGCAGCAGAGAAGCATTTCGTCCATTGTTAGAGGTACTACCTAATGACCCTCTTAAGACGTTCTTGGCCAAGTTTGTTCACCTCACATTATATGCCAATGCTATAAATGATGGCATTGTGCCATTAAGAACTTCTGCCTTGTTGTATCTAGACTATGAGGCACTTGGTGATGTCGATGACTTGAAACAGCACAAGCCAGTTGACCCAGAGCATCAGGAAGCTGCAGGGCACGACAATCATTCGGAAAATACCAATGTTTCCGAAAACACCGTGGGAGAAGTACCATCAGATAACGAGTACGACAATGCTGTGGAGGACTTGCGAAATGAAAAAAAACCAAAGTACAAAGATCTTTTCTCATTCGGAGTGGCTAAGAAGAACAAACCTTCACGAAGGGAACGGACGTTAAGGAAAATTACGGCGAAAGGAAGCGACTTGGCTCAATCCATCAATAATGTGGACGACGATGAAGACGAGGGTGAAGATGATTATGAACTTCACAGAAGTGATCAGGCAGAAGACTCGTCTAATTCGGCTTCAAAGTTCAAAGTTCCCCCCAAAGCATCGGTAATTGAGTCAGCAGTCCTAACCTTAATTGCACCCAAACCGACAGTGAAATACATCTTGGATCCAGAAACGAGAAGACCAGTTATTTTTCATGACAAGTTCTATCGGTTCGAGAACTTGCCCGAGCACAAGGAGGAGTCCAACAAATACCGTATCCCACTTCCTCGTCTACTTTTCCACTATAGCGATTGGAAATTGGGCAAGCAGGTGGAAATAGCGAGAAAGTACCACCAGCCAGATCTCAACTGGAGAAAGGTATTGGTAAGTCTACCACCGGATGCCCACAACAACATTGTAGTACGCCGCCGATTCGCCAATGGTTATGGCTGGGGTGTAATTGACCATTTGTGCGATGAGCTCTTCACCGAAATGCCATTGAAGCCGAAGATGTAAACGGCTGCGACTGGTTGCAACCTGCCGCAGGAACAATGCAAGAGAAACGCCCAATCACCCACGCATTTCGCACGTGGTCCGATACTCTCTATTTTGTGTCACGTTCTTATCAGTAGATAAGGTTTGAGTTTGCGGCCCACTGTTTTTTTCTACCAAAGTATGGATCAAGAGATATGTGGTGACGCGTTCAATTCTTTAGTTCAAATTGAGATGAATCAGAAAATTCAATTAGTGGTGATTGGTGCCGGCCTTATTGGTCCTAGACATGCTCAACATGTACACGATCGTCCTGATTGTGAACTTTTTGCCATCATTGATCACTCCGCAAAAGGCCCAGGTGTCGCCAGCCAGTTTAATACACTTTTGTTCCGCTCTGTTGATGAAATGTTGGATTTTTGTGACGAGAGAGGCTTGAGGGTTCCTGATGGAGCAATCGTAGCCACTCCAAATCACACGCATGTTTCGATTGGCAGCAAGTTGGCGGCACGAGGAATACACATGTTAATGGAAAAGCCATTGGCTCCCACCGTTGCTGATTGCAAAGCATTAATTGCTCAATGTCGATATCTGGGTGTTCACCTTCTTGTTGGACATCACCGTAGATTCAACCCATACATTATCACTGCCAAGCAAAATATGGACAAAGTGGGCCGTCCGGTGGCAATCCAAGGAACGTGGGCTTTGAAAAAAGCGGACACATACTTTGCAGAAAAACCTTGGCGCTCATCAACGAAGTTGGGAGGCGGAACCATGCTAATCAATTTAATTCACGACATTGATTTACTTCAATATTTATTGGGGCCAATTGTTAAAGTTTACTCTGAGTTGTTGATCAAACAGAGAGCTGGATCTCACGATGGTAATGCTGTGGATGAAGGGGCAGTATTAACGTTGAGGTTTGCTAATGGCTGTTGCGGTACGTTTGTGTGTGCTGACAACGTGATCTCACCATACTCTTTTGAATCGGGTACAGGTGAAAACCCCACCATCCCTCACAGCGAGAATGCGTCGGGATTTTATCGCTTGTTCGGTAGTGATGGAACTCTCTCAATTCCGGACTTTACGTTGCATCACCAAAATAACTTACCTTACGACAAGCGTCATTGGTTGAATCCCGTGTCGTCAGAGAAGTTAGACCTTTCCTACAAGGTGCTTCAGGATTTCGATGGAGGCGGAACTCAAATGAATTATGGTCTTGCTACCCCTTCTGCATCTCCCAATGACAAGGATAGCCCCATCCACCACATTGGTCAAAAGCCGCCAGTACCATTTGAATTGCAACTCGAACATTTTGTAAACCTTATCACTGGCCGCGAATCGGAGGTGAAGTGTACTGGAGAAGATGCTATGAGGGCTCTACTTTGTGTCGACGCAATTTTGGAGTCGAGCAGAACTGGTATGCCTCAGTATGTGCCTGAAATAGACGTCTGATTCATGCCTCCCTTATGCTGTACTATTTATGATGTTTAGCTTTTCTAAGACGTATGTTGCATTATAACTACCGTAAATCGTTTAGTCCAATTTCTTCTTGGCATACTTTTCTCTCATAGACTTGAACACACCAGCAAGTTTGAATTTTCTGATAAACGCCAACTCGATGAGGTATCGAGGCATGAGCAAGAATACCCAATGAAGAAAACTAGCACTAGTGCCGCGATATTTGTTCAAGGAACCATTGATGCTCAGAGATTCGAAATCATTGACCACTTTGTAAGCATACTTCTCTGCTGGCATAGGATTGTTTCTGGCAGCCATTTGCTGTCTTTCAACGAGGGCTTCTTTCATTTCAGGTACATTAAAAAGAGAAGACTCTGGCAACGGTCTTGTGTCGGCAATTTCGGTCTTGACACCACCAGTAACAAAATTGAGTACTTTGACGTCAAAAGGTTTCATCTCAAGACGAAGTGTACCAGCATAAGCATGTATAGCTGCTTTAGTAGAAGAGTAAGTACACGAAAAAGGGAATGGGGCAAGGCCACTAAGAGACCCAGTGAATCCGACGGTTCCCTTTGCGTTGATGAGCAAGGGGGCTAATTCTCTGGTCAAACGCATGGGGCCAAAAACATTGACCTCATAGCACTGTTTGAACCATTCATCAGTAGTGTCAATTGCGGGAAACGTACACAGCTGGCCGGCATTGTTGAACAAGTAGTCAAGTTTTCCATCGTTCTCACGCTGCAATAATACCTTTATCTCCTTTACACTATCTAAGGAAGACACATCAAGCTTGACAGGGATGATCCCATATTTCTTCAATGGCTCCATAGCTTCAAGTCTTCTTGCACCAGCATAAACCTTGTATCCCCTTTTTGCAAACTCAATTGAAGTTGCATAGCCAATTCCAGACGAGGCTCCGGTAACTAATACCACTTTTTTTTGTGTGGAGTTTGGCATTTTGTTTAATAAAGTGAGGATTTCAGTTGCGTTAGTGCGACTATACTATCCGCACACATGCTTGTGGGGAAAATCAGACCCACGGATAGTATCGTGGTATGCAGGCTTGACGTTTTTTGCAGCCGAAGATAAGATAGTTTCTTTGCGGAAACATTGTATCTATGTAAGTAGCGCATAAAGCTAATCTCACGAAGTACTGACAATCAAGAACTGTATAGGTTAGAGGGCATTGAAAGAAATTTTATTTTGAACTCAATGTTGCAGACAGTCACTATAGCGCTTGGATTGCGACTAGTTTCGCTTCCGATGCCATAATTATTAGCGCATCATTTTCTGTCATTCGCTAGGCTAGACCATACAATAAAGCTTGGTAGAGGCGACATGGGCATATATTATCCGTTGACTAAGCAATGGCATTTAGTATCGCTATCATAAAGGTGGTGGGCATCAACAGCATCTTTGGTGAATTACAGGCTTGTCATTACAACCGGAAAATGTTCGATTAAACACGAACTCCTCAATCATACTTCAACGCCTTGTACTTCTTTTCAACGGCTTTAAACGCAGCATTCAATTTGAGGTTGGTGATCATCACATATTCAATAATGCTCCAAGGAAGCACTGCTAGTAAAAGCCTAGCCCATGAAGCTGACTTACCACGATATCTGTCAGGACTTCCACCTAAGGTCTGACTTTCAACGTCATCTACTGTCTTCTTTGCATATACATCGACAGGCATTTTGGTGAAGGTATTTTGTCTCTCTTCTTCAGATTTCACCATTTCTGGAACGTTATAGAATGATCCTTGCAATGAGGACCTATTGTCCGCAATGGGAGTGTCCACTGCTCCCGTGACAAAGTGCACAACCTTCACACCAAGAGGTTTCAATTCAACTTTGAGAATGCCAGCGTATGCGCGAATTGCAGCCTTAGTTGCAGAGTAGATAGATCCTTTTAACATTGGCATTGAACCTGCCACTGAGCCGGTAAATGCTACAGTTCCCTTCGCTTTGATGAGCAAGGGAGCCAACTCACGGGTCAAGCTTATTGGACCATAGACGTTAACTTCAAAGCACTGTTTCATCCACTCGTCTGGAACATCAATTGCCATAGAGTTGCAGACTTGTCCAGCATTATTGAACAAACGTCAAGATTTCCATCATTTTCACGCTCAATGAGCTGCTTGATGTCCGCGATATCTTCTGACACAGTTACATCAAGTTTGACAGGAATAATTCCATGTTTTTTCAACTCATTCATCGGCTCGACTCTGCGAGCTCCTGCGTATACTTTATAACCACGCTTGGCAAACTCAATTGCAGTGGCATACCCAATTCCTGACGATCCTCCTGTGACGAAAGCAACTTTTTGCCTAGATGGAGACATTGTGCTGACTTTTTTTTTTGCCACCATAGTGCCCGTTATATAGACTATTTTTATCTCCGCTTTTTCGCATGTTGGTTTGTAAGCCGCTCTCCCCCTTATCGCTCATCATCTCGTATAAAGGAGCAAATTGTCCTACATCGGATGTTTTTTTGCGACTATATCCGCTTTTCCGTCTTCAAAAATTCTTCCATCAACTTCTTTTTGTCAAAATAGTGCATGAACTTGACGGGTTTCTGTTGCCCAGGGCGTTCAACATGAAGAACGGGCACGTCGTAGCAATAGATATCAAACCACTCGGCATTCTCTTCCTTCATAATGTCTATTGTTTTCAACTTAATTGGAGTGTCTTGAAGCTCAGGCTGTTGCAAAGTTTCGTGCAAAATTTGTTTTGCGTTGGTACATAACATGCAAGTGTCCTTTGTGAAAAACGTCAACGTAGTTTGGTAACGTCTGGAGATTCTTATACTCTTTGCATTTTGAGCAAAACGTGTAGCTGTTCGGATCATACTATACTTCTCGAAATCATATTCTGCACCTTAACGGCGTGGGGATAATATGCAGTATTTTCGGTCGGTCTAAGACGAGCTCCGGCCGATACTGCAACTGTAATTGCTCTTGACAATGCTCCGAGCCTTGTACTTGATCTTCCTTTTGGTGCTGTATGTTTTAGGAGGCTCAGTGGTTCTAGCAAATGATAAGACATTCAAGGAAGTAGTTCACGATTCCAATAAGTACACATTTGTGGAGTTTTATGCCGACTGGTGCCGCCACTGCGGTAAGCTTTCACCAGTTTTGGACACTGTTGCTAGCATGTTTGACAATGAACCTAACGTCCAAATAGTTAAGGTCAATGGTGATAAGGATGGTCGTAAAATGTCAAAGAAATACGTTCTTCAAGGCTACCCAACTATGTTGTTCTTTCATGGAGACAATGATCCAGTAGAGTATAACGGAGGACGAGATGAAATCTCGATAAGCAACTTTATCCAACAGATGTCCAATATTCGCTTGGGCGACAAAAGCGAACAAGAGGGCGATGAAATTTCCAAGTTGATGCGTATATCGGACGAGAACATCGAGGCTCAGGTGCTTCATTCACCATCCAAAACACTTGCTTTGTTCACCTCATCCCATTGTAAAAGCTGTACTCGCGTACGAGCCGACTTTGAGAACCTAGCCACCTGGTATGCGAGAGACAAACAGGTAATTCAGTTCGCCGAAATTGATCTCGATATCAACTCCGACAAAATTCAAGAGCAGTTTTCTATAACTTCTGCGCCAGCCATTTTACTTTTTGATCCCGAATACGTCAATGAAGATGGATTGAAGGCCCCGCAGTTGTATTCTGGTCGCTTTGATGTATCTTCCATCAATAACTATATCAATGGAGTAACCGGTATCTCGCGAACGAATGAAGGAAAGTTGACAAATGAAGCCGGTATTCTCACTCAACTTCGAGAAAAAGTCAAATCTCTTAATTCTCTGGATGACAAAGTTGCCGCTGGAATGTCCATCTTGAGTGATATTCGAACCTTGACAGCGCAGGTGGGACCTGTGGATACCCGCATGCTTCCTTACTACAGACATTTGACCATACAAGCCATGAATGGAAACTACGATCAGTTTCAAGCTGAATTTAAACGACTTGAAACCATTGCCGATTCTAATGAAGGTATTAAACTTATGTTAAACGTGCTTCAAGAGTTCTTGAGCTGATTATTAACTTCATATATTAATCTATTGGCATATTATCTATCTAAACTTTAATGCACGGGGGCAAATCTTACCAGTCGACTGGCTTGAATTTCTGCAAAATGCGGACCTTATCAGGCCATACCTTTCCATCGTTGACAATGCATTCATCGATAATGGGAACTGCATTAGGAGGGGTACAGCGTGCGAGCCAGATATTCTTTCCCGACTCTTTCAAATAAATGATTACATTTGCCGAATACTTATGGCCACCAACGTGGTTTATGAATGAGACATGAACCCCTCCGGGGCGCTCTTCTCCAAAGTCTCTCAAAAGACCCAAATCGCGCAAGTGTATGTCCATCTCTTTCTTCATTATAGGCGCAGTGACTCCACACCGTTTATCTCTAGTTCTATGCGAACATAAAAAGACATGAGCTTTCAGGGGATCAGGAACGACTTTGATTTCAGGAAACTCAGGGTACTCCTTTTTGAATGGGTCCTTGCTTCCCGAAACATGTGCCTCAACGAGGTCAGGAATAACTTTAGATAAAACCTCTTTCGCATTTGATTCATGAACATCTCTAATCCACACAAATAATGGTAAAATGAGTATATCGGCAATTTTATTGGTATCGTAGTCTGAACTCTTTTCATGATTGAGCAGAAATATTGAGGATGTAGAAACCTTGATAGTATTTGAAGGATCTGATTCAGATCCCAATCCAGTCAATTTGGCACTGTCTGCCCACTTCAGGACTTGGTGAGCCACTGTGTGACTAGTCAGGCAAGCATCATGTGGCCAGTCGGTTTTTCCCGTGGTGACAACCAAGTGTAGTCCATAAGGCTTCGTCAGATCCCACAATGCACCATCGTACTCTATTTTGACCGATGATGGATATTTCGTTGGGCATCCAGAACATTCTTCAGCACACTCTGATACATCAAAGCCTTTAGACTTCACCAATGCTTCGGTGTTGACCAGCTTGCGAAATAGACCTTTGGCTATATTCATCAGGGCCCCACGTTTACGAATGAAAAATTTGACACGATCTTGGCACTTATCTAAATAATCTGCTTCGGAAACGGACCGTGTCCGGGCCGTCTGCAGGATAGCAAATCCAAAAATGAAGCCTCTCGCTTACAAGAGTAGCTTGCGCGACAAGAGATGTTTGAAGCATTCCAGTTGCTGGTCATGGATTCCGCCATTCTTGTGGAGCGAGAATATGTGCTTAATGGAACCAAAATACCCTTTAGACAATGAGGTTAAATGGCTGCAACAATTTTATGGCCGCAGTTCGGAGATTCTATTTGACGTCTATAGTTCCAGTTCACGGAGAGCCAGTTGTGGGAGGCTAGTTGTGAAATCTATCTCTCTCAAAATTTGTCAATGCTTATCGTGCTTCCAATGCTAACTATGTGATTGGCTCATAACTTCTAATACAAGGCGCGAGAAATAGTTCGATGCATAGAAGCATATAATGTGATTAGGTAATGCACGGTAAGAGACGAGAACGCAAATACGAGACAGCCATTGACCAAAAATTTTCAATATTCCACGGAAAAAGATATTGTGGAACCAAAGAGAATAAAGTAATTTCTGACGAGTAACCTAGGCAAGTCCTTACCTCTGTATGGCTGCAGAAGCTTTGTAAAACATAGTATTGTTGTATGTGGTTTGCGCACGACTGGAATAAATTTCTACAAAGATGCGGCAGGTGACCCTAGACGAATCTTTCAAGCTTAACCGCGAGATTTTTATATTGCATATCCTCATAAGGACGCGTTTACTGTATTTTTCTGCAGTTACACTTTTCTGGTTTTGCCTGGGATAACGAGTTCCCTTTCTTAAACCCGTTTCCACATCGTACTACTGTCGGTTAACGTCTTAGCGTTCTGATGACAGAGACAGTAGTCTTGGCACCAGTAGCAGAACCTCTGCTCCTAGATGAAAAGCATGATGGTGTTATGCTGTCCACATCGCATTTGAAAGAGAAGGCAAAAATATCCAAAAACTCGGACCCATCGGCTTCGAGTCCGGTTTCCGGCCGAGGCTCAAGGTCCGACGTCGATGCCTCGGAGCTCTCTAAAGACACCTCGCCTTCTCTGTTTGAAGAACCTCGAAATACCGACTCACTGGTCAATAAAGTGTCGAGACTCTCTGAAGATATCGATCCGCTCACGATTACTGATGAACCTGGTATGCTCCATTCACCTTCACATCCGTCGTCGAGACCCTTGCATTCCGTTAAATCCCAATCTACGCCGATTATACTGAGGCGCCATACCACTCCACATCCCAAAAGTTCCCACACTAACAACGAACGTCCTCAGGTGCAACCGAAGCGTTCGCTTGATAACAAACATGCTCGGCCGGTGATTCGAGCAACCTTCCCATCTTTCACGAAAGAGTCAAAAGAGCAACATCGTCCAGATTTTGTGCATTCAGAGCTCGCTAAAATGCGAGATGCACTTCTGACCAAAAGAAAAAAGAAGAAAAGAGACCTAGAACTTGCATTAGACGAAGAAGTTCTAGTAGGTAACAAAATCAGCGAGGGACACGAAAATTTTGTCATGGCGTACAACATGTTGACAGGTATACGTGTTGCAGTCTCACGCAATGCTGGCGTAATGAAAAAGCTCGATGAATCTGATTTCAAAAAAACTACGAAGCTTACGTTTAACATGGATGGAAGCGAGCTAACTCCATCTTCAAAGTACGATTTCAAGTTCAAGGATTATAATCCTGCCGTGTTCAGAGAACTTCGAACCATGTTTGGCATTGACCCTGCAGACTACCTCGTTTCCATCACTGGCAAGTATATTCTATCAGAACTAGGATCGCCAGGTAAAAGTGGTTCTTTTTTCTACTATTCGCGAGACTATCGCTTTATCATCAAGACGGTTCATCATTCGGAGCATAAGCAATTACGCAAAGTTCTTCGTGAGTATTATAATCACGTAAAGGAGAACCCCAATACCCTTATCTCCCAATTTTATGGGCTCCATAGGGTCAAAATGTCTTTTGGTAGTGGATACCGCAAGGTTCACTTCGTCGTCATGAACAACTTGTTCCCTCCCCATAGAAATATTCACTTGAAGTATGATCTCAAGGGCTCAACATGGGGAAGAATTACCCGAATTCCTCAAGAATGTTTGAAGAGTGGAGACTTGTCGCAACTAACACTCAAGGATCTTAACTGGCTTGAGAGACACGAGAAGATTAAGTTTGGGCCAGAGAAGCGAAAGGCTTTTTTCACGCAATTGAAAGCTGACGTCGAACTTCTCAAAAGAATTAACGTGATGGATTATTCTCTTCTCATTGGCTTACATGATGTGAAGAAGGGCAACACATTGGCATCTACTAAGAAGCTTACTGTTTTTGATCCAAAATCCACCAACAAGTTCGAGTTGATCAACACAAATCCTCGCAATTTGGACAGAACTGCTGATTTACCGTCAAACGTATATCCTGGAAGGTCTAAGTATGTCTTCTATGGCCACGATGGTGGTATTCGAGCCACTAATGAAGATAACGAACCGCTTCAAGAGATCTACTACCTCGGTATCATTGACTATTTAACTAACTACTCATTTCGCAAAAGGTTGGAGACCTTCTGGCGGTCAATGAGGCATCCAAGGTTGACGATTTCGGCGGTTCCTGCTCTGGAATATGGCGACCGGTTCTTCGCTTTTATTCAGAACGGCACCACTAGGTCGAAATCGAAAGTGGATTAGTCTTCTATCTCGGGTAGGCTATGCTTCTTGCGTTCAATACTAAGAATCGCGAGATTCATTTACTTCTGCTTGCCGTACCCATTTGCTTTCATTATCATTTTATCTATCTCCTCGCAAAACAATTTTGTGCATTCAATAAAAATTACTTATTTGTAACTTGTATCAATAGGACCAAACTCGGTAGCACGGGTCTATGACTATTGGCGTGAAACAAATATTTTACCTCACCAATAGAGTTGCACCAGAAGCCGCGCTCGCAAACAGTCCACTGAAAGTTGAAAATTGAGACTGGCGCTTAGCATGAATATATCCTTACGGTGCCATGGGCACATGCTGAGGAGGTATATACTGATCATACCCACACTGGCCGTAGGGTCGCTTGCAATTGGTTCGAAGGCTTCAGAAACGGAATTTACTACAAAATTGGATCAAGTTAACGAACTCAATCTGCCACAATTCAAAGCTGTCGGGCAGCCTCCATCCGTTCTTGCGGTCCATGGGACGCCATCTGTTCCTTTGTATATTAAAAAGGGCAGCATCATGTCCATATACGGTGTACAGGGAGCATTATTAGACAATATCAGTTCTCGGCTCTCGCTTTTCGCTCCAATAAGAAGTTTCTTCATGGGGAATCATAATAGTGCCTACCAGAGAGTTGTGTCCACATCACCATTTTCGCTACTTATATCTTCGACATCTAAAAAGCTTTTTGGCCGTCTGGCGCAAAAGACCTTTGCGGTAATGAATCTCGAAGGTACTCAGGATTGGGCTATCATCAATAACAACGCTATTCATGCTTACTTTGGGACCTCACTTATCCGGAGACTCCATCTCATTCCAAGAAAGATCTCTAAGAGGTTTGCCAAAGCTAGCGGTCTTCCTCTTCCAACCAACACCGGTTTGTTCAAATGGTATAGACCTGGCTACACGCTCTTGAGTGGACGAGGGACGGTTGCATTAGTTGGAGGAGGAAATATCTACAACGTCCACTTGGAGGACGGAGAGCAAGCTGTGGTTAGCAAAAACAATCTTTTAGGGCTTACTGTAAATGGTCCTCATGACATACAAAATTCGGTTTTTCAGTATCGCTCGAATTTAAAACTGAATGATTTGACGATTGCCGGAGAGAAGAAGAAGATAAATCCATTCGAATCATTTTCTCATTTTATGCTGTACTTACAGATGATAACAGTAAGTGGCTTCAACTTCCTCAAGGACTCTATTTCAAGATCAGTCCGGTATATCGAAGGCACTGGAGATTTTGTTGTAGTGACCGGACCAAGAGATTTACTTTTGCAATCCGGTGTCCCACAATCTAATCTTCTCAATCGAGCAGCTCCAGATCAATTTACTCAGTCAAGCATAACTCCAAAAGAAACTACTGCTGATTTCTTGAACTATGTCACTATTGATAAAGGTAAAACCAAAATCGAGAGCACTCCAGACTTCCGCAAAAGACAATGACTACGTATGTTGCACGTGGTATCTTAGATGCATACTTGTCAATAAATTCGTTAAAAATATATATTACACACTTAGACTTGAATCACCTGCACACCTCTCAAGCATTTCCTTTACTCGTGTGCAGATGGCTGTGTTCGTCATCTGTGATGTTGGCGAATGTTTTGTTCAAGGAACGTTTCTGAACAGCATCCACTGAACTATCCATGTTTCTAAAATTGGATCCGAATGTCTTATAAGGATTATTCAGTATTGGTGGGAGTTGAAACTTTCCTTCAATTGAGATATCGTTGCGTGATTGTGCATTCGGATGATATGTGTTATTTCTTGTAACATCAGGATTGACATTCTGGGTGATTCCGTTCATATTCATATACAACTGTGAAGCTGCTGGATATTTGAAGTAGTTTCCGTTAGAACCTTGCATTAGCAGTGTTTTCATTCTTGGCTGGGGGTGTTCCAAGTATACGATTGCTTTGATCTTGGATATATGTGTTGATAGCTCTCTTTTTGTTCTTTTATGTCCTTCATCTTTCTTTTCTTCTTCTTAGATTGGCCCGAAGGTGATATTTCGGACTCTTGAGAATCGCTTCGACTGTTATCACTCGATTGAGCATTCGACGTTATACTGGTGGAGGAATTGTGATATGGTGTCATGGTGAACGATGGAACACTAGAATTGTACGCCTGAAGTGACTCCACTGATTTAGACTTGTCATCACCATTAAATGTATCTGATTCAGATGGAGAGCTCGTATCTGTGTACAGGCCTGGCTCATCACCGTCATTTAGGTTTGACTTCTTATTAATATCATTCAAGTTAATACTCGACTTGGGCACAGTGCTCGAGATCTGTACATTTGTACGATTTCTTGAAGAACTTGTGTCAGAAGTCTCCCTCTGCGGCACATTTGTTAGGTCTAATTGATAGTCTTTCATCGGATATGAGGGAGCAGAACCGGTGGTTCGGTGTGTCGTCGAAGTTTCCATAGTATCCACGGGGTCACTTGAGTCGCGGGAATACTTTGACATTACCTTTGTTAATGCTGTGAAAAGGTCTGCCCATTTGAAAACTTTTAGATCTTTCTCTATGTTCCGAGGTCTCGGGTTTTCCATTCCCATGAGTAAGTTAAAAAATCGCTGAATCAGACGGTTGGTCCGTGAGACAGTTTGTGGTTTGAGCGACTGCAAATTTCTTCTTATCCTGTTTTTCTCCTTAACGCCAAAAACATCTTTGACGATGTACTCGAGAAGTAAGATGATATCAACTGATGTTACAATGTATTGGCCGCGTTCCTCCCAGAAGATGCATGATATAATGGGCTCTCCGGGCACGTATTTTTCTTTTGGAACAGCCTCGAAGTCTATCTGTATCTCATTGCTTGACGTATAAATAAAGGTAAACTTTACTAACCGCCTGCCCGATACTTTCTCGGAATCTGACCATCCATCAACCATGGAATCCAAGTCATGAAGTAGTGTCATACGTATTGGCTGGCTAACTGAACCTTCGTGAGGAGAGAATCCTCGCTTGATGGTTGACGTTCGTACTAGGCTGCCATTTTTATCACCGAAATTAGAGAGCTTATTTTTCCCGTTCAATATCTGCATTGCAAGTTGAACTTCTTACAAAGGTAAGACGAACAACACTTGAGCCGGAACGTACGTTATATGACTGTGAGAGCTCCACCAAAATTTATTCTCCCTCGTACAAAAGAAAAGTGGCTAGTGGGGTGATCCAAAAATCGCTTATGTTTTCAAGCACTTTAAACGGGTTGCAATGTAAGGTTGCTTTGATTGACTTATATGGTGTGACGTGCAATAGACGAACCGCTTTATAGTAAATTTAGAATGATAAATCCACTATGTTCGAAAAAGCGTGCCTATTTGCTTTCTTGCGCTGGGACACGCAAATTCAAAGCACTGGCCACATTTTGCAGCGAGCTCGCAAAATTTGCCACGAGGCGAATTATAGTCGTGTGGCTCTCGTATTGCTTCTTTTGGCGATGACATCATTTGTTTCACAGAGGATAGCAAGAAAGCAAGGTTACTGAATCGAGTCTACGGAGTCAATGATAAATGAATCAATACATTAATGAGAGCTAAATCGCCCTGGGAATCTCTTTACTAGATCCTCGCTTGAAAGTTTAAATGAATTTTTCCTATGTCTACTTCACTTAGTGAGACACAGTGAGACATGCTGATCTTTAGCTAGATGCAGGATTTCGTATACGAAGGAGGCTAGTAGCCCGTTGGAGATAATTTTCTTCGTAATCATAGGTCTTTAGTTGCCGGCAACTATCACGCCTTGTAGTTGAGTATATCAACTATAATGTTAACGATGCTCACCAAAACCTCCACACAAACTAGGACAACGACAATGTACTCCAAGTTTTCTTCACGTGAGTGGCCCAATTGTTCCTTGAGCATTTGTAGTAAATCCGAAATGACTTCTAACCTTTGATTAAGTAATTCCACTCTTTGATTAATTTCCAAATATCCTCTTGTGGCCTGGTAAATTGGCTCTAGGTGTGGTTCCGCCCACATAAGTTCAGGCAGATCAAGAACAGAGCCATGAAGATTAATGTTGATTCTAAGAATGAATAATTCTCCGATTGATTTCATAATCTCGTCCCTGTTCATTTCGACCTTACCTGTCTGTGCCACCTGCTGTGGTATATCCTGGGTGTCCTCAATCGTATTGTCCACCAATTCCTCGAAAAGAGATATTTTCACCGATTGAGAAAGTGCATGCGAGATGGATAGCTTGAGCATATAGTTCGAGTCATCTCGCAAGGTAATGAAGTCATTGTAAATTCGCGGTTGGTATGACTTGGTGATATAATAGTTGAACTCCTCGATTTGAATGTCCTCTGAGGACAACTTTTCGCTCTCGAATTTTGCTAGATCTTCTAAGAAAGCCAGTTCCTCTTTCCTACTGAATCCCCATAAGACGACCACACCATACTCAAAGATAAAGATATCGCTGTTGCGGCCGATGTCTATTTCCCCACCCTCGTCAGCGAGTCTGATCAGTTGATGCTGTTCTTCCTGATAATTGTGATCACTTCTCCAATCTTTGTACGTGAAGGGGGTGTAAAGACATTCATCGAAAAGCTTGGGATTTGTATTGTGAATTCGCTTTCTATCTTTAAGCCATCTGAGCAAATCTTTCATCTTATAAGTTCCTGATGTACAGTAAGCAGTCACTCTGGGAAGTAGATCCCTGTGCAGTTTGCCAAGAGACTCTGCATCCTTTCTAGCTGGGGTATCTTTGATGCGTGTGACTTGTGAGTAAACCCCTGCAACCCCCGTATCCTCCTCCAAGTTCTCTGGGGCTTCTGGAAGAAGTTTGAGCTTTTGAGATGTTCTGCTGGTTCGTTGTAACCCGATTTTTGGTGATTGAGCAACCCGAAAGTTATTTCGCTGTTGCCCGGAGCCATTCAGTGCCGTATTGAGGGTCTTGTTCGGGGGTAGATACATTGGGTTTTCTGGGGCCCGATTTTTTAGTAATGGAGTTGAATCATTGTCCCCATCAGCCATTTTATCTATATGAATATTCGGATAGTGCTCACCATAAGCGCCTGGCGTCTTCGCTCTAGATTGAGAAAGTCGTGTCTCGGCATAAATCTTTTTGTAAGATGAGCATCGCAGCGCACAGTAGAACCTCTTGCAGCGATGAGCAAAAGAATTGTGAAGAGCTCAAAGTCCTCAAGAAGACACAATTTCTCTTCCTTCAAGGAGAGAATTGAGGCTACTAAGATAGAGCCTAATTTGAACTTACTGGTGAGGCCATACGATGAAGTTGAGACTTCCCATTTTCGCTCTACATTGGAACATTGGGCTGAAGTAAATCTCAGTGGCAACTTTACTGAGTTTTTTGACCAAGTTAATTCATACTGTCAGTCTCTTCCTCAGTTGTTACATCATCAGAAGCATATCTTTGACACTTTGGTCCGTCATATCCAAATTGTAGACCCATTTTCGCTCGAGCCGCTACTTGAATTACTATCCCAGTTTATTCACGATCTTGGACCCGATTTCATGGTCTACTACCCCGATGCACTCGCCTTGATCACAGAAACCATCCTTAAAATAGAACCGAACGAATCACAAAATAATAGAAACTCTTCGAATGTTTTAGAGTGGTGCTTCAATTGTTTGGCGTTTACATTCAAATACCTTTCCAAGTCATTGGTCAGTGATCTCACTACTACATTTGACGCATTATTGCCTCTCTTAGTTTCGATCAAAAAATCATATCTTTCTCGATTCAGTGCAGAAGCTATGTCCTACTTGATACGAAAACAACCTGCCGAGCATTTACAAAAGACGATACATCACACCTTCGTTAGTCATGGCCACGAACTAAGATCAAATGCGGTTTACCGTGAGGCATTAGTGGTGTTATACGGAGAAGCAATGAAAGGTACTGAAGGTGCATTGCACTCAAGATCCATGAACACCTTAGGAAGTCTCATAAAAATAACACTCACCATTGACGAGAATAGAGAATTCGTAACTCTGGTGGTCTCCAAATTGATTCTCCTACTCATTAATTTTGGCAGTGTTGAAAACAGCAACAAAGTCTATAACACCACGCTTCAGCTATTAAATGCTCATCTTGGTCAGAATCCGCTGCAATTGGATTTGATTACTTCGGTGCATTTTCTTTTGTCCTTGTCATTTGCGGATTCTGGTAAGAAAAACTCTCTGTGGAATGTCATCTTCAGTCATACAGAAAAGATTACAAAAATTGCAAACTCACATAAAGAGAAATCGCAAACGTTACATGATTCATTAATTTACCTCTACTGTGTGATGATTCGTAATACACCCGCAAATGAGTTGATGAAGTACTTCAAAAAATTGATATCTGGAGGCTCACAATTGGACGGTGGAAAATTTTTTTTTGCATTAATCGAGGGTAGCTATGCGCTAGCACAAGACACTTTAAAGTCATTGCAGGTAACCAAACTGATCCAAGAATTCTTAGTGTCGAATGAGAATTCTAATGTGGTATTACCCTTGTCATATTTTCTCATGAACACTCACAATAAAGGTTTATCAAACACCTTGACATTACCCAAAAACATATCACGTATGGCGTTACAAAGCATAAAGTCATCCGGAAATAATGATGATGAATTGCCCTTTTCATGTTCTGCACTCGTAATAATGAGACACATTACGGTAGACTCTGAGGTATTGCACGTCTTGTGTAAAAAATTGGAGCAAATATGGAGCTACAACGATGTCACTCCTGAACGGGCATATGCTGCTTCGTTGATCATTAACATAATCTCTTCCAACAAAGATCGTTTAGGTGAAAAATCTCTAGCCGATGTTTTCAGCCAATCATGTGACAAATTCGACAATTATAGAACATACGTCTCCTTTTTGGAAGCTTTCGTTAAGTTCATCAATGCGTACCCTTCTGTTCAAGCATCTGAAGTTGAGCTTAGCAATATTTGCTCTATGCTAGTGAAAAACTTGAGGTTGCCTAATCGTGGATGCAGAGAAAGGTCTGCTCACTTGATTAGGTTGATTTTGAGCTACATCGAAAGTCCTAGCTCCATCATCTCACAGGTAGAAACTATTGAACAGATCCCATTGACTGTGGAATCCTCCAGGGATGTAACATTAAAAATCAGAAATCTTTATTCTGCCTTTCAACAAGAAGTGAACATTTCTGAGCTCGACTCACAAATTATGTTTAACTATACGTTCGGTCTCCTTTCCAACAAATTTCAGCCCTGCTCGGATGCTGTAATCGAGTGTATCCCTTCTGTGTGTAATAAGTTATACTCTGGCTTATGGGAGGGATCAATTGAGTTTATTTGCAAGTCTTACTCAGGACAAACAGAAAAGAGTCAATTACACGAAGATTCTTCAGTGGCTGATGAACTGTGGTTCGCTGACGATCAAAGATTGAAGGGTAATTTCAAGACTATTTTTGATGTTCACATGTCGCCTTATTTGACTCCCCTGAATGCTATTATACACTCAATAAGAGAAGGTAATGAAGAGGAATACCCGTCATTAATGCGGACTCAGGCAATCAAGGTCCTAAGCGCAATACCGTCCTTTTGGCAAGAACACTTGCGTGTGTTAGCCTCATTGATCTGCAAAATAATCGACGGCGAAGACAACGATTTCGATTCTTCCATGGGATCGCCTTGGACTATGAAAGAAAGAAACTTATTCATTGGTATTATCGCCAAGACAAAGCACTTAAAGAAACTCGAAGACAAGGAAAGATTGCATGCCCATATACTCAAGCTTTTGTCTAGCAGACAGAGCGAGGGGCAGAAATTGGCATTGGACATAATATTCAACTTTCAAGATCAAGCTATCAACAAGTACAGGGATCATTTCAACAATCTTCTAGATGATTCACTTTTTAGAGATGAGATCGTTACGTTCTTATCGGCGGATTCTACTTCTGTTATCGAGGCCCCAGACTTTCCACAAGTGATCAATATCGCCTTGCACATTTTGTTTGGTAGAGCTCAAAGGACCTACAAAAGCAACAGTAGTATGGGCAAAAAGCATGCTGTATTTCAAGCGCTTGGAAACCTCGAGGAGCCCGAGATTACTCTCTTCCTTCGAATTGGTTCCAGTCGTTTAGATTACCAGTCTTATGTCAACATTTCACACGATTCCAACATAACGCAAGCCGAACTAAGAAAATGCCTTGGTTTCTACAATCTTATAAATGAGTTAGTGGAAGTGATCAGTCCTTCTAAACGATCGTCATTTCTTCTGATCATAGAACCAATAATCTATGGATTGGTTTTGGCACAAACGTATATTACTAGAGGAGAAGACAAGAACGAGGTCGAGTTCAAAATTGCAAAGCAGGTCAGACTGACGGGCTTGAGATGCTTTGCTTCTGTTGTCAAATTTCTTGGAGAGACGGCGCCGTGGCAGAACTATAGCGCAGTTTTATTCGAAAAGGTGTTTGCGCCAAGATTAGCAGCTTTTTCTCAAGAAAACTTGCAACAACCTTCTGCACTTTTGAGTGTGTTTACTAGCTTAGTTGACTATCTGTCATCGAGAGCCCTATTATATCATGACGACTTTCATCTTTGTCGGGCCATTGTCTCACTTCTTTCCAACAAGTTTATCAAAGGCTCGGTCGTTCTAGCAATACTTGACTTTTGTTTCAAATCATTATCGGTGAAATCTGTTGATGATGATAGGCTATTCACTTTCTTAGCTATTTTGGTAGAGGGCATCCTTCGCAACTTACCCAACCTAATACTGGAATCGGAAAGTGAAGAAGTTATTGAAAAGTCAGTACAGCTTCTATTACACTTGATTCAGGGCAATTATGTTGATGATATCTCAACCCGATCGTCCTTACTCGACTCATTGAAGCACGCTTTAGACCGTTCAAGTTTAGAAAGTGGCCAGACCTTGCTAGTTCTTCAGGCGATGTCTTCGATTCTCGAAGCATCAGGATTTGAAGAATCCGAACTATGGAGTGTTTATGATATATGCTGCAAACGTTTGAGATCTACAAAGGAACGGGACCAGCGACAGGTCCTTCTGAATATTTTTGTTGAGATTGGTACCAAATTGGATGATGTCAGGTTAACTACTGAGCTCTTGAAGAAGATGAATGCTTTCAAAGCTACAAGAAATGAGCCTGATTTTGATCAACGACTCCTGGCTTTTCGGGAGGTGAATGAAGTTCTATATCCAGACCTCAACGTGAGACAATGGATGCCTTTTATTTACTGTGCTCTCTACTACATCAACGATGAGTCTGAACTTACAATGAGAACTAATGGTTCTTTTTTGTTATGTCGTTTTGTCGATTGCTTTTCTAAGAAAAGTACTGCTGAGGAATCGACTCCATATATTCACGTTTTAAAGGATGTGATTTTGCCACACATCAGGAGTGGTCTCCGCAATCGTAATGCCGACGTACAGTCTGAGCATGTTACTTTTTTGGCATACTTGATTGAGAATGCACGGTATTACACTGACTTGGACGACATGAAAGTGCTCTTATTCAATAATGATGAAGAAGCAAACTTTTTCAGAAACATAAACCATATTCAGATCCATCGTCGTCAAAGAGCTATTATGAGGATCAGAGATTATCGCGAGCAATTAACCAGTTCAAGTATTGCTCACTACATCTTGCCAATGATTGAATACTACTCTGTTACTGATGACGAGAGAATGAGAAATGTCTCAAACGAGAGTATTAAAACGATAAGTTTACTTGCCCGAAGACTTAGTTGGACACAGTTCCGTGCTGTCCTTTCTCGATACCTCTCGTTACTAAAGGGTAGAAAAGAAGAACTGTTGGGAGTCCATGTCAGTTTGGTTGTGGCACTCTCTGAAGCTGCATTAGGTGCAATTGAAAACTTCAGATCTGGTATTTTGACCGATACGTTTGCTAATATTCCTTCTCAAGACATCATTGATAGCAGCTTTTCGACAGATGTCCTTCCAATAATAATTAAGGTTTTGTCAACGCGTAACGATGAGACCATCGTTTCCAGAATTCAAACTAGGGAGAAGGAGTAGTTAATTTTGCTGATGTGCATTTCTGACAGTTTGCGAAACATCCATCTCACTAGTGCATTAACCAAGTTTGTGCCAAGTTCTTCGGGTCCCGGTCTAAAGGAATTGCGAGATGCTGTGCGTAGTCCCTTGGGGTCCGTATTTTGTTCAGGTGGGGAAGCGATTATCTTTATTTCTTTTTGCAAGGGATTAAAAACTGGCGGTGGCTAAAAGGGGTCTCAGATTCATGTTCTAAGCTTCACGTTGCATTTCCTTATCACTTCGTTGTCCTCTCATCTCCAGCCTGGGAGCTTGGATGAGTCTTGCAGGATGATTGTTGAAATTATAATGGAAGATATCTTCGGTGCTGCAGGACAAGAGAAGGATGCTGAAGGCTACCACAGTAAGATGAAAGAAGTCAAGCACAAGAAGAGCTTTGATACGGCGGAGATCTTGGCATCTTTCGTGAGTTTGACTCAGTTCGATACTATACTTGATCCTGTAAAGTTGATATTGAGAGAAAATGCTTCACTCAACGTCCAGAAGAAGATTGATGAACTATTGAGAAGGTACGCTTTGGGCCTAAACCACAACGAAGAGGCAAATTCTAAAAACGTGCTTCTTTTATCTTATGAAATCTTCAGTCAGTCGCTAGAACAGGTCGATTCGGCGACAAAAGCAGTGTCTCAGTCGCAGAGCCACTTTATGGTGAATCTAGACAAAAACTCCAAGAAGATGGATGTTGATCGCACATTTTTTGTTTCCACCACGCAAAGGTTTGCCTTGGAGATGTTCCGCACTGCGGTAACACGAAATGAAGAATTAAGGACAGTTGGTAATGTTAAGGGCTTCCTTCCTTACTTGAATCACGCAGTTTCATTCAGTAGTGACCAATCTGCTATTTCCGCTTTCAAAGTTTTGATGCTACTCGTCCGACTTCCATTTGACCAGGAGGAACTTGATATTTTGAAGTTGGCGTTCCGGAAAGCCATCGCCAATATCAAGAACAGTCCAACCATCACTTCAGAGTTATCGCAAGTTTGTCTTCGCTTTTTGGCATCAATTGTAAGACATAGGCCCGAAATTCAAGTCAAGGACAACACTATTGGGTATCTCTTAACCAGAATACTTCCAAGTTTGGAGGAGTCAACTTCTCAAGGTAATGCGTTCAACTTCGTGAAGGCAGTGGTGGCACAGCATATTTTGATACCCGAGGTATACGATATTATGGGTAATATATCCAAAATCATGGTTGTCAATCACCATCGAGATGTCAGAAACATGGCTAGAAGCGTTTATCTTCTGTTTTTGATGGGAGTACGATCAAGGTTAAGGGCAAGCTTCAAAAGGAGTTTAAATTTTTGGGTCAATAATTTGGGGCTATCCTACAGAGGAGGGGACGTCAGTCAGTCATGGAACTTCTAAACTTCAATTGTTATCAAAGCTGGTACCGGTCTTAATAGACAGGCTCGCCTTCTTCTTTTTTCGTCCGTCTATCAAATGTGACGATTACCGACGATTCTAGGTTGTGTCGGGAAATGGCCGCATCAATTTTGAAGAACCTTTTGGGTAAAGCAAGCAAAGAGACTTTGCAAACTCTTGAAACGTATTTTTTTGCATGGATGAACCAAAAGGGGAACACTATGCTTTTGCGCTGCGGTCTCAATGTCTATAATATCTACATTGATGAGTTTGGATTTAACTTTAACGCTAAATTGGATGATTTAGCCATTGGCAATATTGACACACTCTTGAAAGAGGGTGAAAATAAAGACGGGTCTTCAACGCAGCATGCGGAGTGGGAAGATATTTACTCACTGTTAGTTACATTTTCATCCGTTGCTCAGAGTAATTCTAAAGGCATTTTTACGAAAAGGTTTGAGGGTTTGTGGAAAAAGGTGTTCTCCGTGCTCCTATACCCTCATTCATGGGTTCGTTTAGTCGCTTCTCGCTTAGTGGGGATGTACCTTGCACGAAGAGATGAAGCTGAGATCAATGTGACAAGCTACGAAACTCAAACGATAGCGTACAGGTTGTTGAGACAACTCTCTGCACCATCTATCACGGAAGAGCTTGGCGAATACGCCATGAACAACCTTCTACTTATAACACTTCAATGGCAAGAAAATTCCACTCCCTACGAGATTTTAGAGGAGCGAGAGGGGGAAACAAGGTACGCTTTGGCCACTGACTTCGTGCTCGCCAGAATTTGTGGACTTTTGCGTCAAGATGCTAATCAACAAGATTTTGTAACGTCAAAGAAGATATCCCTCAAGTTGTTGAAGATTTTGAGTGAAAAGGTCAGCGTGAAATACTTGTTAGAGCAATCGGAAACTATCATTCTTGCACTTGTTAACTTGATCGATTTGTTGAGCACTAATGACTCTGATGAAACTCTTCGCAACCTTTCGCAAGAATGCTTGGAGGTGATTGAAAGTCGTCTTGGAGTGTCTGATTATACTGCAGTTTATGCTAGGGTGCAAAATATTATCAGTCAACGAAGACAAGATAGAAAGGTCAAAAGGGCCCAAACAGCCATCATTGCACCTGATGCCTTTGCAAAACGAAAATTAAGAAAACATGAGCGGTTTAGAGAAAAGAGGAAGCATGAAAAGGACGAAAAGGGCTATTACAAACCAAAAAAGAGGCGGACGGGTGTTTTATCAACTGTTTTTTATAAAGTTGTGCATAATTAGCCTC